AGTTCTAAATAATTAAATAAATAAATAAATGAATCAATTAATGATTGATTGAATTGATAAATAAATCGAAAATAACCTTCTGGAAGTTGTTTATTGATGTCCATTCTAATTTTACATTTTTTTTTGCCTTCCGTCCCTTTCAAAAAATTGTTTTGTTTGGAGGTTATGCGTTGACTTTTTTGGGAAAACGACGGAAATATAAAGCACCCACGAATATAAAGCACATGTGCTTTATATTTTTAATATAAAGCACGTGCGCCAGTTCCGCAAAAGACGGTAGTTAATAATATAAAAATCGAAACCCGGCGTCACTGCCGTGCAATAAGAAATCCAAGGGGACTAACAGGTGGCTCCAATCCCCTTAGAGGTTTGCAATATCAGACACACATTAATAACTTTACCTAGGTACAGGTAAGGTGGAGAACCACTCAGTTATTTAGTTTCACACTGTCACTTCAGATGAAAAAATAATCTAACTACGAATTAAAATTAAATTTCGTATAAAAGGTTGCAATATTAATTAACAAACCACAAAGTCTGTTTGAAAATAGTTGGTTTATTGTGAATAATTAAATTGAGATTGTGAAAACAAATATTATTGATAATACAGAAATTTTACTGACAATAAAAAGATGAAATCAATCAAAGCCATTGGAATAAAATCATCCTGAGTGCCTTAAACTCAATTATCAAAATATTTTATTAAGCCTGGAGTACTAAATAAGTGTACGTACATTTCGGCAGTGATTTTATAGAAATATTTAAGTAAAAATGATGACGTTTCTGAACTGTTAAAACCTGTTATTCTTTGAATTATTGCGGAGTGTGTTTTGTGTATGCTCAGAGTTTTCCTTTTGAAAAGACACTCCCAAAAGAAAGAAAAAGGTAGACACTTAATGATGTTACCGTTATGCATACCATAGTATGAGTTTGGAATTCTTGAAATAAATTTACACAACGGAGAAAACAATCGTAGAGTACGGGGTAAATAGTGAAATACGAACATTCTTCATTTAAAAATCAATAAATATCGGAAATTAAATAAATAATTTGGAAGCAAACTGTAAATAAGAAAAAATAATCTTAAAATTTCATTTCTATGAAAATTTCAATAAAAGATTTCAATGATAGTACACGACGAATTCTTTTACATTTCTTTTATTTACGTGTATAGAAAAGATAATGTTGAACTCTGAATGGAACTTGTTAAAAAATTGAATACCTACCAATATAAATAATCTAACTGTGTCAATCATTTGTAGGCCGATTTTTATTTTTAAAACTTTAGAAACAATGGATCTGCGGGAGTTGAATGCTGGTGATCTTGTATGGTTTGAATCTGGGCTTGGTTATCCTGTTCCCGGAGAAATCAAAGAAGTTCATGGTGCTGCTCAAATTGTATTAGTTGAAAGCAAAAGCGAAAATCTGGTTGAAGGAAAAGTAATTTAAATAATAATTGCGGACATTCGTTTAGATCTGAAATTAATTATATAATGAATAATTTTGTGGCAACAGATTTTAACGTTTGCTCAAGGCGAAGGAAGTTTGAAACGAAGAAAAGATGTAGGGTTGGAAGAAATTGATGATTTGACAAAGATAGAAGATCTGCACGAGGCATCCGTGATTTGGAATCTTCGAGCACGCTACGATGCTTCAAAGTTTTACACGTCGATTGTAAGCAATATAAATTTTTATATCGATATGTTAAGTGCCAAAAAAATGATTTCAGGGATCGATCTTGGTTTCAATTAATCCATACTCAATGCATCCACACCTATACGGATTGGAAATGGCAAAAAAATATGAGAAAGCTGCACCTGGTAATTTAATTAAAAAGAATTGTTAAAGTCGTAAAGTAACATCAATCTCTATCGTCTTCTAAAATAAAAGGTCAAATGCCACCTCATCTTTTCGGTGTAGGACAAAAAGTTTACTCAGCACTCGAAAATCAACGTCAAAATCAAGTAATAATCGTAACTGGTGAATCTGGAAGTGGAAAAACTGAAGCAACCAAGTTAATTATGCAATATCTAGTAGCAAATAATGCTGGAAGTAGAATAAACTTAAATAGAGTTTCGGAACAAATTTTGGAAGCCTCTTCATTACTTGAATCGTTTGGAAATGCAAAGTCATCAAGAAATGATAACAGTTCACGTTTTGGAAAGTATTTGGAAGTATATTTCAAAGCTGGTGTAATAATAGGAGCAAAAGTGAATCAGTATTTGTTGGAAAAATACCGTGTAGTGAGCCAAGTCAACGATGAAAGAAACTTCCACATATTTTATGATATGCTTGGAGGATTGAATGAAAATGAAAGAAAGAAATATGGATTATTAGAAGCAGATAAATATTTTTATTTAAATCAAGGAGCTTCTGATTGCAATCCAAATAGAGATTGGAGCTCTTTGCAAAGTGCCATGCATATTTTGGACCTAACAGATAATGAACGTGAAGGCATAAATCGAATATTGGGTTCGATACTACATCTTGGCAACGTCTACTTTCATCGACGACAATTACGAAGCTCATTGGAAGGCGTTGAGATTGGAAGTGAAGGTGCTGAATGTAAATGGGCGAGTCATTTGTTAGACATATCATCGGAAGACTTGATTCGTTCTCTCATGATAAAAATAACTGAAGCAAGAGGTGAACTGTTATATTTTCCATTAACGATTGATCAAGCGTTAGATGCAAGAGATGCATTCGCAAAAGTTTTATACGTTGGATTATTCAATTGGTTGATATCAAAAATTAATTCGACGATTTTAAAAGTAGGAACTCATAACGCTAACAAAATTTCCATTCTCGATATGTTTGGGTTTGAAAATCTTGAAGAAAATTCATTCGAACAAATTTGCATAAATTACGCTAATGAAAGTCTTCAATTATATTTCAATAAAACTGTTTTCAAGTTGGAACAAGCAGAGTATCAAAAGGAACGTTTAGAATGGACACCATTGGGATGGGAAGATAATCTGCCAGTAATTCATCTTCTTGCTAAGAAGCCAGTAGGAATTTTCCATTTATTAGACGATGAATCAAATTTCCCACGTTCAACTGATAAAAGTTTTATGGAGAAATGCCATTACAATCATGCACTGAATGAATTATATTCAAGAGCGAGAATTGGAGCACAAGAATTCGGAATTAAGCATTACGCAGGCACAGTTTGGTATAACGTTGATGGTTTTCTTGGAAAGAACCGTGACGTGTCAATAAAGAATGAAGTTCTTGAACTCTTAGAGAGTTCGTCTTTACCTTTGTTGCAAGACATAACAAAACAACTGAAAACGAATCAAGAAGGAAGAAATTTTTCGCGAAATTCAACTTCACGTTTTGTTTCAATTCAACCAAGAAAATCAACTGTTGCTGCTCGATTCTCTGACTCGTTGCAACATCTTATGACATCGATAAGTAAATGCAATCCAACATTCGTACGATGCATAAATCCTAACTACGAGAAGCAGCCGAAAAAGGTTGACATGTCTTGTCTGTTGAATCAAGTGCGATATTTGGGATTGCTTCAAACTGTTAACATTCGAAAGCAAGGATATCCCGTCCGTTTGAGATTTCCTCATTTTGTTGAACGTTATCGACATTTGCTTCATCATCCCGTGACAAAAGGAATGTCGTATCGAGATCTTTCTCAATTCATACTCGACTCCTTGAATAATGTTGAAGAAAAAGGTTATCAATTGGGAGCAACGAGAGTCTTCCTTCGTGAATCATTACATTTGATATTGGAACAAGAAAGAAACGCACAACAACAACGAGCTGCTTCAACTATTCAGAGAAATGTACGAAAAATGCTTCTCCGACAAAAGACTCGAAGACAACATAAAAGTGCAATTATATTGCAAAAAGTTTATCGCGGTTATCGTGAACGGAAACGTTATCAAAAGATCAAGAAAGGAATAACAAAAGCTCAAGCACTTTACAGGGGCAGAAAAGATCGCCGTCGTTACGAAAAGATGAAAAATGAATTGAGACATAAACGAGAAGCTGAAATTGCAATGAAGGAAAATCAAAAACAATATTCAGCTCATAAGCTTCCTCAAAAGGAGTCAAATGATGCAAACAACTCAATATTCCAATTGGATGTGCCAGCCGAATTGGCTTTCATTTATTCAAAAATTGAGAATTGGAATCAAGTCCATGTAAGTGTTGGCAAAAAAATATTTTTACTTCATTAAATTAATTTTTTCTTTCTCTTTCAAGAATGACAAAAATTTGGTGAAAGTTGTTGGAACAGTGCCAGGTCCACCAATAGCTTCCGATCTTCCTAACGATTTGGAACAATTTTCATTCAACAAATTCAGTTCAGTTTATTGTAATGGAATCCATTTACATCCTCGTAAAGATCCAATTACTCAACCATTTCTATCAAGAACTGCTTCGAAAGACAAAGATTTCAATGACTCGCTTTCCATGTTTAAGCTTATTTTGAGATGGACTGGTGACTCGTCATTAGATGCAGTGAGAGCAAAAGTTTTGGCTGATTACATTGTGAATAAAGGTTTGATGAGTAGAAATCTGCGTGATGAAATCTTAGTTCAATTATGCAATCAATGCTACAGAGCTGAAGAGAAACAATCAACAAAAATATGGCAATTGATTTCACATTGTTTATCGAGCTTCTCGCCAAGTGCAGCCTTTCAAAAATATTTACTAAAATTCATCATCGACAATGCACCTCAAGGACAGAGAGAAATTTTAGTAAAAAAAATTCTTCGAAATCATTCACAAGCACCACGAAACTTTCCCCCAGCATATCTCGAATGGAGAGCTGCGAAAGAATTCGACATTGCTCTTGGCTTGACACTTCCCGACAACACTATGCAAACTGTTGCAATTGATTCGTGGACTACATGTGAAGAAGCAGGAAATTTAAGTCTCGCATCTTTCAGCGGTTTTCAAGCACAGGGTTGGACTGTTGTCTTAGATGATTCCGAAGCAGTCACTGAAACTTGCGGCCTCGATTTCATTTTGGATCTTATTGGTGAAATGGAATTGTGTTCATCATTTCCTGCTACTAGAAATTATCTTTTGAGATTAAAGAAAAATTCATCAAATGTAATGTCGCAATCAAATCGTAAATCTTACTCAAACGAATCTGAACCTTTAAGCAGTCCAAAACGTCCAGACATTCCACCTCCACTTCCTCCTGTTAAGAAGAATGACGAAATAAGAGTCGAATATGTCAAAAGCAATGCTTTACGTCCACCACAAAGGAAGACGTCTATTGATTTATTATCGAGAAGTTCTGCTTTAAATGAACGTTACTTTGATGTTGATAAATCAAGATCACGATCACTTGACGACTTACTGAATTCTGATTCAGAGAGACCTTCAGTTATTGAAACTCCCAATATTGATCAACCTTTGAATACTCTTGGCCTTTCCGAAAGCCGCTTGAATGATCGTTATCTATCATCTGACAGATTCGTTTCTCTTAAACAACATCAACATCAGCAACAACAACCACCAATAGTCAGTCGACAAATGAAGTTATCAAGCATGGGAAGGCGAATTACAAATTCCAATTCAATCAGACACGATCGATCAGATCTTGTTAGATCGAGTGGTATGTCTGACACTTCAGAATGTGCAAGTTTAGCAAGTCATGTTAGACGTGTTCGTGTGCCATCTCAAGCTAGTGACGTTGATCAATTCTTGGATGATCTTTTCAGTCCTGTCCTTGATGGTAATTTAGATGAACTTTCTGATGCGAGATCGTTAGCTGCATCAATACGTGGAAATGAGAGCGAAAATGTCTTCTTTGAAGCTCCAATAATGATTGACGAATTGAACATATTACAAAATCCAAACAGCTTAAGTCGCATAATTAAAGGCGGTGGTGACGATCCAGGCACTTATCAACAGCAACAAGTTCAACGTGCATTCTTAGAATCAGCGATGGAACAAAATATCAAAATTCAACAACAACTTATAGCACAAAATGAAGCACTTCAAACACTTTTATGTCAACAAAAAAATGAGAAAGCTGAAAGAACTCAAAATTTTAATGTCAAGCAAATAAATTCAATCACAATGCGACATGATGTTGAAGAAGGAAGAGAAGGCGAAGAAAAAAATAGAAAAGACGTTATGGAAATGAACTCAAAGCCACCACCACCTGTAAATATTTAAATTGTCTTTGTTTAAAATTGTTTTGATTTATGTTTTTCATTTTATTTCAGCCTCCAATGCCTCCACCTTTGAACATTGAATCGCCATTTCAACGACCTTTTATGGATGCATATGGTGAGTTGTAATTGAAGTTTTAAAAATTAATTTAAAAAATTTCTTTTCAAAAAATTAGGAAGAGCAAAAACTGTTCGAATTGGAAAATGGCGTTGGCCACCACCAACTGATAATGGACAAGTTGATGGTGGTGAGGATTACATTTCCTTCAAATTACGTCAAAATCAACGAAAATCTACACCTCAATCGCAGCATTTTGGTGAGAATTCTAATGCAATGAACGATTCGAGAGAAATTTCTGCTTGGGAAGAATTCGACATTGAGTCGATGCCGAGTTTAAAGAATGTTGAGAGATCGCGAGATAAATTTCCATCTGTCAGTGATCTGCATAATAAAAGCCAAAATCCTAACAGAGTTCAAAAGAGAAGTTTCGATATTGGATCTGAAAGGCCATCATCGAATAGCGTTGGAAAATTGAAACTCAGTTTGGAAATGCGTCAAAGATTGGAACAAGTGACAGCCGGTCATTCAGTCCGTTCGATAACAAGTAACAAATCAGAATTGGACAAACCTTCAATGAAGATTGACGATGCTAGAAAAGCTATGCTGGAGCAACAGTTAGGTGGCGGAGGTCACAATGTGCGGAATCAAATACAAAGAATGGAAATTGGAAAAACTTCAAAACCTTTCATGCCGTTGCCATCGGTAAGAATTTCTTTTCATTTTCAAATGATTTGAAGAATTTAATTTGTTCTTTTTAATTGTTAAGGTACCAGCACCACCACCTCCTATAAGGCCTGCAAATTCCGTGCCTCCACCTATTATGAATCATCAAAATAAGGAGAAGAAACCTTCGTTCTTACAGAGATTGGATAAAGACACGCTGGGCGTAAAGGAAAATTTTTATGAATCCTGGGAATTGGCGGAAAATGAACAAATCGATTTCATGTACAAACGATCGCGATCACATTCAAGAGAACGAGAACATTTCTCTGAGTCAGTTTGGGATAGAACTGAAGTCGAAGGGCCGCCATCAACTGGTAAGTAAAAATCAAAAATGCATCAAAGTTTGTTTCTAAATATTTTCTTATTTATCAGATGAAATTAATAAGATGAAGGACAAAACACGACAAAATGAATCATCGCAAATGAAACGAGAACGTGAACATAATTTGAGTTATGCGACGAAAAACAACGATAAAGAAAAGCAATCGTCAGCAAATGAAAAAGCGACATTTAAGAATCATATGTTCAGTCTAAAAGAACATGAAAGGAAAACTTCAAGTTTAATTCAACCTGTGCAGAAAGGAAAATATGAAGAATCTGAGAACGATGCCAATGTTACGCCTCTTCCAGCAATTCCTAAGCCAATACATGGAATAGCACTTGCAAAGCCGACAGCGTGTTTGACATACAATTCTCAAGTGTCTTGGAAATTGAAGGTGAAAAAAGAATTTTTCACGCCAACAGAAAATATGGGCACGCCAGCAGTTATTGATTTATTGTATGCACAAATCGTAGCCGATCTTATGAAGCCCTGCTTAAGGATAAATTCTCAAGAAAAACGCGATGCTAAAAGTCTTTTAAGTAGTTACAGCATTAATTTGGATAACAACAAAACTACTCAAGCTACAGCAATTGCTAAACGGAAATTAATAGAAATGGCAAGGTCATGGCCATTATATTTTTCAAGATTATTTATGGTGTCTGCATCACCACAATATCCCGAAGTTGTAATTCTTGCAGTTCATCAAAGTGGCGCTTATCTTGTGCAAAGAAATGACGAAAGTCTGACGGTGTTGAAAGCAATTCCATTTTCAGACCTTTTAAATGTTGTAAGTAAATTTAGTGATTGTTAAAATTCAATTAATTTATTTTCATTATGCTTACAACAATAGGTGACGCTTCCTCGACCAGCAACACTTCAATTAAACTTGAAAAATGGAACACATTATGTACTCCACACAGTCAAAGCTGCATCTATTCAAGCATTTATGCAATCTTTCTTGCATGAATTTAAAATTGTGAGTACTTTTTATTACTTCACTTATTACTTTCGTAGATTATCATCATCCATTAAGTCTACAGTGAATGCTCACTAAGTGTTTTCACATAAAAGCGAACAATATGTGACCATTCACTTCATGTAGAAAATCAGTTTTCGAGAAGAAAAAAAATCAATGTTAAGCATTAACAACATAGTAAAGTTTTGCCGCTCATTTCTCTTCCAAAGTTAATTAACATTTTGCTACTGTAAAAGCGAGATTTGACCGCAATCTTCTAAGTTTCTCCTTTTTTTTTGTTTCTTCTTGAGCGTACAGAGATTGCAAACAATTTGAGGAAGGAAAATTTACTTACTTTTGTAAAAGAAAAAAGAAACAAAAAGCATTAAACAGTTTGCTTCAGTTTCTCGTCATGTTAACATCGTCGGCTTCTCTTAATTTGTTTATTTTTCTTCTCAATTATAAAAATTGAATTTTCGCTTTTTTACTTTATCAATCGTTGGAATTTAAAGTTACCAATAATAATAAAAATTTTGATAAAAGTTCATAATAAAGTCTGAATTTTAGTGAAATCGGTGCATAAGTACTCACACACACGCATAGAAAATTAAGAGAAAGTATCGCGCTTAAAGTTTACGGTTGAAATCTTGTTTTTAACAGTTACATTACATTATGAAGTGAAATTTATGAGTTAGATTATCTACAGAAAAACATTTCTGACAGATTCTTATCTTGATAAATATTAAATTGTTTAACGTGGGGAAGAAATAAAATTAAAACTGAAAAAAGATTAAATCAAGTAGAAATTGTAATTGAAAATCGAATTTTATCATGAGTAATACCGAACTGTGTGCATCTTACAAATGCTTCGATTCAATGCCATCACCTCCATATGAATCAAATAACTGTAACGATTATAATTATCGTGTAATGGAAACTTTCACCAGTTATTACAATAATTATAACAAAAATCCACTCCGTACAAAGTCATTGGATAGTCTTATAAACTCGTCGGAGCAAGACAGCTCTTTGGGTGGATTTTCAGACTCTGACTCCTTAACTGAAGTGAAAAATATTACATCAGAAGATACTCAAATGTGTGAAGAGAAGAGAAATAGTGATATAGAAAATTTTAAGATTCTCGAGCAACCTAAAGAGCCTGTGATAAAAGCTTACTTAGAAGAGTCACATAAAGCTTGCGAATATGAGGATTGCAGCTTTAAAAATGAAAACATAAATTTAAATGCGTTGAAAAATGCTTCAAAAATTGAAAATTCTCGTGATGAGAAATCTTTAGATGATAGAAAAAGTGTCGAAGAAATTTATTCAGTCTCGAATCCATTAACCAAAAATAATAATTGGCGTAATTGTGTCGCAAATTCTGATGGAATTTTGTTTCGAATGGAAACAATTCTTGAAGAACCTAATGAACCAAAAATATCTGTTAAAGAAATTTTAGCTCGCTTTGAAACAATGCGAGAGTCGGCAGAGGTAGACAACTTGAAAATTTAAATTAAACTTTTTTCATTTCATTTTCGATACTTTTCTATTTATTTAATTCATTATAATTTCATTCCAGACAAAATCAAATTATTTGACACCTACGCAAACTAATAAAATGGCAACTTCTTCATTAATGCATATCAAGAAACAAGAATCAAATGAAGAAATTCGGCCAACAAATGTGACGGCAATGAGAAAACATAGTGGCAACATTATTGAGAACATTGAGAATATCAACTCAAGCAAAATGATTATGCAAAAACAATCTTCAACTGTTCCACCTCAGGATTCATCAATTTGTGGAGATGAAGAGCTACTAGCATTACAACAACCAGCATCAAATAATCACTCTTTGTTACAATTTGCACTACAACATTTTCGAAATGAGTAATTAACTTCTTTAATTAGGTTTTAAATTATTTTCTTAACATCAATTTCTCTTCTTGTTAAGTATGCGCGATGATACATCACAGAATCGTTCGGAGAAAGAAGAATCTTCAGACAACTTATATATTAATATGGTAAAATGCCAATGGCAAGGAACACCTTTACGTCAACCACTCTTAAAACTTCCATCTGAATTGAATTCTCTGGCTTTGGAATGTTTTGAATGCGTTTTACGCTATTGTGGTGATTTACCACAAGATCATGATTACACTGAAGTCAAATGTGTTTACACAGTATTAATGGTAATGATAATTGTCTGAATAAATCTTTGAAAATGACAATTTCTGATTATATTTCAGCATTGTCACAAACATTTAATATTACGAGATGAAATTTACTGTCAACTTATGAAACAAACAACAGCCAATCAATCTGCTTGTGCAGACTCTTGTCAACGTGCTTGGCGATTGTTATCAATCTTGGCTGCTTATTTCAGTTGTTCTGAAGCCTTGAAGCCATACTTGATTGAACATTTAACATCAATTGCAACTGATAGACGAGGAACAGCTGCAGTGTGCTTAGCAAATTTGAGAAAAACGGCTCGATGCGGAGGAAGGAAAAATGTATTAATTAATTGATTTATTTATTAAAAATCAAAACATATGTTGAATCTACATTTTTAATTTTTCTTTATAAGGTTCCAAGTGTTGAAGAAGTCACAGCAGTTTCTGCTGGTCGCTCTGCTCGAAGACAAATTTATCGACTACCAGGTGGAGCTGAAAGAGTTGTTAACACAAGATGTTCGACTGTTGTTGCTGATGTCATAAATGAATTATGTTGTTTATTAGGTAAAAGAGAAAATATTTTAGCGGAAAACTTGATTTAATTATTTTTTCGTTTTCGTTAATTAATTCGTAGGAATTGAATCTGAAATAGAGCAACAGGAATTTTCACTTTATTGCATTGTACAAGGCGATGGTAATTTTTTTTACAAAATTATTTAATGATATGATTAAAAATTATTTTATTGTTTAAATAGCTTTCACTATGCCTTTGAGTAGTGACGAATACATTCTCGATGTAACAACAGAACTTTTGAAGACAAATCAACCGTTTTACTTGATTTTCTGTCGTTCTGTGTGGCATTTTCCATTGAAGCGTGATCCACCACCAACTCCGCTTTATATCGAAGTTCTCTTTAATCAAGTTGCACCAGATTACTTGGAAGGATTATTGTTAGAAATTCCAAGTTCTGGGACACCAAGTCTTGACTATGTTCGTGACATTGCTCGTATAGCAGCGACATTACATCGAGCAGCTGACCTCAATCATATCCCTGTAATGAAGGAAATTAAATTCCTTTTGCCAAAACCAGCGTTAGGCTTACGTGAAATAAAACCAGCACAATGGGTGAATCTCGTACAAGCAGGTAATTTAAATGAATTTAATTTATTATAAAATTTTACATTTCATATCATTTTAAGAATTTTTACAAGTCGTCATGTTGACACCGCTTCAATGTAAAGCACAATTTTTAAGCATTTTATCAACTTGGCCATTGTTTGGAAGCAGTTTCTTTGCTGTCAAGCGAGTCTTTGGAGATGACATTGGAATTTTCAAAGAAGAAAACGGATCAATGTGGCGTGAACTTATTATGGCTCTTAATAATAGAGGCGTTCTATTTCTTGACTCAAATACTCATGAAACTCTCCATCATTGGAATTTTATTGAAATTATTTCAACTAGAAAGGTAATTGAAAATTATTCTTTTCATAAAATGTCCTTATCTGAATTTTATGTTTTATGCAATTACAGATCAGATCTGAAGACGCATTGTTCCTCGACATGAAAGTTGGTAATTTGCTGCAACAAAGTGTCATTCGAGTTCAAACAGAACAAGCTCATGAAATAAGCAGAATAATGCGTCAATATATCTCTATGGCACAAATCAATAGAAAATAAATTAATATCCTGGAGATTTGAAGAAATTTGGAAAATTGAAGATTGATTTACATTTTTTTAAGTAAAACATAACTATTTAGACATTTGTTTATAACTATGCATGTGAGAGGAGCGGCAAGTTTTTTTAAGAGTATAATATAAATATACAATCTAAGATGAAAGAAAAGATCAAATTAAAATAAGAAATGTTATTGATTTTGACTGAATTTATTCAGTTATGATTTTCAATGTACTCTGCATTACATAAAGTTATAACATACAAATATGGTTTGGGCATAACATTAAACATGCTGATGAATGAAATTGTTGACACTAAAATTTAAATATATAAAGAAATGTATTAAATTTTCTAACATAGTGTAGAATAATAAAGAATCTTTATAAATATGATTTTGAATTCTTTTTGATCTAGATTAATTAATGAATTTTCTATGAAGTGGGATTTTGTATTTTTTATTCATAAGCAACGACTATAATTTCAAATAAATTATAGAATAAATTGTGATGAAGAACACTAGCGATCGTATTTCGGAAATGATGAATCGATGAGTTTAACAATGAGGAAAAGCGGATAGCTCATGAAATTCTATGGTTCCAAAATAGCTTTGGAATAAGCTTTTCATTTCTTTTATAAATTAAACTTATATTTTATTAATTTTTAAAGTAATCTTCATATGAAAGTCAATCATAGAGAGTGTTAAATGTGAGTAGCCAATAAAGTTCTCCCAGTTTCATTGAAGGAAACAAAATGAAAGTTCACCGATGTGGTGACAAATTGTTTGCTGGAACAGTAGTAGCGAATAATGAAGACTGCATGACATATGATAATTTGGTGGATTCCACAACATCTTAAGCAATGAAATCTTTTCTCAGAAAATTGGTGTTTTTTGTTAGATTGAAAAATATGTTTTACAAAAATCTGCCAAATAATCAGAAATACCTACAAATCAAATAAAATTCATCGACTTTTGAATTATTTAAACATCAACTTTATTTCGAATGAATCAATTTTTTTTGTCAAAAGGTTCATCTTGAGTTTAACTCACAAAATGATTTTCTTCCAAACCGAAAGCTTCTCTTCTTGTAGAATAATATTATAAAATCTTCCTTTTCATTCCACAAATTTCTTGAGTAATGAAATTGGATAACATAAAAGAAAATTAAAGAGAAGGAAAAACCAACCCAGACAGAATGTGATGAAAGATTAATGATTAATGATTATTGTAGACATGATCCCAAGATACCATTCAATTCGATTAATTAAGAACCAATAAATGAACTTAACATTTCTGCTTTGAATTTGATTGAAAAAATTTGAAAATTCTCAACTAGTTAATTAACTGCAATGATTTGAGAGTTTGGAATTTCGCAGTTGAACTTTGGCCCACAATTGGCATCAACACCGCGTGTGCGAGCTTCAAAGTGGTCGAATAACAATAGCTTCTTGCAAAATAAACATTCCTGAAAAGAAAGTTGATATGCTTATGAATGATTTAAAAATAGAAAAAGAAATGATAATTTACCTCTGGGCATACCTTCAATATCCAAGCTTATTTCAAACAATTTTCATATCTGAAACGAGATGATCTATCATTTCACTTGTATGACAAGGAGTTGTTGCCAAACGGAGCTTCTCTTCACCTCTTGGAACTGTCGGATAGTTAATAGCTTGCACATAATGTCCAAATTCTTGATATGTTACATATCAGACGTTTGCGTGCAGTGTTGAGGATTTCCAAGTTTAACAGGAATGATATAAGAAGGTGTATGTTCAACTGGAAAACCCTCAGACTTCAACTTGTTAGGTGAATAGCGAACATTTTCTTCATGAAGTGCTCGTAAAGTTGTAAAAATGAAACCAGCAGCATACAAACGAACCATGTCAATCAATCTTGCAGTTGATGCAATTTAACCACCAACATTTCCAAAAGCTTTTCCTAATGCCCCCGAAATAATGTACATGCTGTGCATCTGGTGATCGCGTTCACTAATAACAGCACCATGTTCACCATATAGTCCAACAGCATAAACTTCAACAACAAATTTCAAAACACCATGTTCATGCGCAGTGTCGCAAAGTTCTTCCAATCGACAAACAGCTCCTGTCATCTGTTATTCCTTTCATATTGTTCTTTATTTAACTTGTTCGTCTTAAGTCTCGATAATTTTTATTCGAATTTTTTAAGTAAAAAATCTAAAGATTTAGTGCGAAAGTGCCCTCTAAGATCTTTCGCTTCTTTCTAAAATTTTAGCTTCAATTTACCGTAAATTAATCTAGATTAAAGAAGATTAGATTAAATGTTATATGTAAGTGTGGTTAGACTAACATCATGTAGGATTAAACCTAATCGAGGTAGTAGTTTGACGCCCCAATTTTTCGAATTGGTGTATTCTTCAGTGGAAAACATTGGAAAACTCTTATTTAGATTCATTTGTAATTCGGAAAATCGCGAAGAAAGTTCGGAGAAAGTGGTGTCGCGTTGTGCGATAGTGGATTTTCATGGATTTTAAGTGATAAAATTTGTTGAAATACAGAAAATATCTTAACAATAGCGGATAACAAATCGTAAAACAAAGTCTAAAACGTTGTGAAAAAAATAAGAAGAAATGTAAGTAAATTGGCAATGATTTAAAATGATGATTGTTTCATTTGTTCAGTGTACTTATCACTTAATTCATGTAGAAGATAGAATAAGGATGGCTGCTGTTTAAGCGTCATCATCGTCATCTGTTATCAATTTGTTTCTGTTTTCATTTAATAAACATTCTGGCAAGCAATGAAGTTTTTCAACTCTATTAAACATCTATCTAATAACATCCAGATAAATCTTTGTTAAAGGCGAATAATTTATCTATCGTCTCATAATTTTTTGTTTATTTTATTGTTCAAGCTGCAAATGCGTAATTTTCAATCCTCTTTCAACTTTCCTAAAGTTTCGTGAAAAAAAGTAAAATATCCTTGTATGAGTGTGGGAAAAATCGTCGCTGTTCTCATTTCGAAGCTATCTATGGAAAAAATAAATAAAGAAAATCTATATCATAAAACTCGAAGCCAAAAGCGAGAATCTTTTTATTTTATTTTATGTCGTGAGGAAAGGACGAAAAACATCAAAGTTTTTTTCTCGGTCGCTTGCTGACCCAAAGTTTACTGATCGACTTTTTCTAGGACTTTTTAATAAACTCCAAGCTCGCTTTTTGCTCGATTAAAAGTCTTTCAACTTTTTTTCTAATTAAAAACAATTCATTAAAAGAAATCTGGTTTTTCGTTGTCGTCGTTCGCCCCCTGAAAAGTGGTCTTCGTAAAAAGGTCTTCGCATAGCATCACCAGCAAAATGTAAATAAGTTTACAGCCATTTTCAGCAGTGTTTACATTTAAGTCCTTCAATTTCATAAAAGTTTTAGAGGATAAAATTTTGAGAACTTAACGACTAACAAAGTTTCAGTCTTGTCTTTAATCTCGGTTTTTTTTTAATAATTAATATTTGCAATGCCCTTAAGCTTAAATTAAAGTTAAGATGTAGCCATAAAGTAAACCGAACAGTAGTAACAGAAAGGAAAAAAGACGAGTAAATGCCTGAAATGTTATGTAATCACAGTCATTTTTGGGGGAATTTTTTCCATCGTAGATGTTTCCTACTAACAAACTGCTGTTACGTCATAACATTATAACTTGGAGCTGTCAGAATATCCTTTCCTATTCCAGAGAAATTTTGTATGTTTTATTACAAAGATTCTCCCGTTTGATTCTTTTTTTACATTCTCTATCATACATTGAACGAGCAACGTTAAAACGAAGCGGAAAATCAATAAAGCCATACCATTACATTTTCATGTGCAAATTTTGTAAACAATTTGAGTTTTCATCAGTTCCAAAGAAAATCTTTTGTACGATATTTACGTCGCAGTCTATGTAGGAATTTCTTTTATCAACATTATAGAAAAACTTTATGTATATCTGCTTGTCATCACTCAAATGAGTTTATAGAAATGAATGAATCTTATCGTTAAATAGATACACATGCTACTTTAAATAATATGATATTCGAGCTTATTCTTTTTTTCAAGATGGGTCAAAAATTCAACAAGCATCGTCTCGTGCTTAAAAATTGTTTCATTATCTGAATTCCATGATAGGAGCATCCAATAGACAGTTTCATATTCTTTGTGCTTCAAGAATTCCCCACCCGAAGGCAAAACTGTTCTTCTGTTATGAAAAACTTTTCTGTCCTGATAACGCACTTTTTGTTATATTTTCCTTTCGATGCTTCTACCACGATCCTATTTCTTTTAAACGTGCGTGGGTGTGAGTTTTTTTATATTTTGAATGGAATGCTTCTTTTTTTCCCCAATTTTAGTTCACATTAACTGCTGCTTCATTTAACCTTCATCATTTTGGGTATGGGACGAAGGATGAAGGCGATTTCTTAGGTACGAATGGTACATTGAACAGCTTTTAGCGTGCACAGATGAAAAGCTTAGATTCGTAGCTGAAATTTAGTGTTCTTCTTTCCCATCACACCACAATTCACTTGTTGTGCTCGCAACCGTTTCAAGTCGAATGACTTTCGTCTCTCTTTTCTCTTGCTACTTCTACTTCTTTTACAAAATGGATCAAATATAAGAAGGAAATGAATAGGAACCTGCCACTGACAAGGTTATATAGGCGAAGTATTTTTCCTTTTCTTTTCGTTACTGGTGCTATTTTGTTAAAAAAGAAAAACGAAAAAGCAAAATTGTAATCCTTAAATTTTTGGGCTTGCTTTGGGAAAATTCATTATACAAGCTTCATCTCCGTCTCCAGCGTTGCAGAAAAAGAGGGAAAAAGCAAAGTACAAAAAGAAAGCCCCATAAATTCAATATGGTTTTAATTTCATCTGTGTCACCATAGTCGAATCTTTCTTCTGTTTATTTGAGAGCATGCTTAAATTCTTAAAGCATCAGATGTTTTGGGACAAGAATTCAGTGATATTCAAAGTTCTAAATATTTGCTGAAAGTTTTCATGATGATAGAAAGTTGTTATGTTGAAGTACAAATACTACAATAAAAGATTCCGAGAGAACTTTTGAATGTTTAATCAAAAAAGGGAAGAAAATTTCAAACAACTTCGTAGCGTAGACTTGGATATTAATTTAATTAATTAAATACTTAAACTCATTATTTAAACTTACTCGTTTCTGAGAAAGATTTCTGAAAGGATAAATGTAAATTTGAAGATGACGATATTAAGTGTTTGTTCTCATCTTGTTGCTGAAATTTATTGGAAAAAAAATAGAAAAGAATCTGAGAAATGTTTTTGCCATTTCACTTCATTTGATTCAAATAATACAATACAAATGATGTTGAGATGAAGTTATTGGATGAAAAAATAATAAATATCTATCAGCTTATAAATTTGAATAATTTCTTTTGAAAATAAATGTGATAGTTGTTGGCAACCAATTGATCTTGACATTGCAAGTATTTCGAGCGAAATAAATCCTCAATTTATTTTTGTTTCATTACAAAGTTGCTTCTTTTATGTTGAATGCATTGAATGATGTTGGGACTGATAGAATCATAATTTTTCAAAGAAAGACTTCATTACTTTCATCTCGATTGCTACTCCACTTGTGTGTGTGTGTAAGTTTACTTCTATTTCGGTTTAAATAACTCACTGAAGATCGTTTAAAGATGATGAAAAAGAAAATCGATCGATTAATTAACTGGAAGGGCTTGAAAACTTTCTTTCAATAGATTTATTCAATTTCCCTTTTTTTCATGTATTTTAGCTTCATATTTATTTTTTTCTTCGTGTTTCGATTCTTATCACTTCAACGTATACATATTGATAAGGGAATAAAAACAAAGTTTGAAATCACAAATTAAATTACTGCGAAACCATCAAATCGAGCCATCTGCTGTCATGAATGTAGATCCAAATCAGATCGAATTACATTGAATCGAATTAATGAAGTTTGTGTTAAAAACATCAACAGCAGTAGCAATCAAAGAAGCAACTTTTTAATATGTAATGAAATGTTAGTCTTCATCCGTAATTTAGTCGCCCCGAAATCCTCGTGAAATCGTAATTTAAGCTTATGGCATAGCAAACACAGCAGAAAGACACAAATGGGACATGGTGTGTGAACATATTTGTTTTGATAAAGAAAAGGCGGAAAAATCGATAAAACGTTTTATTGGTGAGAAGCAAAAACTTTTCTTTTTTTTCTCCCTTTTCTTTAGATTTTTTCTCACACTCACGATTGTTGTTTTGCCATCAATCTAAAGCCTTCAAACTTGTTTCCCCTCATTTCTTCGGTAACATCACATTACGATGGTCGCTTTCATATATATCAAGTTATTCATTTCCATTTCGTTACAATCTTGTGTCTCATTTGATGTATATAGCAAATGACAGAAAAAAATGGTGTCTATAAACGATCCTACTTCAATGGTCCTCTGCTCGTCTGTGAAAGGAGATTTAACAAGTAAAAGAAGCAGTGGCTGTAGTGGTGCACATATAGAAAACAAATGGGCAGCAATAAAAGGATAAAAAATCTTTATGGCGTTGAAAATGTCTGTTGTTGTTTCATCCTTTCATCCATAAAAAAGAAGCTTTCAATCTGATTTACATTTTACCGTTTTCAAACTCATTCTTTTTAAAATTTTAGAAGAGGCTTGCATGGTCGGAGATACCTTTGGCAATTTACATTTATTATTTGGTAATCATGCTAAAAATTTGTACCTATTTATTTGCATTTTTATTTCTATAAAATCATCGCTGAAAGGAAAAATTTTTACTGAAGATATGGTACGATACAAAAAATGCTGAAATGATCATTTTTATCTTCCATCCGAAGTTGTTCTATTCAGAAATTGTGATGATGTTTTTATTTCAACGCAACATACCACGATTTTGAAATACTTAGATTCCTTTTTGTTTCTTTTTTCCCGTCGTACATGAAACAGTCCCAAACAAGTTGAAGTGATGTTGGCAGAAAAAGAAACAAGACAGAGGATGATTACTCTCGACTTTTTTATGCGATAACGTAACAACGTTGCTGATGTAGATAAGCGCGAGAAAATTATGGATTATTAATGCTGTTGAGCGAAACATGAGTGTGCCTTCGTGCGTATGTGTATTAAATTTGCGTTCTTCTAAAAATTCCTTAATTAAATTTCTCTGGCGTCGTTAAGAGTAAGGAAAACAATTTTCGCTTTGCGTAACAATTTTAATTTTCCTTCGGTTAACAAACTCTAGTTCAAGCTACGATAATCTTTTGAGGCTTTGATAATTTACATGTTTTTATCATTTTTCATCTCAACTTTCTTTTTTCTTTCGATAATCTTCCCGTTCAATTGCGTCTTGGTCTCATCCCATTCAGCTTGCACATGAATATAACGCGACAGGAAGCGATTAAAATCTCGAGTAAGTAAAAATTCTTATGTTTCGAGGAAGGATGATGACGATGCCTTGTTTTACGACACTTGAATACGAACCACTTCCGTCCCTAATCTTTCTTCTGCTCTGTCATGTGAACGTACAAGGTAGAAGATTCCCAGTTCTTTTTCCTGCTCCAGTTTCGTTGTTGGTTTTTTATGTAAAACAGAGAAATCCCTGTTAAATTATCTGATAAGGAATTAAGGGTAATTTAAGCGCAAATCATAAATGAAGAAAGCCTTAAGGTGGAAGCTTTTAAATCTCAGACTTTCTTCTTAATTACTTGAGGGTGGGTTTGAGCTTCTATCTTCTATCATTAGGAAGCAGCAAAAGAAAATGAAGACTAACCTTGAACTTTAAAACGTACGACGAATTTTCCCTTTAATATTAGTCGCTTTGGGTGTTGACAAATTTAAAAACATTTAAAAACATTTAGTAAATCATTTTACACCACATTTTCAATACATATTGAAAAGACAAGAAAGAGAAACAAATTGGACTTTAATTAGCAGAGTTATTTTTGGATCATAAATTAAACTTAGCAAAGCTCTATGAAAGTTCACTTGTGTGTTTGCCATACATAAATATTAAATGTTATTTAAAAAAAAAATTTTCTAAGAATTTGAAATTTGGAAAAAGTAATTTGGCGTTCGACAACTTCGAAATTAGAAATAGAAAAGTTTTATTCTTCAACCTAACTCATTATCTCATTAAAAGTTTTCATCCTAATGCTTAATGTTTGATTCTCTTTAGGTTTATGTATGTTTGTTATGTTTGGTGTAACTAATTGTTATAAAACTTTATTTCATCTTTGGAAGCTCTCATTATAATATTTCACCATAAATATTCTACTATGCTTCATATTTAATCATTTATTTCCTTTTCTAATCAGCACTCATTAAAATGTTCATTATTCGTTTTATTTTGTTTTTAAATGAGATAAATGTTGGTGATATAATAAGTTTGGTTGATTTATCTGCATTTATTTTATTCTTTTCTGTTCTCTATTCTCCTGTTTAATTTCAGGTTTCGTGAATTCGGCTAATATTGTGTTAAACGTTCTGAAAAAAAAACGAAAAAAGAATTTTATTGATTTATCTATTAAGCTTAAGAAGAAAGAAGAAAGTTGTTAAAACATAAGAAGAATGTAAATTATTGTAATAATACCTTCTTAATTGATAGCATAAGTTATCGGATATCTCTAAATGTCTATTAGAAAATATCCATTAAGCTTTTGATATTGTTTTTGCTCTCCCATTTTCCTGATATTTTAACTTTTATCAGCCTTAAATTTTTTAATCGCTTTTCTCTTGAAATATTCAAACAGTTTGCAGTGTAACTTTTCACTCTTTCATTGTCACTTTAGTAACAAACTTTTCTTTTCTTTTTCTGAGAAAGAAAAGTTTGTCACTAAAGTGCTTTTCTTCTTTATTAATGCTTTAATCAATATCTTTAATCTATCTATATTTACTTTAGTTGATGCTGTTGCAAATGAATAAATTTATTAGAGTGTAACTTAATGTCTATGATAATATCAAGTCAATAATTAATCAATTTTATCAAACAAATTGCATAATTACAAGGAGAATATCAATATCTACATAAGTAAAATCAAGTTTTAAAAGTCAATTAAAGCTCGATAAAAAAAATATTTTTTATTGATAAGAAGTTAACTTACAATTGCCATTCGAAGATTGATTAATTTAAACCACTACACGAAGGCTGTCAATTGAAAATGTCAATCATTAAACAATAAAAACGTCGAATCGAAAGTAAACTTCCGAAAAATTTCATCAATTTCACATTCGTAATCTCAATCTTGGGACAAAGAAACATTTATAACTTAAATGGCATCTCCACGTGATGATAACTCTCCAAAACAACATCAACAACGTTCACCGTTGAGCAAAACGAATTTCAGCTTTAAATCATCGTCGCCATCTCATTCGCTTAATGAATCTCAGCAACATTTGAGTCCTACAAAATTTCTTAATTCACCGTCATCGTCGTCTCCAAATAATGATAATCATATGGTAACTGGATCTGGTCCGAGTCGTCAACGCTCTTTACGCGATCGATTGAGAGACGGAATAAGTAGCAGTTTGACATGGCAGTAAGTGAATTTTTTATATTTATTTAAAACGTAGTTTGTAGCTGTCCTAAGATGGAAAATGTATGTTGGTTTAGGTAGGCGATTAACATTATAAATGTTCATTCAACAAACTATCTTCTAAATATATTCTAATGCTGTAGAAGAATTTCTCAGTGGCTGCTTTTAAATTCTTTTTATTTTTGGTTCTTTCAACCTTGCATTGAAAAAAAGGGGAAGAAAAAGAATTTGACATTGAACCGAAACAACATTTCAAGCTTCTAAAATGTTTCTGACATCTTATTTTAATCCCACAACATGCTTGTTTTAATTGTTTGGCTTGATTAATTAAACTTTTGTTTAGCAAACGTAACGGGAGATGAAAACATACGGAAAATGTTTCTAAACAACTAAATAATAAAAAGAAGGAAAGAAGAATTTTCCTGTAAACTTTTGTTGGAAGCGTTGGCAAGAGATTAATGATTTGAAAATGAATTTGAACTTTTTCTCTTCACTTCCTTTCGGCTTTTTCATTTTCGACTGTTGTTGAAAGCTTGTCATTTTTGGCTGAGAATCTTTGAAGCTCGTGCCCATCAGAAAATAAAAAGTCATTTATCGAATTTACTTTCAATAAAAGCACGTAAAGATTCGGACATGACAAAAATTCTTGAGCATGCATCACAACGCTTAAACGAGTTCTTTCAAGTTGAAAGCCTTCGATAAATCGCACTTCCATTCATTCACGTTCATGTTCATATTATTTTTGTTTCTTTCTTAATCGCTTCGTATAATGCCATCAAGAATGAGGGAAAAAAAGTAAATAACTTTCGTCTGTGTTAAATGAATTTTCAACAAAAAGTCACCCGAAAATTTTCCACAAAACTTTAAATGTGTCAAGTTTAATTAAGCTTGTCGTGTTATCTCGACCCATTAAATTCAAAGAGAAAAATTCATAAATTTCAGCGAAAGTTGAAAAATAGTCATGGGAGGAATGGCGGAAGAAAACATTTTGTTAGATATTTATGGCGGAAATTGCGTCATAATGAAGAATTATGTTCTTTTTTTCTTCTCCTTCTTGCCTTCTACATCTCTTGGTCTTGTTTCGTTCTGAACAAGCTATCATATCCAGGGTTTCATGGCTTTGACATCGGCAGTGAGCTACAATGATTATAATTTATTTACCTTCGTTATGTGTTGCCCTTGAAAATGACTTTCTGCTAGATTTGCAGCATGTTCGTACGATGATTTAACTCTGGTTCTCTTTTCACTTCATTTTGCTCGAAGAGAACTCTCCATATAAGAAAAATGTAGATCTTTAATAAATTAAACACTATTTAAACCGTTTAACATGGATAGATTCCTTGTCCAACAGGTTTATTTTTACATTTTCTCTGTCATCATCATCAAACAAAGTCGTCATCATCATTAGAGAAATTATTTTAAAAAACTAAATGGAAACGTTTATGCTATGAAAGAACACCATGGGCTCATAAAAGATAATGTTGGAATATGATGAGAATGGAAAACGTGATCGAACCATTAAAATGAATGGTCATTCATCCGTGTAACTCTTAACATTGCATTTCTTTCCTTATCCTTACTTACATGTACGAGCTTGAAGCTACGCAATATTTTTAAAACCAACTCGATTCTATTTTCGGATCGGAGTAATAAAAAACAAATTTATTCTTTTCTTCATTCAGAAAGGGATTATCCACAACTTAGGACATCAAATCTCCTACTTGAAATCTTTTCGAAAGAATTGATTGAAGAAATATTTATTTAAATCATTAAATCATTGATTAACAAATCCTATACTCGAATACTCTTGCACAATGAACCGGCATCAAATTTTCTACGCTTGTGAATTCGTCTAATGATGGTAGGTGATTGAAGACGGTTCAAAGAACTTTTCCTTATCTCGTTTCCTTTCAACATTTTTCTTACGAGCATTATAATGATAGATTAACAGTGATAGGCTTAATGGTTTTATGTCGACGCGTCGTTTCCCCTCTTTTTGAAAATGATTCTAATGCAAATGAGGAAAATCTAATTTCTTTTCTCTTTTTATTTCATGAGCATTGTCAAGGTTAACGAGAATATTTTTCAAGTGTTGCAAGACAACATTCATTGATTTTTTCTTTTATGATTTTTTTTTTCTGGGGGGAAATGAAAAGATTAAAACGCTGACGGGAATTATGAAAGCTTTACACTCGATGACCCTTTTGTAATGTAAATTTCAATAACGACATTGAATTTTCCACCCTAACCAATGCTCAACGATAAAGAACCTGGATTATGACTTCAATGAGTTGATGTTTATTAAATCTTTTCTTTGTAATAAAAAAAGAAATAACGCGTATATTAGTTGGACAGCCGTTAATGAAATAAATTAATGAACTTTATAAAGGAAAATCGTAAAAAAGTGAATAATAATTATTACTTACTGTTATTGATTTTCCACATTCCTAAAAATTTATCGTCAAATTTCGTAATTTCTTATAAGCGGTGAAAAAGCCCAAATTGAAATAATTTAGTGAAAATTGCTCTCCTTCCCTTTCACATCCAAATAGTTCGATACAAAATTTAATATAAAAATTTAATGAAGCATAATTAAATGAAATGAGATCTTGGGTGTCCCAAAGATCCATTTTTCGGATCAATATTAAATGTCGTGTGAAATTTTTGATCTTCTTAACTCGCTTCTTTTTTCTTCTCCTTGAATAATTAATGTGTGGGTGGATGAGAGAATTGAATTTCGAACAAAAGTTACTCGTGTCATGAAGACATGAATAATGAAGAACACGAATGATGTAAAGCAAAATAAATCTGTCTGTATTTGTGAAAACTTTTTAAATAGAAAGCTTTTCTATAGCTGAATGAAAGCTTATCTTAATGCTTAGAATTAAATATTCTTTTAATTCAGTTATCTGATGAATAATTTACTTCCAACTTACGTACGTATGTGTAGCTTTACGAGAAGTTTCCTTGATTGGAATTTATTACAAGTCTAGCTAAAAAAAAGTCGGAAAAGCTTCGTAATAATCAATCAAATTAAATTGACATGCGAATTTAACCAGATTTGTAGGTCAAAAAAGATTTTTTAATTATCATTTATCTCACGACTTTGTTCTTAAAAAATTAGGTAAAAGAAGCATTTCTTTTAACACCTTTTAAAGGCTAATTTTAGTATCTGAAAATTGGTAAAACAAATAAAAATTCACAAAAATATCTCTCAGTTAATTGTTTAAATAAACTTATATCGACGCACAAAAATGTTTTAAACAAGAGTTTTGAAGGTAACTTATAACGAATTGAAAATTGCTAATTGATGACTATGTGCTCATGAAAGACATAAAAACTCGACTTTACTTCTTTTGAAATGAAGTTGAACTGGTGTTATCTAATTTGAGTTTCGTGCGATGGGACAATTAAGATAAATACATCAAGGACAGCAGCAAAAGTTCCTTAACATTAAGTCTTGAAAGTTCAGCGTGCTTTGATGGTGATTTGCATTTTCAATGTTTCTTCATGCTATGTATGAGATAACAAATGGGCTGGTTTCTTATTATTATAAAAAATAAAATTGTTAGGCGTTATGCAAATAATTCAAGTTAACTTATGACTCATAGCACTTGGTAAACTAAATCAATCCATAACTTTTCGCTTCAACGTCATTGAACGTCATGTCAAATGATTTGTTACGTTGATCAGGATTTTTTTCTCAGAACTTTATCATAATTTTTATTCTCTTTGTTTTAATATTATTGAGTAAACTCAAATTCAGTTATCAATAAATCTGAGAATATAAAAAATGTTTAAATGATTTTTACCTTTACATTATTGAGAGCTTGATTGAGAGTATGCCTCAAGCAATCATGTGACTTTATAGTTTCGTTGTATCCATATGGAAAATATTCTAATAATCTAAACATTATTAACCAAATTATCAACAGTTGTAATGGGAAATCTACAAATTTATCACCGTTTTCTTTATCAAATAATGTTTCAAAATTTATTGAGCGTTAAATTGTTGTTGATTTATTACAATTGTTTGAAGCGGGTGGAAAGCACAATTGATAACCGTAATTATTAAGCAACGATTTCCAATCATAAATATTATGACCATAAACATTTGAAACAGTCTTTTTTCATTTTATTTACTTTTTGTTTACTGCTACTTTAAATTTAAATAATTACTCTTTATCGATATTAAGTTGAGTTTCATTCAAGGATGATTCAATAAATGAAAAACAGTCTGAAAAACACGTCACAAGATTAGACTTTGACCAGCGGTTTTGCTTGTTTAGACTAACCCTATTTATTTCCTGCATACACAACACACTCGTGCCTTCAAATCTTCTTTTTTGAAGCGAAATTTTTACTCAAATAATTTTTGAGCATGAAACCTGATTTTGCGGTTTGGATGTCAGAAGGAAGAAAAAGAGATTTCATATTGCGGTAGGTTGAAGACATCAATAACTCCATAAATCTTGACCTAGTAAGGTTATTGCGGAGTTTACTTTTTAGTATTCTCATATTGTTATTTTGCATGCATGTATACCTTACCTTAATATTAAGTAGCCTTCTGAATATCTGAGGAAGTTTATTTCATTCCTTATTCCTTATTTAAGCTGCCTTAGTGTTTGTCGTTTTTCCATTGGCAGAGAAAAGTCTGAAAATTTATTGTCATTTGTTTTCCTTAGCATTGTTTGTGATTCGTGAAAGTCACCGCTATTATTTGTCAACGTTTTTCGTTGGATGACAAGAAAAAGAAGAACAAAAAAAAGTATAATGAAAAAGTGAAATGCCTCAATTATTTGTCCTCGAAGTCTAAATAGAAAAAAAAGATAATGAAAATCGATGATATTTCACGATTAGTCAATTACTGAAGCAATGGAAAATAAAATAACGAAATTAATTTGAACGCTTGAAGTGATTAAAGCTGGGAAGTGAATTGCAAGTCCCGCTATCGTATGACTTTTCATATTTGATTAACACTTGTTCATTTCTTAATATTTATATAAACTCAATCATTTTAGTCACATTTTGTTACCATACTTACCAAATATGTGGGCTGGTTTGTCGACTTAAAAAATTTCTGCTAATCTAAATAAAATAAAGAAAGGAATTTCGTAAAATATTTGACAAAATTGAAAACTTAAATGACGAAATGCCACAGAAATTAAATTAATTTAAAGCTTTGCAAGAATCACGACATCGTAAGCATGAAATTTATTTTTACGACGAATATTGTCCCAATTATGAGAACCTTAAAAGACGAAAACTGTTAAGCAATTAGCACTGCGAAAAGTGCCTCGTGTCAATATACTGCGTAGCGTTCATTGCTTGTAAGGAATTGAATTGAAATGAGTATCAGTGCAATGATGAAAGCTATTTATTTAATCTTACGATTTTAATGTTCATGTATGTTAAGTTTACAACATACAGAATTAAATTCACGACATATAAGTAAATAGATATCGCAGACTTTCCGTAATATGCAACGGCGATGGCCCCGCAACAATAATAACTCGACATCGTGGACGAGAGCGAGAGAATGTTGCATACAATGAACAAGCAAACTGTAAATTCGTACACAGACCTTCGATTGTATTGACTTTTGAGTAAATCGTGAACACAGGTATAGATAAACGACTACGAGGTTTCAAATGGGACTGTAAAGCTGATTCTTTTTCAGTTGCTTTGTTTTTCTTCCATTTTTTTCTTTTTTTATACTTTTTGAATAGTTAAACACGAGACTTCATCGGATTTGGACGCATTTTAAAGTGAAGTCTTGTCTCCTTTGTAATTTCGCTAATTTTCTGTGCTAATTAATTTTAAAAGTTAAAGATACGAAAATTTCGCGAAATCTTGTTAGAAATCTAAAAAATAATAAAAGTTTATTGAGTGAGTAACGAAAACTAAATAAAAAAGAAACATTGTGATAAGAAATTTCGTGAATAAGAAAAGAAAGAAAAAAAAGCTCAGCCGGATGATGAGAAGGAAGTTCGTCCTTTGCTTGTCATGCGGTTGAAAGCAAAATTGAATAGCAAAATGAATCGCAATGAGATGAAGATGATGAAAAAAGAAAATGATAAATTGGTGGTGAATTAAATTCAAATCAATCATAAAGAAAAGAAAAGCGTGTAAAATAGTACTTTACATCGCAAAACGTGGAATTGATTTATGTGATGTGCTCAACGCGGATAATTCGACAAAGATATGACAATATGAAGAATGTGCAAATTGAATTAGCAAGGAATAAGGAATTTCCACTTGAAATGATGGATTCACAACGTGGATATCTTTTTTTTTTGTTTTTTCAATAAAAGACGATCATTTTGGTTTTTTTTAAAGTCTGGAGACGAACAAAACAGACGAGAAAGAAAAGAAACAAATGGGTGCGCCGCAACCATAAATTCAAATTTCTTTCGAAGCTCTTCTAATATGACCTAATTTTCGTGAAGTTTTAATGTGAAAACTTCGAGACATGAGACGAAGTTTTTCGTTTGTCAAGACTTTCCGAAATTTGATTGAGTTTCATTGAAAAAGTTATCAATGATATCACCACCGATTGTGCTTCTCTTTTTTCTTCTCCGCGTCATTATTCACGTCTGATCATCAGCTCGGTTTCATTTTCAACGTCAACAACATCAATAACAACAGCAACAGAAAATCGATGTCGCTCATGCTTTGCTTTGGAAAAATGGAAACGCGTCACTAACGAAGCGCTTTCACATCGCTTTTAATATCGCGATTAGTAATTGACAAAATGTGAAATTAAATTGCAAGGAGGAAAAAAAAATAAATAAAAATATCGGTTGAGTGAACAAAATTCATTGAGAGAAACTCTCAATGGTAAGCTTAAGTTGCAACGACAGAAACGTGATTATCATGAGCGTTCCACATCTCAATATCGATTGCATTGTGGAGCGGAACCAAAAGTTCATTAAACGCTGCGGGAAAAAATCAATTTTTTGTGTTTTTCAGAGCCGCCATTTATTACAGACAATTTTGACTATTCACAAGCGTAACATTCTTGAAAAGACAGATTTGCAAACTGCATAGATAATTGTTATTATGCTTGAATTAAAAAAAATACTGTCAAGCTTGACATTTCTGGCACATTCTAATTTTTTATGTTTGTATAATTCGATATTACTTAAAACGTGTTAGATGCGAATATTTAAGCGAGTCTCGTGATGACTTTTTTTGTAATCTCGATTGAATATCGAAGTTTTTTCTTACATTTTTGACCTGAATTGTAAATAGCTATGAGAAAAAGGAAGAATATGTTAAATTATTAAATTTGTTCGTTCATAACTTTGAATTTTTATGAATATCTACGAGAACATTTCAAACGGAATAGGAGAACAATAAGATTTGCATTAAAAGACAAAATATAAAAGTTGGGACTGTGATGATGCTGACAATTATCATAGAGATTATCTGAGATCGCTTAACTTTAACAAATTTAAGCCCTTACACGGATAACAATTGAATTGGAAATTTCCATAATCCATTCAATTCGATTTGGCCTAAAACGAGGGTATATTAGATGAGATTGTGTCGCTATTTGTAGACGATTTGACAATGAACTTTATTGTAAACCGGTTTTCCTTTTATTTAAACAATATAAGAAAAGATGACCGTTGATTAAAATTTTGTTTCCGCAAGCTTGTTATGCAAATGCAAAAGTTTCATTAAGTTGAGTTGTGTCTAGGCAGAAATAAAAGAAGAAGCGACTTTCATTAAACGACACTCGAGACTTTGCTTTCTTTACGAGTGTCTGGTTCTTGTTCTCGAAATGAAACTAAATTAAGTCTGACACTTAAACTGCTTTTCTTTGTTACATTTTTCCTTAAGACATCCTTCTGTTAGCAAGTATGAGATACTTTTCATTTATAGTGCAACACATTAAAACATGTAATTAAATTATAATTATAAATAATAAAATATGAGCTTATTTCGCAGTTAACTCGTTAAAGTGATTTATGACATGACAGTGATTACTATCTTAATGTGCAATGTGTGAACTTTGAAAGCTCCTAAACTTTTTACTTCCGTCTCGAGTTGAAAAGTTCTTGTTTTAGTGTCTCCTTAAAACTTCATTTCATATTTCAAGGGCTTGAGGCTGTTGGAAACAATCTTATAATGTGTAAAGCAAACTGATGTTTGTTGTCTTTAAAACAATATTTTGTGATTCTACACGTTCAAATAAAAAGTATGTTTAAGATTGCTTGCATAACGATGCATCGTTTGCACTTTAACAAACATTGTCAATGATAATATTGTTGATAGATTAAAAACTTTCCATTGGGCCTTAAAAGGCGAGAAAACGAGTTCAGGTCTCAAATGTAAAAGAAAAAATAGCATCAGAAAGTTCTGATAAGAATAGAACGTGATTCAAGTCATGCCTCAATCTCGAGCTGTTTAAATATTGTCATTCCCATTGTCATTGACGTTGTTGTTATGCATTCTGTAGATAACAACAAAATATTCGTCAATTAAAAAATAACGGCTTTTGAACGACTCTTATTGAGAATTAAAATAAAGAAACTTCAAGCTTACATATTGTAAGATTAATCTTTACTTCAAAATTCAATAGACTCAAATATGATGTCAAGCTTAACATCAAGTGAATCAAAAAAAAAGATTTGACGAGTTTTTAATTGCTTAATTATTTTGCAATTCAATTTTCAGAAAATATCTGTGATTGCTAGCAGTAGTAAACAAATTGCATGTACCCGACCATAAAGTTTATGCAAATGACTTTATAAAGCAATTTTAATTAGTGAAGCATAAATTAAATTACACAGTTGAGTTGATAGGAAAAGTTACGCTTTTCTAAATATATTTCGTCGAGTAATTGATCGGCTTTTTTTTTATTAAGCTCATGAATCTTAATTATCTAAGATTGATTTTTTGATGTTAATTTATGTTAATACTTATGGTAACGCAAACAATATCAACAATAAATTTCATTTTTATTTTCATTCATAATTTTCACTCTTTTTTAATATTCAAAAACTTTTAGTTCACTTCAAGCCTTAATCTTTTTTTCTGTTCAAAGTTTTCAATGTCTTTTAATGAATCAATCATATAACTTTATGACAATTGCACGACGACAACGCCACTTGAAGCTTGAAGCTTTGAGAGATCGACAAATAAGTTAAACTGATCGTTAAATTTCATTTAGATACAATGAAGTTTGCATCATTCAAAAGGAATTTTATATTAAATTTTAGAAGTTAAAAACACTTAAATATTGTGAAATTAAATGCGGTTTAAGCTGCTTTTAATGCTTGATGAATAGCGTTCGAATGCTTCCCGCTTCCACTTCACGCTAAAACTCAACATATTTCAAGCATTTACAAGCCGCTTGTTTTTTTCTGGTGTAAATAATTTTATGAATTGATTTTATTCGACACACATTACGCAACAAATGCTTTAAATACTTTAAAGAATGCACATAAACGTATATGAAAGCTTTGAATCATGAATTTGTAATAAAACTTATGCGGCTTTAAATTTGTTATTCAAAAAGTGTAGTTCATACTCTCTTAGATCAACTTATACATCGAATATGAAATCAGTTTAAAAGACAACAAAATCTTTTATGCAGTACGATCAACTTTTTGATTATCCCTCAAGTGCAATCAGAGTGGAGAATGTTTTAAGCATAAGTCGATAAGAAAAGCAATTGTTTACAACTTTTCGATTATAAAATACGAGAAAAAAGCATTTTTTGTGATAACTTTTATAGGAGCTGGCATGTTTTTAAGGGGAAGAGAGAAAAAAAGTCGATAAAAAGAAAATCTTTGAACACTTTAAAGTTTTAAGTATAAGAACTTTATCGATTGTGTAACCAACCGTGGGAAAGATTATTGAAAGCTTTAGATTTGAAGCAACTCAAGCTTTCTTCTACTTTTGTTCTCGAAATTAGACGACATTTTGAAAGTCGAATGCGAGTCACGTAGACCCGATCGAAAGATGATTTTCCAATGCCAAGGCAAAACATGAGAAACGTGAACGAACAAAAAAATTGTTATTGTTGGAAGTTCTCGTTGTGTTTATGAAATGAGCGCTGATGAAAAACAAATCAACGAGAACTTTGTTTCTAGCTTAAACTCTTTTGTAACCGCGACGCGACGTCATGACGAGTTTAGTTCAGCCAACGGGCGTTAAATTTGGATCAAATAGAGAAATGAGCGTCAGCACCAGTCCAAGGCTTGTTTCACTTGAAGAAGAAAACATTTTTACTCCCCAAAGACTGTCGTTGAATGAAAATGGCACTTCCGAAACTCGTAAATACTCCGATTCAAATCTTCCAAACGCCTACACAAGCAGCACTCACAAACAAGTGAAGAATCGTCGAAGTTCATTGGGTCTGGGACTCCTTGGGGGAAAGAGCGATTCAAATAGAAATGGCAAACGACGAAGCTCGATCGCAGTCGTATTTTTAGGACGACGACAAAGCAAATCGAAAGAAGCGACAGTTGAAAAGGTTGAAAAATATCTTCGGAAGTCATCAGAGTCTGACACGGAAAATGATCCGCCAGTAAAAATCACAATCACACCCGATTATGAGCCAACAATGCAAGAGAAAAAACGACGACGAAGCTCATCATGGGCAACGAAAATGGAAAGGCGTAGACGCAAAGGTCTACCAGCAATGACCGGTGAAATTGACTATCATGGAACAACAAATGGACAACATGACGCCTTCTCGCGCCAAAAGCGACATTCGTGGTGGAATATTTTTGTGCCAGAAAACCTCAAAAATAGGTAAAAGAACATGACAAATGATTTTTCTTTCGATTAATGAATCGTCATCATTGTGACTAATCCTTCTCGTTCACCACATCCACATTTAATTAATGAATATGAGATTATCAATTTTCTTGTTGTTAATTATTGTCGAGTCGATTGTCTTATCATTTCAAGTGGCACTTTCCTTCTGAAGGCAAGTGAATCACAAAAAGGAAGGAACACAAAGAAAAGATTGATTAATGTTGATATGGGTGAAGAGTTCAACTCTTCTATCTTTCTCTCTTTCTGAATTGATTATCTATGTCCAAAAAAATATCCTTGATTAAGAGCAAAGTTATCGCGTTCTTGTCTTTAATGTCGTCGTGTGAATGTCGCGCTAAGATTTTCAAGTTGAAATGAGTCATCAAACGAAGGCTTGCATTTGTTATCACATTGACATTAATTCTCATCTTTTTTTTAATTCTTTGGTTATGAAAGACTCATCGACAAATCCACCGACAATAATAACACCTAAAAGCTATAAATCATCGAAGCTTTATTTATAGCTGTGAAGCTTTGCGGCAGAGATTTCGCGTTGATTTAACGTGCCGTGTTCAAATTCTTGTTTGTTTTGTTTCTCTCTCTCTTTTTTTTGTTCATTTACTAAGTAAGCAAATGATTTGCTGCTCGTTTGGCTGTTAACGCAAACAAACATTTTGGTGGACGTTTGTGAGACATTTTGGAGTCAAAACGATTGTTGATTCAACTCAATTTCTTTCTTATTTATTTTGGAGAAGATTTCGTTAAACCCTTGCTCTGCTTTTCTTTTATTCTTCTTCTTCTTAATGCTCTCAATTGTTATTTGTGATGAAACACGACTGCAAATAAAGCTTTTGGATTAAAGTTTTTTTTGTTGCAACAAATCTGCCCTCAGGAGAATTTCCTTTTGATCAGCACGTGTCAGTTGAAAGTTTGTAAGAAGATATGCTATGTGAGGTAACAGGGCACATGAAAACATATCTGAGATCATGCTATGATAGAACAATTAGAAATCGGAACACACGTCATTAGAATTCTTGTCCATTAATTAAATACTGTCGTCATGACTATCGCTTAATCGTCATCACGTCACAACACCAAACGTTGCTGATTAGATTTCACACAAATTTTTTTCCTTCTCTTATCGTCACATTTTTTTTGTGTGCTACATTTATTGTGTGCTGAAGCTCTAATATTTATTCTCCACAAACCTCGAGAGAGTTTTTTCTGTTTGATTTCATTTTAAAATGAGAAAAATGATTTCTTCTTATTATTCTTATCAGTTTTGGAGTATTTTTTATTTTTCCTTAACAGTCTGATTTTAGTATTTTAAACGCTGCACATTTGCGGAGATCTTAGTGAAGTGTTTTCCATTTTTTTTATACTTTCAATTTAATAATGTTATTGAGTTAGCTTAATTCTCACTTGTGATAAATATTTTTCACAACAGCAATTAATCATCCAGTGATTAACAAGAAATAAAATTCCACAAAAAATCGATCAAACGATTCAGAGATTGAATGGTGTTGAGTTGACCTTCTAACAAGATTAAAAATCAAAGGAAAATAAGAAATTTCGCGTGTGCAAAATATGTTTTGAAAATATCAATTGCTGATTAATTTTGGTTATTTGCTGATTATTCAGAAAGCTTTAAAAATGTTGTGATAGGCAGATTGCCGACTGAAGTTCTTCTTGCTAAAGATTAAAGAAAAAAAATTGCTTAGCCTTCAATTTCATAATAATTTTAAGATTCTGGAGTATTTTGTTATTATTTATTTCACAAGAAGACTTTTTTGATAACAATATTTTTGAATCGCATTTTTTACGCGCTGTAAATTAAAAACCTTTATTTTTTTTTACTACCAATGGCGACGAAAGAAATCTTTCACGTGATGTTTTTTTTTCATAAAAGTTTACATTCAAAATCGACTTTAATTCTTTGCGATTTTTTGTCAATGTGGGATTTACATGTTGATATACCTACTAAGCGGGCTTTTAAAATGTTTTGTTTATTTTAATGTAGGTTACAAACAAGTGAATTAAAAGTTTTAATCATGCGCCTGAAATCCATCAAAACGATCCAAAAATAAAAGAAACATAAACTTCGACAAAAAAATAAATACAAAGAATGTCTGAAAGTGCGCCTCGAAGGCAAAACTGAGTAAATGGAAGTTTAACTAAAAAAAATCGATAAAACAATAATAAAAGTTTTGAAATCATCATTGTCAGAGGAGCTGAAAAAAAAGTTCATTAGTTTCTTCTCATTCATTGTTTCTTTGTTTATGTACGATAAGATAAAGTTGAGGGTAGCTGATAATAAAAAGAAAAAACAAATATTTAAAAATGCCACTGAAGAGTCAGGTTTCAAAATTTAAAGAAATTTATTGGTAAGAAAATTTATCCGAAAAGTTATGAAAGTTTTCATCATGAATCATATTTTGTCTGAGATTCCTAGTATTTTTCGTATCGTAATGAAATAATCATTGCACAAACATGCTCTCAATCATATCATCGTTTTTCATTGGTTTAAAACCAAGACATGTATAAAATGTTTATCCCATAAATCTCCATTATGTCTTTAATTTCTTTAAGAAATAATGAAGAGAAGCTTAGAAAAAGTGTAAAAGATCCAAGATGATATTTTATCTTCCACCCAACGCGCCTTTCCTATCTCATCTTCTTCATGTTCAAGGCAAACATTGTATGCATAAAAATTTAATGCAACATCACTTTAGACGATGAAATATTTATTCTGTATTCACAACATCCTCGAGATATATTGAAGATGGAAATGGTTTTCACTGACTTTAATCTTTAAACTTGGTTCATAACATCACAAACGTTTGCTTTAGTTTATTGAATAACAGAAACCTAAAGTTCATTCCACTTAATAATCAATAAGTAAAATAAATATTACTAACATGTAAACTGTTAATAAAACTTAATAATAATGAAAAAAAAGTGTCATGAGACAAGGAAAAATCGATTGAAATTCACTTAATTCACGACACATGGTTTATGCGTGTGTTAAACATTTAAAGCCGCTTTGTTTACATTATTTGATCCCTGTAGTCATACAAATTTTTGTTTACTTTAATTTTCATCATGAGTATTGTGGTAGAAAAGCTTTCGCACGGAAACTTATTAACATCCTGTTTGACGCCCCCAATCGTTACCGTACATTTATTCGTCTCACTGCACTTCATCGCGTGACATTGAATTCATTTAAAATCTGACACATGTATGTGCGATGGAAGGGCGATAATCGCTTATATTATATTTATTTTTATATTAATTTATATTTATCTTATTTATTTTTCTATTTTCATGTTAATTGCTCGATTATTGTTGATGTTATTATTTCTATTTGTGTCCGAACATTGTTGTTTGCTTGATTTTTGGTCTTGCATGTAAAAAGGACTCGAAGATCTAGTCAAGATGTTGGTCAACTCTCGTCAGGTGTGGAGAAGTTTAAAGCGCCACCATACAATCGGTAAGTAGTGTAAACTTGAACTTTGAATATTAATAAGCGCTCAATTATCTTCCTTTTATGTGTTTGATTAATTTCATTGAATGAATTGCAATCAACACTTGATGCTTCTTATTTGCTTTCACTTATGGCGAACGTATAAAAGCTTTCGATTTATATTTATTCATTCACAGCAAATTTATTTTTTTAATTAAATTCGATGCGATGTCAATTGGCGAAGCAATACAATCAGTTTCACATTTATTAAGTTTGCTTGAGTAAAAAATTAATTAATAGGTACATATATCATAAAATGCAATATACGCTTTGAAACAGTTTTACAGAAAATATGAAAATTCGTAAAACTAGATCATAAGTTTATATAAAATATGATGTCAAGCACAATCCTGAAAAGTTTCTTGAATTGAAAACATAATTCACAATTCCATCCTTTGACGTTTAATGTCTTGCTGAAACTTAAGCTACATGTCATTCATAAAGCTTTAACTTCATTCTTTTTCTCTTCTGTTTCAATGTACATAGATATGTTGAATCAACATTCGAAAATATGAAAAAGATTCAATTCCATTATTTCCTAATCAAATGAAGTTTTTTTCTCGTTTGTTCTTCAAATCCGACAGGAAAATGACTGAAAGGAAATGAAACGTGGGAAAAAGTTTTCCATAGAAAAGCTTTAATCATGAATTATCTCATGATGTAATTAAATAATGCGAATTTATGTATGTTCAGATGTTCTTACAAAGTTCATCTAAAACATAAAAGTTTCAACGTTTCATTCTTCTTTTACAAAACATGCATGATGGTAAAAGCTACAAAGAATGTTAGAGCTATACAAGAGATATGGAAAGCTTCAAGTCACACAATAAATCTTTCTTGAAGTTAATATATAAAAAAGGAAACGAAATAAAATTGCAATAAATTTTCTTCCACCTGAGAGTCTGAAAGCGATTTCAAAGATAGCAGAATTGTTTTCCAGAGCAAAATTGGAATTATGAGTCAAAATACGGAACCGTAAAAAATGAAGCTTACAATTTTTTTCCTCGTCGTAAACTAACATGTTTTCCTTACTTAAAGCTCATCGCTACCTCTTTTTTTCAAGATCAATCGAGTGTAGCGTATTTAAAATGAAATTCCTTTTGAAATATCAAACTTGAAGCTCTCAACATCGTAACAGCACTCGTTGTATAAGCTTAAGCTTCTCGTCTTATTTTATGAGGTCATAAAGAAATATTTACCGCCACGTGAGATGGCAATAAAATGTTTAAATTGTATTAATGAGAAGGAATGAAGAAGAAATAAAGAATTCTTTGCTTTTAATTGTCTTGGGACAAGCGGAATTTAATGACAAAGAAATTTAAATTTATTCTGTGATGCTTACACCCACGCTGAATGATAATATTATCCAAGTTTAACGAATTAAATCAACATAAAAGTTGTCACAAGATAAAACAAGACCAACGACCTTATTCAAAGCTTTCCTTTTCTCATATTGCCATTCTGTTATCTATGCGAACTTCCAGAAGTGTATTTACGACCGGAAATCGTTATCAACTCTAACCCGACCCTCAAACTGTCGAGATTGGCTTAGAAAGACATTAATATACGCTGCACGCTATGTTTTCAGTTTTCATTCAGGTACTGTTGAGTTGATCGCGCGGGTTGACGCGGCATAACGCTACTTTAAGTAACGTCAATTTATTATATTTTCTTCTCTCTCTCTCTCTCTCACGTTTGTTTCATTCGCGATTCATTAGTCAGTGTACTGTAGCTACTTCTAAGCATACTCGTTGACTGAATTCAATGTGATATTTTAGCGATTCGTAACTTGATGAATGTTTTTGATATTAGAATCAGTCCCAACATCAACCTTGACATACATTTTTTTGTCATTTTTTCCCTCGCATTATAACAAATGAATATTTATTGGAAGTTTATTGAAATTGAGAAGCTTTAATGCATGTAAATGTGCACTTAGATGTTAGCGCGTAAATTTTGTCGGCATGTAACGAAATATTTTATCCATGACAATGCTTTTGAGTTTGTCATGTGACTTAAAATTCATGTGAAGGCATTCGGTAACTGGAAACCTCACAGAAAAAAAAAGTATGCCCATCAACAGAGAGCATCACATGATACTGCAATTAACTTACTGTCTGTTCGTGGAATTCTTTTTTTTATTTTCTTATGACGATAATCTGACAGAAAGCTTTGTTTCGTTTCCAATGCGGTAACTGACACAACATAATTCATCCACTTCTCTCTCGTTTATGTCAAGATTCAGACTTTTAAATGAAATGTTTTCATTTTTCATTCAAAAATATTTCTTCGAACCAGACAATAAAATTGAAAAGTGCCTTCATGTCGTGAATATTTTTTGAGCTTTTTCAATGTTGTTGATTTTTATTTATTTGCATAAATGTCAATCGATGGTAAAAAGAAGAAGGAAGAAAAAAATTATGATTAAAAGCAATCAATGATGATGATGATAATGATGGTGGCAGTAATGATGATGATGACGGTGATGGGACGGAGGCAAAACGATGAAAAAGGCAAATGAAGGAATCGAGGCAAAAGTCACGTTTTCAATTATCTTGCATACATTTACGAATTAATTTAAAGAAGGGCGTCTGGTAACGCCGTTAGGTTCGAAAAATTTCCTTTTTAATAAATCATTGATTGGGTAATGCGTGGGAAGCAACCAATGAGACTTGTTACATACCCTATGATTCACACTTATTACGGAAGCATGCTACACCATCATCAATAAAACGAAGTAAGAAAAGAAAAATTCGTGAGAGTCACAACCCAGCAGACGAGGCAATCTGGTTTTACTGCGTTAAATATTTCACTCGAAACTTTCACTCAAAAAAAAGCTTGTTTCAAGGAGATTTAAAATCGATTCCGAATGAAGGATAATTCTTACACACTTACTCACACAAAACTTATGTACGACATTTTTTCTAAAGATTGTATGATAATATTTCTCTTCCTTTTAGATGATACTCGTAAAGATGAAATTATGATAAAAAAAATATATGTTTGGGATTCAAAGAAGCGCAATCCGATGATCAGAAAGAATGAATTTTTGTTTCGATAAAAAGTTTACGACGATAATTCTTAATTAATTCGACTCTTCAATATTCAAGCTTTCTAAAGATAAAAAAGGAAAAAAATATAAGACATATTTACAAAATACGATATTTAAATGACTTCACGTGTTTTGCCCATAAAGTTGGAGTGAAGTTTCAAAGTAAAAGTACAAAAAAAAGTTCAATGGCGAATTGGATGAAAGTTTGTCGACTGAGTTGTATTTTTTTTATTTCAATGCTCGAATTATTTCTGCTTTTTTAGAAATTCATAGAAAGAGAATATCAATGAAGGAGAATTAATTCATTTCACGTACATCAAAGTCGAAGGTAAAAAAACAAGAGAAAATAATTTGCGTAATAATTAAACGAAGGTGAATCGCCTGTCAGTTCTGTTTTGATATTATTTCTGATGGTCTAAGTCAAGTTGTTTATGTAATTAGTTGATGTTAAAAGCCTACATTATTTATCGTCCTGTATAGTTCAACTGAATACTTGTGCAACTTCTCAAACGAAGGTTAATGGCCTGACGATCGTAACAACGGAAAACTCCCTTTTCTCGTTTCTTGTTTTCTTCAATTTTATGTTCGTCGATGAGTCTTGCAATTCAACGTCGTTTAATGTTAATAACCTTCGTCAATTGCAAAATTTGTAATTTAATCACTTATAGTATTTGAAATACGAGAATCGCTGTTTGTTATTTTTTTTTCAAACAATTCGAAACATTTTGTTGGTAGTAAAAACAAACAAAAGGAAATTCGTCATGTGACTCACATGACCGTGTTGGCTTTTCGATTATTAATAATATTTTACCCTTCTCAATGAATTCTTTCAGGAGTAAATCACGTAGCGTTGATCATGGTCTGGCAGCACCATTCGACTTGGACTCACTTCGATCAAAAGTTGAAGGTCGTTTTGAGAGCATCGATCGACTGTCGGCTAAAGGTAAATTAATTTTTTTGTTTACTTTTCCTTGGTTAATAAAGAAACATGAATACTGCTTTGAGTCTTAAACTAAAACCAGTTCATTGCGAATGGAATGTGACGTGAAATTGAGTTAATTAAAATATTTCTATTCAGGCCCGGCACCAGTTGTTCCAACAATCACATACACAGTGGGAGATCGTGACACGCTCACATCGGTAGCAGCTCGCTTCGATACCACACCTTCAGAATTGACGGCGCTTAATCGTTTGGGTAGCTCCTTTATCTATTCAGGTCAAACTCTTCTTGTTCCCGATAAATCGCAGATGAAAGACGATGACTCATCAAGCGAAGCAAGTGGTGACACTGACGGTACTAAAGACAAAAGTCGAAAAAGCTCTAGCAATACCGACGACATTCCACAGCAAGAAAAGGGTAAGTTTCTTGTTCTCCTTTCCTTCTTCAGGAATTTTGTTTTCCGCGATGTTTTGAAGGCCAAACAAGACAAAAAAAAAGTCTTCCACCAGATATGCTGAACAATTGATTTTGTTTTGCAAGAGCTGCGCAACAGCAAAAGTCTCTCATACAAGTTTCTCATACAAGTTTCTTTCAGCAAATCATATGATTTGAGTTGACTTTGACATGTTGTAAATAACAAAAACGTCAAGTGAGGAAAAAATTAATCTACAATTTTTTTTTTCGATATCTTTCAATGAAAGAAGTTGGTTTCGAGTTGAAATTTTATCAAATTTGTGTGATCTACAATAAGATTTAGTAATACTTGTTGAAAGTGTTCAATTTAACACATTTTTTGAAATAGTTTCAAATTTAATTTTGTGACTTCAAGGTCGCTTGACGTGTCGCAAAAATTTTTAAGAGAATCTCTTGTTAAAGTAGGTTTTGACTAGTTAGTCATGGTTTAAAACACGTTTAACTCGAAAAAAATTGCAATGAAGTCTGCAATATTCCTAAAATCTGGTGGTAATCATTTCAAAATGTCGTCACATTACTTTATATCGTTTCATCACATTTTTTTGTTATTTTTTTTAGATCTTCTCGACGACTTACGTCCCAGTTCACCAAAACCTGGACGAATTGAGAGAATAAACACGCCAAATCAATCTGAAGATGATCCAGTTATTGTTCAACGGTTCCTAAAGCTCAATGTACGTCATATCACTGATGGTCAAGGAGTTGTCGGCGGTGTTTTGCTTGTAACTCCAAATGCAGTGATGTTCGATCCAAATGTCTCTGATCCACTTGTAATTGAACATGGTCCTGAAAGTTACGGTGTAATTGCTCCTATGGATTTTATTGTTAATGCAGCCATATTTAATGACATCGCTCATATGCGTGTTGGTACTGGTGAGTACACAAGCAACACCAACGAAAAGCCAGAAGTTTATCATCCAAAACCGTGTAACCGATGCGATACGCACTCACCTGGAAAGGATTCACTTTTGGTTAAGGATGAAACATTCCCTGAGTTGGGTGCTGGAAGTTCAGTCGATCAAGAAAGCAACTGCTCAACAGAGCGTGACGACGGTGACGCTTTCCCTAAAGCATTTGATCGTGATCTTGTAACACCGGTCGAAAGACTTCATGTCGACTCCACTGAAGGTGCTGCAACAACTGAAACTGAAGCAAAAAAAGAAGAAATGAAAGCATCAGAAGAAGCTGAAGCACTGAAATCTGCTGAGGAACGACGAAAGAGTCTTCTCGATCAACATTGGGCAATTCCAAGCAAGGATAGGTGAGCAATCATGATTCATTCGTTTCCATCACCAATCATTGCATGTTTTAACATTTTTTGAGTTGCACAATTAGCACAATTGTCACCATTTGCTTTGATTTGTATTGTATAACAGCAGAAATTCTCTTCGATTTTAAGGAAACAAACTAACAGCATGTGAAGAAGATTACCTCATATTTTATATTTTATTTTAATTAATTTATTTCATTTTTTATTTTTCATGCTTTTTTACAATCATCAACATTGTTTTATGTTCAAAAATTGTATTGTTTCAATCATAAACTTTGAAATTCAAAAACAAAAAGACTGAAAAAGAAATATAAATGTGATAGTAATGCGGAGGATGAGGATGATCAACAAAGTCAAGGTCAAGTGAAGGAGGCAGCAGCAGTTGTTGAAGAACCTGAAAAGAAAGCTGAGAAGGAAACATTACCTGTTGAAGGAAGTGAAGATGATTCATTGACACGAACATCATGTCATGATAGTGGAATTGATATTCGTGATGCTCTGCCATCTGTTCCGATTATTCCAACAAAGAAGGTTTGATTGTTTAGTTTTATAATTGAAAATTTAAGAGAAATTCAATGAAATTGATTTTATTTTAGGTTTATAGCGATGCTGATATCGTTCTTAGCTCAGATTGGGTGCCACCATTAACCATTGCACCAGCTTCAATATCAACCGAGACCAGGTCACAAGCATCATCATTTAGTCAAGATACAGTCTCAACACAAAGCAGTGAAGGACGGAAGAAAACGTCAAGTGTTAGCTTCAGTGTCGATGAAAATGAGAATCAAAATTCAGGAGCTGAGAAAGGAACTGGCGAAGTCAAGAAAAGCAAAGTGAGTTTGAATCTTCAATTAACCTTTCCCTGCATAATCATTTGATTATCTTTTTTAAGATGCTTAAACGCTTATCATATCCATTATCATGGGTCGAAGGCTTAACAGGTGAACCAGGAAAACCAGAAACTGAATCAGCTCCTAACACCAGCGATTCCAATCAAAGCGTCTTTTCAAAAGTATTTTCAAGGTAATTTTAATTAATCCCACTAATCGTATTCCATCTCTTCTCTATTTTGTTATCCGCTTTCACTCTTCATAACATTCCAAATAAATATTTCTATCAAAAACGTGGATTCGCTTCATTTCAATTAAATATCTCAAATCAAAAAATATTTTTTTTCCACTTAAACACATGTAACATCCACCCACGCACACCTTTGACTTGTGACAATTTCAAAATCTTTAAAAATCCAAACAAACAAAACAAAATAAAAATCGAACTTAAAGCTCGCCCATCACATTGGTCTCCGAGATCGGAGGCAATTTGTTTTTGTCAAAGACACCATCTGAAGATAGTGGCGGTTCTCCCATTCCACCATTACCACATGATTCTGTCAAAGATTCATCGGCAGGGTAAGCGATCAACGTCCTTTCGCTCGATGTTTTCTTTTTCTTGAGTTTCTTAATTTGATTTTATGTTTGCCGGCACCTTAAAAATATAAAGAAAGGAAATCTTTCGTTTTGTATTTATTAGAAATGACTAAGAATGGAATCATTCAACAAAAGATCAAAATTATTATTTGAGTTTTATTAAAAGTAGAAAAAAATTAGCACTTCAAAAAATATAACAGAACTTCATGCACCAAGTGATTATGCCATGCCTAACGTATCACTGAAATTTGATATTTGTGTGTTTGTTTGGTTTTATTTCAATGTTAGAAAGTTCCAGAAAATATTTTTAAAGATTCATTGAAATAATTTGATGGTTTTAATTTCAGACGATCATCTATTGGTACATTCATTCGATCACATCCATCATCGGAAAGTTCAGCATCATCACAATCGAGCAAAGCGAAGAAAGATCCTCCGCCAAAATTAGATTATCGTTCAATGGTGTCGATTGATGACATGCCAGCGCTTTTTGTGAGCTTCGACAGTAAGTTTTATAAATGATTTTCATACATTGTCAGTTGATGATGTCAAATTCATCATCAACTGACAATACAACTTTTGATGAGTTTAATTTCACATTTTTCACGTTTTCATTCTATTCAAAGATGAAAATGCGCGAAAATTTTTCTTGTTATGTTTGAGTCCAAAAGAAACTGAAAACATGCTCGTTGTTCACCATTTAATTTAATTTATTTATTTTGAACTTTCAAGTCATGAAACTGTAAGCAATGAAGAAGAGCTTCTGAATTTCTATTAAATAGATAGTTAGTTTATTTCTTTTAATTATATTCTTGTTTTGAATGTTCGAAAAAGAAGAAAAAGTTTCTGAAACATAAACATGGAATGGAAAAGTTTTTCGTTTTTATTTCGATCAACGGCACAAAACACTCACAACGCATGGACAGGATAATGTTGAACACGAAGCTCAATTAAAACTTATTTTGTATTATTGAACTGAAACAGAACAATCCTTCTATGTAGAACTGAAATTGTACAAATTCTTTCGTAAATACAACTAATCTTATCCTTAACATAAGACTAATGGAACACAAACAAACATAAAACATTATTTTAGTGAAGGCACCGTTGTTTCCTCAACTCGAAAATCTCGGTAGGTTTTTGAATTTAAACAAGTTCATAACAAAAATATTCTCTCATTTAAAATCGTAGCGAATTAATGAAGGAAATGTTGTGGTGGAAAAAGTTTTAAAAATGCTACAACATTACTTTGATTACTCTGCGATTTCTTATACATCTTTCAGTATCATTTCGTATCTTACTTATCACTCTCTTCTGAACATTCATTTCTTTTTATTCATTCTTCATCTTTCCAGTATCTAATAAATAATCTCTTATTGCTATCTTTCCTCCTACATACATTTCTCGACAACTTAATAACCTTAAGTCCATTGTTCTGTCACCTTTAATCTTCTACTCTATCGAACCATTGCCTAATAATAAAATAAATATTGCGTTGTCACATAAATATTGATATACACTAACAACTGTTGCACGATGATAAGTAATAAAAATTTATGTTGCACGATTTTTTATATAAAATGAACAGAAATAAATTTCACTTTGTTTTATAGTTATTAATTAAATAATTTATTTCTGATCAAGAAACAAAATAATTTCGTGAAATTAAAGTTTTTCCATCAGAAAATCTTAATCTCAATGATGAGACTTTGCACTTGATTGCGGTATGTTTTTGTAAGCTTTCGATGTTGGACATTTAAAAAAGTAAAAGCGTCGCTTGAGCACTAAATAAATATCCATGAATATCTGTCTAATAATAAAAATATGATAATTTAATTTTACAACATTGATTTCATCATTTAACTCTTATGAAACTATTCAGAACTGATTCCACGACCAGCACGTGCATGCCAAGATCCCCCAATGTATTTGCGACTGAGAATGGGACGTCAAATTGGAAAGACAACGCCTCTGCCAACAACAGTAATGTCGTATGGAAAAAACAAATTGCGACCAGAATATTGGTTCAGCATTCCTAAGAACAAGTGAGAAATATTTATTCGAAAAATGAAAATTTGTTTATTCTTAAATTAACACACAGAGTCGACGAGCTTTATAAATTCCTTAATGGTTGGGTTGCTCATATTTACGGTGAACTTGATGAAGAAGCTCTCAAATCTCGTGGTTTCGAGTTGATACAACATGACACTGAGTGGGCAAACAATCGCACATCTAGCAAGGTGAAGTAGCAAAACAAGGAATTAATACCAAGTAGCTTCATTAATGACATTTTCCTTTCAGGATGGCGGTGATATCAGTGGAGAAATCGGTGAATACACTCGCGAATCATGGGAGGTGAGTTAATTATTCGAACATTTCATATTTTCTTTTTTTATCAAAAAATCTTAAAAAGGTATAAAAATCCTGATGATTACTAAAAGTGAAAAATGTTTTTTAAAAGAAATTCTTTTTTTTATCTCTTTTCCGTTTTTTCTCTTAACGACAACAATTTGCAACATTTGTTGCATCTGTGAATCTTTTATCAATAATCAATAATGATTTATAAACAATAATACGAAACAAATGAAAATATCAGCTGTTAAAGGCTCCGTTTGTTAAAACATTCAATGTAATCAAAAATCAAACTGGATCATATGATTTCGAGGGTCTGGAGGTTAGATGACAAATTAAGCATTGATAGATTTGCATAACAAAAAAATTGATACAAATTTACACGTTTAGACGAAGATTTATTAATAAGTAGACAAAGACATTTGTTTCCTTCTTTAGTTATGACTTTTGTTTTTAGCAAAACTTCTTTTTTTGTTTGCGTTGATACCTATTAGCTGAGTGTTCTCTATAAACCTCGTTCGGTGTACAATTCAACGATAATTGTTAACATAGCTTCTTCTTTGGCTTATTTAGTTGGTTGGATGCTGAATTATTGCAGTCATTGGAATGTTACACACGACAATGATTTTTCTTTTAAGTTCATTCATTTTTGATGTGAATTAGAGCATTGGAAAACAGAAAATTTCTATTCTTTTATTATTTTCCACATTTATTTGAGTTCTGAAAAAAATTCAAAATTTCTAGAAAATTATTTTTTTATTTGAGTTCATGAAGATGTTTTTGCACATAATTTATACAAACCCGAGTTATAAATAAATAAACAGTTAATGTTCTATCATGCTAACCATAGTTAAAAAATCTATAGAAAGTCCAGCTTAACTCTTCCTATTTGCACCGTACTAAACAATACAAAACAAAATAAAAAGCTTTCAAGTAATTATTGTACAAACTTTCATTTAACACGAAATAATACTCAATTATTTATTGTTACACGAGATCACGATCAGAAATAATCGCTGTCGCTGTGAAATGAAATATAAATTTCACGACTACAGTCATCATCGTAGTTCTTCTTAATATCTTCTAAGTTGCTATTGTTTTTGTTTTAAATATTTTTATACATTCAGTTCGTCGGTCATCCGTGATCGTATATTTAGTTTTGCAAAATATTCTTAAAGTTGCCAGTTTATCATACACAAAATCACCTGGAAGATCCAGGCTGGAACTTGAAAGGAATAATATAAAAATAACCTAAACGGAACATAACAGAAGATATAAAAAAAAACTCGAAATGGGGAAGTTGAGTCCAAAATAAGAAATAAATAGTCGATCGTCATTCAAGTCAGCGAATAAAAAAAACTAGTTGTAAAGCTCGTGAATTTAAAAAGAAACTTTTAAAAAATAGAAACAAATGAAAAATATTCAGGTAAAATGAAAGAACGTACTTTTATACATGAAGACTTTTCCACCAGGTTTCGTCACGAATTCTGTTGACTTTTCCTCGCCGAGAATAATTTAATAAATGAAAAAAAAAAGCAAAGGAAGAAGAAAAACACTTTTAAAGAGTCGCGAGAGTATTCACAAACCAGTTGAACAGTAGACTGCCTACGAGTAACAGACACAGCACAACATAATAAGCATCACAAAAACCGCTTTTCTTTCTGAAAGTTTCTAATGATCAAAAAATTTTGTTTATCAAAACAACAAAAATTCAAATTTCATGTCATTAAAATTTAAGCCAAGTGAAGCTATAAAGGAATAAAAAATAACATTAAAAATACCTTGTTAATTGCGACAAAAGTTTTGCAGTAAAAAAGTGCACAATATATACGTTCGTGACCTTTTTATTGAGTAGAAGTCGTTTAAAGAAAACTGGAAAATTCACAACAATACTTTTGCGATTGCAGTCTCGAGCCGGGATAGAAAGAAATTCTAATCATGTCGGCATCAAAGTCAAAGTTTGCTCGCTTCTCGAAGTTCATTAAAACTAAGGTAAACCAAACAAAAATATTTACAAACTAGATGGGATTCTCGTGCATTTAATTGATAGTTTAGATCAGTGGTTTTATTAAATTTGTTTTCAATAAGAATAAAATTATTAACAATGGGAATTGTTAAAGCATTGTGTAGGATTGAGAATGGTCAGTCATTATTTCATACGTCCGGACAGTGAGTGGGTCATTTGAGAAGATTAATTCACATCTTCAAATGTTGACAGAAAGTTGTTTTAATTTCATAATTATCTGAACCAAAACATATCAACTTATAACGTATTTTCTTAATTATGATTGCGAATTAAATATTTAAATGAACCTGAAGGTTATAAAATGAAGATTTGTTTACAATCAAATGATGCGCCTAAATTTAAATCGTCGTAGAAAAAATAATCTTGACTGTTGATAATGAAATTATTGTTTACAAACATTTCTAATCATGAATTAAATTTTAAAAACCGTGAAAGAAAACAGTCGTCGTAAAGTTTCTTCACGATTAATTAATTCATTGAGAACCCTAAAGAATTCAATCGCTTGTGTGCAAACGTAAGAAATGATTTTCGGTGACATTCCAAATGATGACAAACTTATATAGCGTCTAATTGCGGAATTATTACAATAAATGTCCAAGCACAAGGCGATTAGTGAATGTCAGAGGACCTTCATTCTTACCTCGTTTGTTTTCTTCTTTTACTCATACCAGACGCATTCGCAACTTGAATTCAATGTTTTTCATATTTTTTGTTTCGAGAAATAATAAAACAGACACTGCCGAATGCTTACATCAAGAATATTGTCTCTTGGTATTTCTATTTGTCGTCATAATACACGAAAGTACTGAAAACATGTATGAAATTGATACCGTAATTCAAACACTTCAAATTGAACGAAAAATAATTTAAATGAGTTCAAAATTCATTTTTATTATTCAAATATCCGGTATAATGAATTCATTGCCTGTAATTCATTGTCTAATGTGACATAATTTAAATGACAAGTGATGCGGTCGACAATAATATGCAAAAACCGTTGAAATTTTTTTCAAAAGCTTAGAAAGCGAGATATGTGTACAATCATTCTTTTTTTACAATCATCCCTGGTGATAAACAAAATAATAAAAGCACTCGTCGTGCTCTCACGAGAAGGAAAACTTTCAAAGCATGGAAATCTCTGATACTTTGATAGTGTGCAACTCTCAACAACACAACCATGTGAAATCAATTGTCAATGTGTTGAGGAAAAAAAAATTGTTTCATTTCGGTGTTTCATCTCAAATTGAAATTTTAGTATTCGAAAAGAATTAATGAGCAAATAACATCTGGTTTAAAATATGACGAGAACAAGACTTCAAAAAATTGGAAAAAGATAAAAGTTACGAAAGTTTTCGTCAGTAGCTTCAAAAATTTGCTTATAAAATGGAAAAAGATTGCTTTTGAGTGTATAGTAAATATGAAATCTTTGAAAGTGTAAGTGGAAGTATCAACAGTGTAAAATTTCAACTTTGAGATGTGTAAAATCACCCGTGATTTCGATCATATGACATAAACTTTAAAAACGTGATTTTCTCAAAAGCAACTTACACTTTGATATTTCAATAGTCAGAACTATTATGATACCGGTTTTATCAAAATAAATAACAAAATTGAGGCTTCTTTGAAATGCACCTTTTAGTTTTGTAAGAATCTAAAGGAAAATGAAGCATAAATAAGAAAACATTGCAAACAGTTCAATGACCACTGTGATAAATATCAATAGTATTCAGACTTAGTCGAGACACATTTCTTCTTATAAATCAGTGTCTTTACTATTTTTAATTCTTATTATTCTAAACAAAGTATTTAAATCAAGTAATCAATATGTGGTTTATTTACATAACAGTGCTTACGGGCATTATTGCTTTTGTTTTAAAAAAATATGGCTGGAACTTTCGACGATTTGGTCGGCCTATTTTCCTTAGAAAAATTGTTGGAAAAATAAGACCAGCTACACCTCCATTGGAAGACAAAAGACGTCTAAGCACTGATCACAGTGTCTTTCAAGTGTTTGACGACGGAACAATCATTTCGAGTAAAATCGAAAAGCCTCAGATGGTAATTGAGAATGATATAGTTGATGACAACATGATCCTTATTATGACTGTGATTAATGTAACAATTCAATGCTCGTGGCATTAAAATAAAATATTTACGACCCAATCAAATCTAATGATAATTTATGTCTTAAAAGCATTTGATTCATTTCAATATATTGCAGTTTATTAAAAAAAAGTTAATGCCTTATTGGGTTGATGGTCAGAATACTTTCTACTATAATAATAAAATGCAACAAGCTCGCAACTTGTGATAAATTGCATTAACATTGACTTCTGATTGAGTTTAAAGTTTACATTAGACATATGATGATTTAATCAAAAGAGAAGCAGTGATTCACCAGATGTTCTTTAACGTTTATTAATTATCTTTTTCATTTCTCGGAAATTGTTTTTCGTAATTTGTTCAAACTTCAAATGATAAAAGAAAACATGATAAAATAGAATTTTTTAATTTAAAAAAATTCGTCACCATTTGATTGTCACAAATTAAACGCGCAGTTGATTATGGAAAGAATTTTGATTGAGAGAATCTCGTTTATTAATTAATTGCACTGTAAGCGCTTGACTCAAGGTGGAATTTTAAGTTATTTTTATCTCGAAATCGATACATTCTAATACTTTACACCAAAAGAGCTTCCGGAATTTACTAGCAATGATTTACTTAAATTTATTCTACCGTATAGTTTATTTTTTACGATGCACATTACTCTTATGAAACTTTAATTTTTCACTAACCTAATGGGGATGTGATAGCGCCGTTGTGAGCCTCACTTAAAAAATAACTTTCTGATTTTTTTTATACTCATTCAATTGTTTGCTTTGCTCGCGACACAAAGTGTTAAAAACGCGCTAATTATTTTGATAAATATTAAATTATACTTCAGAAGCAAAGAGAAACTGAAAAAATTTTAACTAGAGATTTAAAAATATTTTTGCGATTTAAAATATCCCCAAATCAACGCACGACAAAAGTTGTTCACGCTCTTGTTGAATAATTAAAAAAACTAACAAGCCATTAATTATCAAGAGTAAAAACGTTAGAAAATATTAAAGATTGTGTAACAGAAAATTATTTAGTGTTAGGTATATTATGTGTGAATTATTAAGACCAGTGATATGCCATCATAAAGAGGTGACTAAGTTAAATGCAAATAAATTCGCTAATCATTTTATTTCATGACATGAACTTGTTTAACATGACGTTAAACATGACTTTCGATAACTTCTGTCACTAACTTTTCAAGGCATTATTCGAGTTTGTTAAATACATTATTTAATGAGTAAACTTAAAAAACATTTATTCGACATACAATTGAACCCATCAACTGTACAATGACAGACAATTCATCGACATAAATCTCAAATACGGACGGAAAAGTCAACCATAGTCTAATTAAACATTCGAACTTGTCAAAATTCATTTTAAAATATAACAAAGTTTCGTGAAATTTAATTACTAACTTGTTACGGAAATTGTAATCAACTTTGTGATATCACAAGCACACCGTAGATGGACATGTCTATTAAATTATGCAAATTTTAAGATTTCGTAATCAATTTTTCTGATTTTAACAGAACGGGGTCACTGCAAGTATAAATGTTGCGCTTCATATGTTCACGTAATATGTTTGCTGCTTTTTTAGAATGTTTTTCATAAATTTATAAGATTAACATGCGAATATTGGAATCAGCGATTGAATCTTTGAATAATGTGAGAATTTTATTCGCACTTTCACCAAAACGTTTTCCTATAGTTTTTGCATTAACATTGCAAATTCTGAGCTGAGTGAAGCGATGTAAGAAAGCAAACAATAGTCAAATACATAAAAAAAAATCGTAGATAGATAATCTCGGGAAAATATTTGCATTATAATTCCGTTAATTAAAAAATCTTCTCCATTCCAAACAATCGAGTTAGTAAATCATTTGAAAAATTGTGCACTGATAAATATTTTGCATTCAGAATCTGTTACTGTTAATAAATCAACGAAACTCATTCATTTATTGCTTGTCAAACAATCATAAGGACAATTCTCGATTTGATACAGAAATTATTCTCACTAAAATTGTCTGCTTACATGAAACTCAATTTTTAGTAAATATTTAAAATCGCTGATTTTTAACTCAAATCTGTTCTTGGATCGAAACCAAAATCAAAGATCTCTCCTAATTTATTTAAATATTGATTTGCAAAACGTGAATGTTAAATGTTGATGTTCTTTAGACACAAATCATTGACACAAAACAAAAAGTTATTCCAGAAAAAAACACACAAAGAGAAACTTTTAGTTAAAGTTTTGATAATTTTCATTAGGAAAATTTTTTAATGTTGCGATGATCTCTTGAGTGAATCGTTAGGATAATCTTTTGAGGTCATCATGATGTTTCAATATTCAAATGATTAATGAATGATTTATGCTAATAAATTGTTGATAACATTTTTCAGGTGCTGTCTATGAGCAAAGATGATTACCGAAATGCCTCATACATCACATCAGGTTCATTCGATCAAGACTTTCCCATACCGGATCTTATCGGATCAACAGAAATTCTTAGTGAAGATCATAGGTGAGATGAAAGAACTCAAATTAAAATAATTTTCATAAATTTCCTTTCACTTTTAGAGAGAAACTTTGCAGTCATTTACCAGCTAGAGCTGAAGGCTATTCATGGTCGTTAGTGTTTAGCACATCACAACATGGCTTCTCATTGAATTCACTCTACAGAAAAATGCACAAGCTCGAAAGTCCCATTCTCATCGTCATCGAAGATACCCAAAAGAATGTAATTTGAGTGCTTAACTTAATTTTCTTGAAATTTTCTTAAAAACGTTTTTATTATAAAGGTCTTTGGCGCTTTGACGTCTTGTTCACTTCATGTATCTGATCATTTTTATGGCACTGGCGAATCACTTTTGTACAAGTTTAATCCCAGCTTCAAAGTGTTCCATTGGAGCGGCGAGAATCTTTATTTCATTAAAGGCAATCCTGAAAGTCTTGCAATTGGTGCTGGAGAGTAAGTTTAATAATTTAGTAAGTTAATCCAAAGAAATTACATTGAGAATTTATTTTCTTTAGTGGAAAGTTCGGACTGTGGTTAGATGGTGACTTAAATCAAGGTCGATCACAACACTGTAGCACATATTCAAATGAACCTCTCGCACCTGAAGAAGATTTCGTTATAAAGACCCTCGAGTGCTGGGCTTTCGTCTAAAACACTGCTACGTTTAGTTTTTTTTATATTTAGGTGGCATAAACAACACATGAAGCATAAAAAATCAATATTTCTAAAACCTCTTTTGTCATCATTTGCTAACTAGAAATGAATGAACTGGAAAGGAATAAGTTTAGGAAAAGTCGTTTTGATAGAAGGAAATATTAAATTAAGAAAAGAAACATTGTTTGAATATTTTAATTTCATGAAAAAAGGAGAAAAAAATTTGTAGAACTTGTTAAAGAAATTGAAAAGATAAAAAAACAAATGAGAGCTTTTTGAGTGTTGAAGATAAAAACAGGAAAAAAAACATTTTTAAGTGAATGGAAAACTAAAATTTATTGAATTTTTGTTTTATTTTTGTTTTTTTGAAAATGATGAAGAAATATGAAAATTCATCAAATTTCCTTTCGTTTTATTTTCCATTTCGAAATTGTGATATTTTCATCATTTTAATTTGTGTTTCTTATTGATTTCCTGTTGAGTGCAACTCTTCCGTAGCCGTGACTTATAATCATTTTAAAAAGCAGTGATACTTTCTGCAGTTATTTATCGTTAAGTTTATTATCTAATATTATTTCCTTTTGCTCTTTTTTTGTTAAGAGAAAAATAAAAAATTCATTTCTGGCCGCATGATAGCCACATATTATTAAGTTTTACCTTTTTCTTTATTTGTTTTTTCCAAGCATCAAAATTTTCCACCCACAACTTCTCTATCTCTCACTCTTCTTTCTCCTTTATTTCTTTTTCAAGTTATACTTTAAAATAATTCAAAGACTTATGAAGTTTTAAGATGGAAATGCTTTAGATGTGTCAGCACATGATAATGATTGAGAATTTTGAATGTAGGTAAAATTAACTATGTCGTTAAGAAATGTTCTTGAGTTGTGAGAAGATCTTCGATTGTCTGAGGCTGTGGAGGGTGTTCATATGTAATAATTTTAGCCTCTTGTTTGTTGAATTGAATGATTATTCAACATTATCTTTCACAACTCACGAGCTCACGTCTTGATTTAAAATTTAAATTTTCAGGCAAAAAGTATTAATTGCAAGTTGTTAGAAGATGCACCAAAATATTCAAACTTAGAAAAATTGTATTTAAATCCCCAACAGTTTTTCAAATAATCCAAAATGTATGTTTGATAGCGGTCATGTTTTACAAATTTATGTAGATACGCGCATAAGATTGACGAAAGAAATTTTCAGATTTCTTTTCACGACACGAAGAAAATTGACGAAGTGAAAAACTTTTCCAAACTTTCAAGTGGAAGCCAAGAAATTGAAATTATGGAAAAGCTTATTGATACAAATATGTATCAAATAAAGTATGAAGCTTGCTATTTCATTTCAAAATTTTCTTTTTTCATTTACTGATTTCGCACTCTTTTGGAGGATGACATTTAAAAAAATGTTGGGAAAGTAATTAAGATAGAACAGAAGCTTTAATGTTAAACACAAATCAAACGTTGAGAATCTCGATTTACATGAGAAAATAATTGCACAAGCCATGTTTAGAGTTTGGAATCGTCATCAATGTACTTTCACACACAGGTTCGATGTTTTTGAAAGAAAAAAAATGTTTCAATGGTTCCTAGAAGAATTCATTAACTATAAATTGCCTAAGTGGCCAAAAGAATTATAGAAAAATCCATGAAGCATGAGAGGAGTCAGCAAACTTTAAATTAATCCCAATAATTTTAAATTGGAACTTTCTCCAATTTATTTTAAAATCCCCAGAAGCTTGTGATGCATAAATATTGTAAGAAAACGTAAAATATTTATAGGAATCAAAGCTCATACTTTATTTCATTTGAAAGCTTTCACCAGAAATGTCATTGTAAAATTTTGAAGAATGAAAGGCTATTAAATAAGTAGATGAATTACGAATAAATTTGCATATTAGCATCATAATATGAAAAACCAAATGGAAGTCATTTTCTTAAAAACTGAAATGATAAAACATTAAATATTAGTTATATTATAAAAAATATATGCGCTTGTTATTGAAATTATTGAGAAGTAATATTTATGTAAAAGTACGGAAAAACATTTGAAATGATATATTTTTTTATCAGTCAAATTTGCAAAAAAAAGTTCTTCTCAATCTTCTGCAAACACAAATAAAAGCGTAATGAAAATTCTCGATTGCAAAATCTTTTCTCTTCATAGATTTAACATTTATGCATTTATTTAATCTCAAAAATTTCGATTACTTTTTGTTACGCTGCAACAAATTAACTATAAAAAATCTATCGACCAAGAGAAAATATTTGTATTTTAGATAAAAATTCTACGATGAGATCGAAAACAAACTAATCAATGACCAAAGTAAACTTTTAAGAACGTTAAAAGTGACATTTTTGCGCCTCTATAGAAGTCCAAAAATCCTCCAATTCCGGTTTTTCACTCCTATCAATCTCTCTATCTATTCTCTCTTAAATTCATAATCTTAGATTACTAATCATTATAATTTTAAATCTTGCATCTTTTCAAGCATCGAAGAATTGTCATTGCAGAAAATAAGAAAGTTTCGCTGAGAAACAAGTATTTATGAAATAAAATATTAAAGTCAAACAAAGCTGTCAATTATTAATAAAATAAAAAAATGTAGACTGGATTAAAAACTAGTAAATAAATTATTTTCCTTCTGAAACTTATTTATTATAACTGATGATAAAATAAAAATGTTTGAAAAGAGAGATAAATTAAATTTCTGTTAAAGCTTAGAGAAAAGAACAACATGATTTATTTCAAATCTTGAAAAATCAAAAAAAAATTGGAGTAACTTAAAAAGAAATTTCTCGTTTTTTCATCAAACTATCAGAGAAAAGTGCTTTTGCGTCCGAGATGTATTCAAGGACTTTTGGACAATTTTTAGATTTTTTCCTTCCCACAAAAGAACGTGCAAAACTTTTTTTGTCAACCCAGCCTCCGAACACATACATATGACATTTGAATCAATTTTACAAAAAAGGAAAACTTATTAAATATAAACAAAAGCAGGGTGAAAAAAAATAATCACAATAAAACTAAACAAAAGTGAGAAAGAAGTTAAAATTTTTATGACTAAACTTTGAACTACTCCACAAAGCATTCAACTGAAAGCTTTTTTGATGTGGACTGATGGGAGGTTTTATCTAAGTGGTAAATAATAAATTTAAAATAATAAAACGTTGAAGCTTCATAAGCTCAGAATTTACGAGATATGTTAGTGAAGAAAAGAACATTACGTATCGCGCAGAAATCAAAGTGAGATACTTGTGTAATAGCAGCATAATTATTAGAAGCATTCAGTAATCATTGCTGTGTACTTATTTCGAATAATAGTAAAAAGTTTCACTTAGATCCGAAATTATCTTTACATACACCTAAACGTCATTGTTTCAATGAAAATAAAATTTGAAGAAAAAAAATCATAATCGAATATCAGAAGCATGAAATAATAAAAAATATAAAAATGAATGTATTTTGTAGAGATAATTCAATAAAGAGGAGAAATATGTTAATTTGATGAAAAAGTCTTGTGTTTGCAGAAATATTTATATCTATTTACAGTTATAAAATTGTTTTTTAAAAAGGTAAACATTAAATTTTGCTTTTTGTACATAAAGTTTGTTCTAAAATACAACTGTCAATAGGGTACGAAACTTTAGTTCTAAATTTCCAGTTTATTCTTGTCCCTCGTAAAGAAAAACTTTCCGCGGATTTGACCTTTCATACAAAATGTGCAAGGGTTTTTGTTTATGATGTCTCGGGATAATTGCCTCGTACCCCGACGGTTCGCGCGGATTTGACCTCCCATACAAAATGCACAAAAGTGTCCGTGCACGAGATTTATTTCCGACCACGAGATTTGCGATGGCAGCGCCACCAATGGTTAAAACAATGAAGAACAATGAGAAACATTGATGTTTCCGTTTCATTCCGGTTTCACCACTAAATTCATAAAGTCTCGGACGAGACGAAAAATATTTTTTCAGTCTTCAAATCATGTCTTATAATTCAACAAGTCCAACAAATTACGGTTTCGAAGGTGATCCATTGTTAGAAGCATACATGAATGCAAAGTTTAGTGAAGAAATAAGTGAAAAAATGAAAGTTCCAAAGCGGATAACTGCAAATGGAGTCGAACTTGAAAACAATGAAATTTTAAATGGAAATCAAATGAACTCATGGAATTATCATGAAAAAATTGACATGACAGTGCCCGATAGAATTGTAGTTATCGGGCAGGATCAACATTTAGGTGAGCCATCGTTTTTTGATCTTTAATCGTACTTGATACTTCCTATTTGGAATTTGCTTCCTTCATTTTTTGTGGCTTTGTTTTTGTTTTCCCTCGCTATATTTTCCTCCCACAATATATTTTCTTCTGTATAAATAGTATCATTTGATCATCAATATCTATTCATCATTAGCATTAGGTCTTATTTTGTTAATGTATCCTCATCAATTTAGAAAATCGATGAAAACCTCTGTTATCATCTTAGGCTTGTAAATATTCCAATGCACGCATTTCATAACAACTACTAAACATTATTCATAAACGCATTATAACTAACTCACTCAACCTTTGTCAACATTTTAAAATTTTATTAATGAAATAAAGTGATATCAGGCACCAAGAGCGCGCCTCGTGAGATTATGCTGGAGAACTCAATTTTACCAAAGGATCCCGGAATGATTCGAGTATCAACACCACCAAGAGTCATAACGTTATCTGAACATCATTTTCCATCTGCATCCGATGAACTAGAAGATGATGAAGACTCTCGATATTTCGAGCCAAAAAATCTTGACTTCAATGAAGATTCGAAGAAAGGAATGAAGAACAACAGAAAGATAAACCAAAACTCACATGAAATGATTCATCATAGGTTGGTTCAATGACATGACTTTTTCTTGTGCTCAAGATTTAACAAAAAACATTTTTTACGATTTATTTTAGGGAAGAAACACCACAATTTGGAAGTGGTATCGGATCCATTGAAAATCTCTCAACATCACATGATGAAGCGTTGCATTTACGAAAACAAGTTGCAAAGCTAAACCGCCGTTTATTGAATGTTGAAATTGATAATTTACAACGGACACAACGTGAGAAAATTTTGTATGCTCTTGGGGTGGCATACTTTGTCCTGAAAGCGATTTACTGGTTTAATCGTAAATAAACTTCTACTCGTGTTGTTTAAATAAAAATAGCGACGGTGATGACGGCGAAGCTTAAAGTGATTTCATGCATAAAATTATTTTTTTTAATTTGCTTCTCAAAAATTCTTTCCACACGAAGCTCGTCGGAGTTTCTCTGTTATTTAGATGAACTACAAAATTAATAGAAATATTCCCTAAGTGAGTTATTTAGCATAACTCGCATGAACTTTTAAATGAAGTTCAAATCATTAAAAGTCTTTAATTTTAAAAAACAGCTCGAAAATTGTTAAAACTCTAAATAAAGCACTGATAAGAAATGTCACAATTATTTCTCGAGTATGATAAATTTTGTTGATCGCTGAAAGCACTATTTTGAGTTACAGATGTAAATATTTTAATGAATTTGTTTTGGCAACTAATACCTATAAATAATAAATATGGAAAATGGTAGGTATTTGTTAGTTCTGTCATTTGGAACATTAAATAGTGTTGAATTTATTTCATATTGTAGAGTGAAATGGGAATTTCATAAAAATTGTTTGGTGATATTCAATTACTGATTCAGAGAATGGAATGATCAAACATGGAGAAATCTTCAAATGTGACGTAGATTTTAATTAAAAGACGAGGAACCTTAAAAAAATTTCTTCATTTGATTTAAGCATAGAAAAAAAAGGTTAATGCAATAAAATTAGGTAGATAACTGAAATCTCTAAGGCATCCAGGTAAAATTTTAATAGCCATAAATTCTTCAATTAAAAGCATTAAAAATTTTCCTCACCTTTGTTCGCTGAACAAATCTGCAGATCATAACACGATATTTACTACTAAGTTATTATTCTTAATTTGAGGAATTAAAAAGAATGTGAAAGTTGCAAAACCATTAGAAATTCTTCGCTGTCTTTTAATATTTGTTGTTGAATATTTCCTGTTAATCCTTGCACCCTGAGGATAGCTGTGGATATCAAATAATGATGAAACCGTTAGAAACTTTTTTAAATAGATATCTCTTAAGTCACGCGGAAGATAATGAAGAAAAGGTTAATATTTTTTTTAATCTATTCAAACCATTTAGAATTTAAGGTTTGAAGTTAATTGAAATAATTCTCGATTTGAACTTGGAAGTATATTCTGACTCTCTAAATTCGTGTGAGAGTTTTATCCAACTGGTCGTGTATATAAGGAAGGGAAGTGAGAGTGGAGGAAAACGAACGAATGGGAGAGAAAATGCATTTTCCGAAGTGTGCTGGAAAACATAAAGTGGAAGCAATGCCATGTGTTGATAATGAGAATTTCGTTTTTCTCTTCATATTTATTCCGCAGTCACGGAACAAAATATTTGTAAATGGAAAACATGTGAACTTTTGTAAGAAGAAGTAGAAGAAGTTTCATGACGAAAATATATAAGACATGTGGAAATGATCGAAGAAGAGAAGAAAATATTCAGGATATGAAGCTACTGCTCTCCATAACTCTCTAAGTATTTATTTATTCTTTTCACTTTCATTTGTTTGAGCTTTTTGTTTTTTTCTTCTGTCTGCTTGCGGCACGAAACAAATGAAATGTGATTAATTGTGGGATATTTTCAAATAATAATATTTATAATTATAAAATTTATATATAGGTAATACTCGTTTAACAGAAGAAATAATTTTACATAAATTAATGTGTCAAGTATTAATCAAATTTATCAAACAACGTTTGTCATTTTGAAAAATTGAGGAAAAATAAAAGATTCTTAATGAACATTTATAAGAATTATGTTTAATTGACGTTCATTGATTTCCTTATCATTATTGTCTGTTCTAGTTGGTAATTAAATTTCCGGCTCGTTTAAAAATGAATTGAGATATTTTTGATGGCCTTTCGTTCTCTTTGATGATGTCAATTATGGTGAAATAGAAGTTTTAATTAAATGTTCGTTTCTTTAATTTTTAAAGAAAAATGTGATGAGAAATGTCCTTAAGGTTTCTATAAAAAGGTTTCTAGAGAAATCATGAAAAAGATAGGAATTCATACTTAACAACTCAATAAAAAACGATAGAAAATGAAAGAGTCTTTTCTACAATTCTGTCTCAGTTATTCTGCATAATACCCAATAACGATAGCAAGATGCTTATTTTCGGTTTCCGATTGAAGTACTTCTCAATGTTGCGGAAATCTCTTTCTTCTGAAAGGTATGAAATTTCAAATAACACTTTTTAAGGCAGTCTGACAGTAAATTGTACAGCATTTGACATGTAAAGGCTACAATTCTCATAACTCAAAATGTTTTTGATTTTTCAATTTCAGAAATTTCAGGAACTGTGTCAAATTGTCATCAAATATAGAACAATTCACTGGATATTAAATCAGCTTTAACTGTAAAGAAATAAAAAAGAAAATCTTTGATTGTGCTTAGGGAAAATGAATTTATTTTCAAAAACAACTGGTTACTTAGGTAATGGCTTACAAATACATTTTTAGAATTTCTGGTCATGTTTCTTTTTCAAAAATTAAACAATAATGCAAAGTAAATGAGTGGAATGATAGATGATGGCATTTAAAAAAGTAAAAACTTGATTCATGTTATAAGGGCAAATACTTAAATTGAATACAAAATTTTACTTAAATCAAACTTTATCTGTAAAATGTGATGAATTAATATATTTAATTTCTTTTATCACAGATTAATCCATTTTTAAAGATTTCTTTATCTATTTCCTGTTTCATATTTTAACTTGTTTTTTTTTTCTTTTGAACAGTCTTGAGAGTTTAGACGTTTTTAAATCGTTCTGTTTTTTCACCATTTCCAAATTTAAATCTGCTTTTTCTTTCTTAATTGGTAACAACATAAACAAAAGTTCAATTGGAAAAGGAAGCTGCACACTTAAGTTTTGTTAAATAGCTAATAAGTTAACTAGTTTTCATATTAAATGTAATTAATTGCGTTAACATTAATTCCTATCAATTCTTAAAAATTTATTTTTGGTATTAACACTTTTGTGCACTAAACTCCAGTTTTAGCCAATATTTGGAAAGAAATTTTTGTTAGACAATAAATCCTCATGGAAAATATTTTTTTCTCAACATGAAACACAAATTCCTATGAATTAATGAATTATTAAAATGCCCATGAAAATTTTCTTCTGTTTATGTCATTTTTTGCTTACGTTGAATCAAGCCAATTATCTACCCGTTTTGATTTCCGTCGCTTGATTAACTTATGCAACTTTTTGTGGTTCTTTTGATTCATATATGATGTCATCTTAGTTATGGTGATAACCACTAACTAAGACCACATATATAAACTTCATACTGGATGTGATATCTTAGGATTCGTAGTAGAATATTTATGAGTTCGTTTAATTAAATATTTTAAATATTTTGTCTGAGAACATTCAACAAGTTGATTATTTTACTCATGTTGTTTTGGTCCATAATTTTTTTAATTATTCTTGAACGTTTAAGAGGAAATCCTTTAGGAGAAAACAGAAATGGTTTTTGTGATTTATTAGGTATTAGGTTTCTAAAACTACCTACATCAAAAAGGTTTGTTTTGTTAAAGGTGGGAAGGTTAATGGTGCTTTGATTTATTTCTTACTTATTCAAGGAAGAAGCTTAAATTAATTATCGAATAATTGAAATTCAATATTTATATTTATAATTAATATTTGATATTTGGTAATTTAATTCAGAAATTTTATCATTTCTTTGCTGATAATTAGAACATAGGAATGAAATTGATTTTTTTCTCAGGCCACACTTCCATTGCTGTAATCAGTCCATCAAATCCTGGACCAATACTTTCAAGTACAAACATAATGACTGTCATATCATCAAATGAAGCAGATATTAATCTTATTGACATTAAATTTCATAAACGCATAAACTTCATACTTGTTTCAATCAAAAACTTTCTTCTTACTATCCATAAATATTTCTAATTAATTTTGACACAAAATGTAATTAAATTCCATACCAATTGCTTCATTCCAATTCATCATTTTCCGTATATAAACTTCAAAACATTTTCGATAAGAAAACTATTCAATAAGTGAAATGTTCATTAATTGCTTTGAGTGTTTCGCTGATGATTTTAACAACCACATTTAGACTCATTAGTAAAAAATTTCATTTCCTTTTCTCTTCGATGAAATTTCCTCTATTTTTAGCTTTCATAAAGCTTTGTAAGAAAATTCATCGCTGAGAATAATTCGTTCTTGCAATTAGTTTGGATACCTTATAAGCATCGTAAGCAATTATCCTCAAGAGGCTCAATTTAAGGAAATCCTTAGGTTAACACAATAAGGTAAATCGAACTAAAACCGTCCCTCATAATTATTACTTTTTTAAGATAAACCACTTGAAATGAGATTTTTCAAGCTTTATATTTAGAATCTCTTTTAAATTTGCCTTTTTTTTCGTCAACTTTCATTATCATATCTAAATGTTCTCTTTCATGAGATTGATTCAATATTAACACATATAATTTATTGAAATATACTCAGCATTAAATATAAACGTCTATGTAACTTATAGCAACTTCTAAGTACATTATACATCATTAATTATGCATTCATGTATGTTTTATAAGTAAATATGGATCTTTATCCTACTTTAAATAAAATATTTAATTATACATTTGTCAAAGGAAGGTGATAGAAGTGGTGTAAAGGACACTCTATGCAAACTAAATAAATATTTGTCTTATACCTTGTCATCAAATAACTTGACTAATTCAACACTTAAGGAGTCTTCAATGCTTTAAAATTAATTTAAGCTTTCCTATCTTTAGAAGTTCTTTATAAACATTTTCTCATCATCGTCATATTATTTACACACTCCGTCAAGAGCTTCACTTCGTTTACTTAACTAATGACTACTGTCTTTTATTCAATTCCGTATTTTAGCAGTTTAATCAGAATTTTGTTCAAGATTCTTTCTTTTAAATGAAAATTCATTACTTAAATCTAATTTCTTCATGATTGTAATGTGGTGATTATTATGTATTAGAAATGCTTAACCTCTTTTAAATGAACGTAATCAATTATTTCTTACATGTTTCTCATGACTATTCTAAATTTCGTTTACTTTTTTTTATTAATTTCGTTGACAACAATTAAAAAATATTCAAAACACAAGATAATTTTATTGGCTTTACATAATTGCTCCACAAAACTCAATGTTAAGCTCTGAAAGCTTCGTCCAATTTTCTTTTTTCTTATTAAACTTATAGAAACATTTAAATATTTTTTAAATTTCTTCTTTTTATCATCAATGCCACCTGGGCTGAAAATATGAATAAAATAATTTTCTTTTTTGTTTTTCCTTTCTTTCCTTTTTTCAATATTTACTAATGAACTCACAATTAAATTTCTAATCGATAAACAGAAACTTTCAAAGCTTAAAATTTAATTTACGACAATAGAGTTTCAAATAGTTATTTATTATTCACATGCCTTATTGAAAGTCAATTAAGTAACACAGTTTTGGTTTTGTGTTAGAGATTATCATGATTATCTCGAGAGGCTTTTCTTTCATAGCACTAATTTATGCTGGGATTAAAATAAGAACTTTTCCAAATTTATTCAAAAGATTCATGTGAAGAATCTCAACTCTTCTTATGTTTATACGAATATTATCTTAATTTTTACATACTTCATAGAAAGAAAGTTGGGAAAGTAATGAAACATATCAAAGTGAAAACTTCTACATCTATAAATATGTTCACTGTTGGTTTATCAAAAGAAAAACATGAAATCAAGTGGAAAATTAATCATCTATTTTTCCTTAGATCATAGTCATCGTTTTCATAATGATTATCACGTTAAGAGTTAAAGATAAGTGAATCGATTATCATGTCATTACAACGCATTATTAACAGTTTCAAGTATTTGTTAATTCATTTAATGAATTATGCAAGACATTCTAACTAGCGTGCAAATCTTCAATAGCTTGAAGAATTCTCTTGACATGACCAACTTTTGTAACTCCCAATTCTTTAAGGTCTCGTCTAGCAAGTGTGAGAAGTTCTTTACCACGAATATCATTCTTAATAAAACTGTCAATATACTCTGAGAATTGCATAGCTTCAAGCCAAGTAATAACTTCATTAACACCCCAATTGGATATCGCTTCAACTGAACTACTACGATTAGCTTTTGATCCACTTGCACTTGCTTGTTGTTCACGATGTCTAAAGCGCATCCAGAAAGGTTTTGCTTTCTTCCGATGATCGACATCATCGTTGTTCGGTGCCAAAACATTTAAATAAATTTTCATCGAACCATCTTCGCTTCTTTGCATGTTACATTTACGAAGTTCCATTTCAATGTTAGCAAGTGCAACACTAAGCTTCGTTTCCAAATCTTCTCGCATGATTAAACTATGACATCGTTCTCTCAACAGTTCACAGGTGCTTTCATAAAGCTGTCGTGTGCTACTAACGAGTTCAGTTAGTTTCGCTCGAAGATTCGGTCCATCAAGTAATTTTCCACCTGGATGAACCGCTTCAAGTGAGTCGGCAGTTTTACATGCAATCACATATAAATCTTGTTGAAGTGATGGATGAGAAATGATAAGGAACTTTACCCACTTCACTAAAGTACTGACACACTCGATGAAGTGTAACAATAAATATGTTTCACGTTCTGTAAAAAGATTTTCACCTAATGCTGTACAATATTCAGAAGTGGCAGAAGTAGGTTCACGAGCTGTTGAAATGCTATGTTGACGTTGCTTTACTTGCCATGATTTTAACGACACCTCAAGATTTCTATTACGACATAACATTTGAACACGATTCTTATGAATAATTCTTATCATTCCAGGTGGTTGAAGCCAAGCTTCTCCATCTACTTGAATTGGCACACCTTCATCTCCTAGTAATAAAAATGTTCATCATCAATTTTTGTAATTATTTTCGCTATGAAAAGACAATTAAATTACCTAGAATATTAATTTGTACGCTTTGACACTGCGCAATTCGATGATGTTGAAGATTGATGAGACGAGAGGCTGCCATTTGAACAGAACCGAAAACAGCTACAACTTCTAAGATTTTATCATCGAAACTTGGCGCTAGAAAGCAATCATCTTCCTTTCGACCACCCCAAAAATTTGTTCCTCCCATAAAGCTTGGAATATTCAAAATCACAATCCCTTGAAGTGATGGTAATGGAATTCGTTGACCATCACATTCTAACTGAATTCGTTGTTCAAGATTTTTATAAGTCTTTTGTAGCCATTGTTTGGAACCAAGCACACCATACCACATATAATTCTTCGCACGAGATCGACACTTCTCAGGATGTTCTTCTCGCTTATTGTGGAAATCAAGAGAAATTTTAGCATCAATTCCAATCCCGAAATAATTGTTCATGACAGTTTTTTCATAAAATCCTTCGAGAAGTGTCTCATCGGGATCCATCAATGGACACGCTAACGAGCAAAGCGTGTCTGCATTAGCAAGTAAACACTTTGATATGAAACCCGCTCCTGATTGAACATTCGGCCATGACGGTAATCTTACCAATGGATTGATTATCGGAAGTGTTTTAGGTTTCTCTTCTTTCTCATCCTTTTTCTTATCATCGTCGTCCCTTTCTTTAGTCTTGTCTTTACTGAAACTTTTTCTCGAACCGAAAATATTTCTCGTGTTTGCGAACCGTAATCCTTCATTTGTCTTGAACAAAGTTCCACAACTGATTCGTCTTGAAGCGGCTGGCGAACAGTTAAGAAATTTGGCATGATCCGAATCAAGACTAAGTAAATTTGGATTGTGATTCGAATGACGTCGATTGATGTCAACATCTCGTGGTGCAAGTGAATTTGTATTTGGCGTATGACTTGAATGTCTTCTATATTCGCTACAACGTAAAGCCCTGAGATGGTCACTTAATTTAGGTGATGCCGGATCAATTATGACACTGGGAACTTTCTCATTATCACGTCCATCTTTATCTTCGTTGTCTGGTGCATCAGAAATGATTGCGTTCTTATAATCAATTCGTTCACTGCTTACTTTGGCAATCTCATATTCCGTCTCCATAGACAGATCTGACATCGATCCCTGTATTTGTATCTTAATAGTATTCAATAAATTACTACTTTTATCACATTCGTTTGGCTTTTCAGCTGCGGTTGTCACCACAGTTATCGTTTCGTATTCGTCGTTGTTGCTACTCTTAAAATTGTTGCTACTGTTCGACGCCTGTTTCTTACTTGAAATTGAGGCACTTCTGTTAGATCGATGAGATTTAACTTTGAAACTTTCTCTTGCGATATCATTGCCATCGACAAACTTTGCTAAACTGCAATAACGTACTGGCGCTGCTTCACTTGGGATTTGATTAACAATGGAAGCGAGATCGAAAACGCGATTCTCAAAGCCAAATTGCGTTTGTGATTCTGTTGTTGTTCGATTGGCTTTTAAACTTATCTTTCGACTTTGAGGTAGACTTGGCACGTCTACAGTACACAATGTTGTTGTATCGTCAGTTATTGTGATATCTTGAAGAGCTCCCAGCATGTCATGACCCAAAACCGAACTGATATCGTCCATCAAGCTTTCACCATGTAACACATCCGTCGTCTCACTCGTCTCCGGTGAATCAATGTGACCAATTCTCTCGTCAGTATTCAAATCTTGAATTAATTCTCCTACATTAATCGGATAACCCTCCGACAATCGTTGGTCGAGAATTTCTGAATTCACGCTACATTCTTCGTTGCTTATCGCTGATATTATGTCACTAGTTTCACCAATAATCTCATCAGATGATGAACGTTCCTGCTGATAAAGTTTGAACATTCGTAAATTAATTGTAACCAAAAACAAATCTTTTCAAACCAAATTATGTAGAATGAACATTAATTAAATCAATTTAAAGCTTCATTTCAGATTAAAATAATAAAAATTCAACTCACATTCTTAATTATTATTCATATTCCAACCCAACAAAATTATAATTTTAAATTGTTGAAAATACTTTCAAAGCTTTTATTTTACGGTAATAATCATAAAGGAATAATAAAATGTGTTTGAAACTTATTAAATTTATTATGTGCACGTGTCAAGTGAGTTTGCGTTTCAATTTCAATCAATATTCATTATTCTCACCGGAACATCAGTATCAATAATTGTCATGTTATCGCTCATGTAGACATTTGGTGTCGGTGGTGGTGGCTTTTCCATGACATTAGGTACTGATAGGACGGGAACTTGTAACGAATTTGACACAGTTGTGCTTTCAAGACGCTTTCCCATCATAAAAGACGATGAGCATGCGTTGCTTTTTTCTTTTTCTCTGTCTTGCTGCTGTTGCAAATTTCTTAAATAATTCCGCTCAAACACCTCAATCGGCCGAAAAGCAAGTAAGCTGTCTTGTTCAGCATCGCGATGCTCCAAATCTAATGTATAAGTGTATTCACTATCACGTTGTTCAGTAATTCGATTGATTGTCAAAGGATCGTATTTGAAATGAAGAGTATTTTCGGTATGACGAACAGTCAGCGTGTTTGTAGATAATTTAGAAGATGTTTCACTTCGCTCTGAATAATTTTCTTCTTCAACTTCCATGATGCTATTATTAAATTAGAATATAATGCAAAGATGAAAGAGGATTTTATTTTCTGACAGACATCATAAATGAAATTATTTTTAAGATTAGCAATTTTAATTGGTTTGTAATGGCAACAACTTGTCAGTATCCTTATCATATTTTAGCTAAGACTTTGTAGCGTTAACTATCCAATTTGGCAATAAAAGTAATCATAAAATGAGAACACCAGATGTGGAGTTGAAAAGAAATATAAATTAAATTTATCTCATCTTATAATTCAAAACTTTTTTCTTCCTTCGATGCACATACTTTTAATTATTAAAATTATGAAAAAGTGGATACGAATCATGGATGAAAAGTTGATTCCACAGAATGCATTTTAATAAGAAGTTTTTTCATTAATTTTCTTTGTTTCCTTTTTTATCAACGTCATTTTTTATAATGAATCATTAGAGTCTTAGAATAAGGAAAAACCTTTTTATGAAAATTCTTCGAAGGTTACAAATTCAATTATGTTTCAAGATGAAACCCAACTTACTTTCCCGGGACACCTGAGTTCCGCCTGCTTTCATCAGCAAATTGTCTTGGAACGGGAATACTTAGAGTGCTTAAGAAATTTTCATCGACCGAATCGCGTCTGATGTCAGGAAGGGGAGAAATGCATGTTAAGCGGGAGGATGGCGTCATTAAGTTCGCTGCTGGCATGGGCAGTGGTGATGTACATGGTGATGTTTCAGACGATGACGTAGGAACGAATCTCGTGTTTGCTTTCAGCGACATTTTTCTGAAGTTTCCTTCGCTTTTATTCTTCGCATCACAATGTTCGATGATACTATGAATGATACGCTTTAAGCTATTTGCACGACAATGAACTGCTTCCCTTTCAGATCGTTTCATCAAGCGACTTGTTCGTTCTTTCGAATTAATCTTATCTTTTTCTGGCTTTCCAAATGAGAATCTTCGTTTACGTGGTTCACTGTCGAGATAAAATTATGCGAACAATTAAGCGTGTACGAATGACGATAAAATTTCAAATTCTTTCGCACTTACTTTTCAGGTGTTCGTTCTCTTCGTTCTGAAGCACTGCGGAAAGCAATTTCTTCCATTGTCTTCAACAAATCATCGCCTACATACACTCCACTTTCCTCTTGCTTCAATGTATCAAGAAGCATTCCAACTTTTTGTCTATTATATTCAAAAAGCAAATACAAGAATGCGACATGAATTGTAATGAATGAAGAATAAAGAAATTAATCTAATTATTACCGCAAAATATCACATTTTATGAGCAGTGACTCATCCTCTCGATGTGTATCCGTTACACGATTAAGAAATTCGTTGACTGTCTCACACAATATTCGAACTGAAGCAATGACAACTTGAAAGTCATCAGTATCAATAATTGACTGTTTGTTGTTTTATTTGTCATAGGAAAAGATTAAAATTGATTGAAATGACTCGATAAATCAATAAATGAATAATAAATATTCACCTGCAAATGCCACATGGCATTGTCTTCAAATTGTGATAAGATAGCATCGGGAGAGTGGGAAATTGACATACCACGACGTAATGAGATGTCGCGTTCAAGCACCATAATACTCCATCGATCTAACATCTTCACTGAAGCTTTCTCATAGCGATCCAAAAGTTGAGGTAGATGATCGTCATCATCGCAAGCTGAACCCCAACCGAGAACACGTGCTAAGTCATTACCCGTGCCCAGTGGAAGTACGCCAATCTGACATTGTTTCTGTTATGGATATTCCAGGATTAATCATTGTTATTATTATATTTATTAACAGACGAAACTGCGAGAAAGTTTCTAAAAACAACGAAGATTTAGTTTAGTTAATCACAAATGAACATGAGAATTTATCTAATAATTCTCCATATCTGTAATGATGTCAGAAAAAGTTCATCATCCTTCTCTTCTTTTCATATAACTTATAAGGAGGTCAAATCATCTATTTATGTGTCGTTTGGTATTGTATCAAGAAAGTAATTAATTCAATTCAATCATTTTACTTTATTAAAGTTCACATAATAACTGAACTTTATTTTGTAGTTCAAAACTCCAACTCGTGTTCATTAAAACTTTTATTCTATCTAGGAAGTTGTAAAATATTTTCCTAACTATTTCATCTCTAACAAAAATTCTGTCAAAGAGAACAACAAAGGGAAAAACAATTTCTGTTTTATTAAGTTTGTGAATTTCACGTTAAAGTTTGAACTTTGTCAAGCGTTCTTAGGCCACAAGAAAAGAAATTCCGAAAGTAGAGAAATTGCTTTTTAAAGCTTTTGTAAGTCTTTAAAGATGTCAACCAAATCGTCAATTGTCCCATAAGAATTTTTAACGATCTAACAAAATGCTTCGCTTTTATCATAATCCATTTGTAAATATAAAAACGTTTAGAAATGTATGCTTATGTACATACAATTTAATATATACGAAAGTTGTTGAGCATGATAAACAGCAACAGTTTTATCATGACGTCAAAAACAAGCGAAGGAAATCATAAACTGGAGTTAAGACTTTGCCATGTAGATGACAAGAACATTAACGAAGGTTTTGAATAAAAATTTATGACCACAGAAGAAGCATTTTACATGACATGTAGCAGTTTTTTTATGTTGAGAGAAGGATAAGGTGGAGGATAAGGGAAAAAAAGGATTCGATTATGTTTTACATATTTGATGAGAGAAGGGGATATATAACATGTCCTAACCTCCTGTAAAGACAACGAAGCCACGAATAAAACTATTGTCATTCACTAAACTACTTACATGCATATTCAGTCTATCAATTTCCGACAGAACCCATCCGACAGACCCATCGCCGCTACAAATAAGAATACGAAATGGATCGAAGTGACGAAAAAGTCTCAAACCAAGTTGCGGTCCCAATGATATCAAATCAAATACTTGGGCTGGATTTAGTAACTGCTTGAAGCGTCGTAAAAACTTGACGCCTTGATTGTCACCTGATTTAGAATTCACGAAAACAAGTAGTGGAGAGAATGAGCCTTGTGGCTTTACGACATCCCAAGCGTCGTCAAGGCCGATTGAATGGAGGGATGTAGGTGGTACGACTGACACTTTACTTGGTCCAAGTGGACATTTTAATTCAGCATTCGGTCGACATTGTGTGTGAACTGTCGCTCGACACCATAAACAACGCCAATCTTGCAAACGAAGCACCGAACCACAAGTCTTATCGCAATGTAAACATTTTGATGACACTGGTAAGTTTCCCTCCATCCATTGATGCGCCATTATAAGATTTCCATCAAAATCCTCTATTATTTCTTTACCAACGCTAGCTAATGTGGTCCATTTGCAATTTGGAATTGCTTTTACAGCACATCGTTTGTGTACTTTAAATTTGCACACTTCACATGATAATCCATGAGATGTGACGCCTGATAGAGCTTCCCGACACACCTAAGTAAGAGAAAATATTTAAAACGCTAAACATTAAACTTAATTAAATGTTTTTTTAAAGACTTACATTACAATATGTTGGACGAGTGTGACTCGTTGCATACCAGTGATGATGTCCCGACAAGAAGTCATGTTGATCCGGTGGCGTGGGATCGAAGAATTCTCTCGCGGCTGCAGCTTTTAATGCTTGACACCAATCCTCCATTTCCTTACGATTTTCTGCACCCAACACTAAAGAACGAGTTGGCGTAATGAGCTGAAATATAAAAATAAAATATTTAATCCTATAAAATATAATCCTACAACATTTTACAACGTAGCTATGACATCGTAAGTCTGACGAGCTGACCTTTTAAAATTTCAAAAATCTCAGTGCAAGATAGCAAATTTATATCATTTATTAAAACGAGCTTAGAATGCCTTTAAGTGTTCGGAAATCTCTATAATATATGTCAAGCATTTGTTTTGATGCTACAATTTTTTGATGTCATTAAAATTTCGTGGCATTATGTTCTAACATGTCATCAACTAACTTAGCAGATTTATAAAAGATATGAGAAATTTGTTGAGTAAGTCTTAAGTCTTGTGTAAAGAAATCAAGTGAAGACTTCGAAATTTGAGTGTTAAAGGAATTCCCACCAGAAAAATTAATGCATGAACATTGTGAAGTTAAAATTTTATTATAATTTCTTGATAAATAAAACATGAGACAAAAAGTCTGTGACAATGACCATGACTTATGACATCCACATGCTTACCTATTTGTCACTTTTTTCATTCACAATTCCTTCAATTAAATATTAATAGCAAATATCATGGTAAGTGACCTGAATGCTTCATTATTTATGAGATTTTACACAAAATTTCTTGTAACAACATTTACTTTTGATCCTTTTTCATGTCAATTGCTTTGACTTTTGAATCAACGTTATCAAACATGGATGAATCGGGAAAACGACAACAATAATTACAGGAAAAACATTCTAATTTCAAAGTTGTTTGAATATTTAGGTTGCTGATGAATCTTAAATGCTTTTTCAAGTTTCTCAAACTGAGAAGGTTAAATATCGAAGTGAACAGTAAACAAGATTTGAACACAACTTGTAATAGCTTGAAAAGTTGAAGACTCAAAGTGAATCTACCTTGAAAATCTTAATTGATGTGTTGAGAATTTTCATGGCAGGGAAACAACAACGATAACAGCAATCAATATTCAATGATTGTTTCTGTTATCATAAAAGTCTTATTACTGATAGCTGTAATTTCCTTTCTATTACTCACAAATTGATAATCGAACGTGATTGCGGTATCGAAACGAACTAATTTAGATCATGAAACTCAATTTCAACCTCATGCTTTGGATGTATTATGGCTTTTCCTAATTAAATATATAATAAATGTAACATGTTATTTGATTGGGAAATTTTGAAAGCTTTTATGGTGCGAGGTCATTGCTAACACTAAATTACTCTTGCTATTGGATATTAAATTTCTTTCTCTCATATTCATTCCTACAAGGCAGTGATAGTCATAAAACTTTTACGAGATTCCTTGTTTTTACTTTCTTTGTACCAATGAGACGTAAAGCTCAGTAATGTTCCATTCATCACAGTAATGGTGTAATTTTAATCTCCCAAAACAATAGAGTGATATATTTGGATGGTCATACATATAAAATAAAACATTGCAAACCTATAATTTCACGTAATTTCGAAGGCTGTTTAAGATTAGAAGCAGTTAAGAATCGACGAAATATAAAAGAACGTAAGCTTAGCTTCGTTAAGGTTTTGACGGTACAATAAATCGTTAATGAGAGAAAGACGTGGAAGTTTAAACAAAATACCTAAAACAAAAAACTGAAATTTCTTCTCCATCCAATCAGGATTTTTGGGTTCACATATTTGTATAGATATTTTGCCTCAGGAAAACAAAAAGTCCATTTAACAGTCAGTTTTAATTAAAAATTAACGATGTCGTTCTTTGTTAAAATTTAATCATTTATAACAAGAATTGAGCATCCTAAGATTTAATTGTTTGAAAGAAATTTTAGAAACTTTTTTCATTTATCTCTAAAATTGAGTTTCAAAGGCTTTTTAAGACTCAAACTTTCCATTAGGAATAACAAACTTATTTAAGAATCTTCGTGGAGTGAAATTAAATTAATTTTCGGCGGCAATAACAGTTTACTTTTTGAAGTTGTATCTAATTAATCATTCTTGACAAATTTAATATTTCATTACAAAAATTATTTCCGTTCTTTGTTAAACAATGGAAAAATCTGAAACGAGCAACATTTTTTCTCAAAAGAATCTTTGAATGTTTTCAAAATGACATACTTCGAGTCAATTTCTGTTCACCTTGCATTTATGTCGATTAAAATTCTAAGAAAAATTTTACTTCAGCATAAAAGATTTTCCCGAATCCACATCAGTCGGATATGGTTCCTTAACTTTCATACTTCTTGATCTAATGGAATCACATTGAAGACGCTCGAAAGATTCTGACCCGTCTTATGCTTTGATAATGAAAGTAAACCACATTCTGCGAAGTATTTGGTGAAGCTTCATCATGAAGCAACAAGCATTCAAGTGAAACGAAATATTTTCAAACTTTCCCAGGAATTTTCTGCTTCGAAAAGATAATTTTCTATTTAATTAAGTAAATTTCAAAGACATTTCATGTAATTTTTCTGTATATTGAATCGTGAATAACATTTATTCCGAGAAAGGATGAAAAAATCTTCAATTGCAGTTTAAGAAATATTTGTTGAATGTTTGCAGATAGAAATATGAAAATATCTTGTGAAGCGATAAATTTTCCAGCCCCATTAACCTTGAAGAAAGTTTTGCTTTCTCGTACATATTCCAAGTTGAACTTGCGTGTACATTCGTGATAGCATTAAGATTATTATTTTTATTTCTTTTTTGGAAGCTGTGCTTTCATTTTCCATTACAAAACCAGTGAAAATGAAAGTATGCTTTGGGTTTTCTTCTTTTGTTCATTCCGAAGCTTAAGCAAACAATGGAGAAATTCATTGTGCTTATATTTTTAATGATGAAGGTTAGACAGTCATAAATCATCTGCCACATAAGCATTTATGGCAGTATTCAGTAGAGACGACATCCACATTATTTTGTTGGAAATTAACGATCCTTAATTTCTGGAAAAATTATTTCTCTGTGCGTGTGATTATTTAGCATTTCCATAACATAATTTCCTTAAAATATTCTTTAGTTTCAAAACTTGAAATCATGGTTAGGCACGAGCCTTAAACATTTGAAAGCAGTTAAAACAGTATTTAACTGCAAGGGAGACATATTGAAGAATTTTGGCGCACGTTTATGCCTTTTATAAAATATTTAAAGAAAAGACGCAAGCTGTTAAGAGTCTCGAGAGTAATTTCTTGAGTGCTTCTGAAGCAGTGATTTGAAAAATCCAATATGTAAATTAAAAATTCTGAAACATTTTCCATTTAACTTCAGAAATTTCAAAGACGAGGTCGAGAAATTTAAATTTCTCTAAAGTCATCAGTTAAGTTGAACTTGAGACTGGCTTGGGAATAAATGATTTTTAAACCCTAACAAAAAGTATGATTTCCTTTCCAACGTTCAGTCTCTAACCTTCATCAAAAATTAATGTTTGAATAAAAGAACGTAAAAAACAAAACTTTTTTAACAATAATGCAAAGGTTAATGTTTATAGCTTCCTTTAAAGAGAAATTCTAAATGGAAAGAAAATTTTCATTTAAAGTTCAATTTTCTCAGTTTGAAAGTCGATTTGGTAAATCTTGGGAAGACAAACTACTTTTAGTATTAGATAACTTCAGCTCTTGTCAAGAGATTTACTTTTATTATCAACTTAAGAGTCGTTTGAAAACTGTTTAAGTTCGGAAAGTTTTGCCATCTTTCACCCTTCTAATCAACAAAGTCACGATTTCGTTTCATTTGCGGTTAGAAATGACAGATCGAATATTTTTTGTTAAACACAATATGATAAGAAAATTTAATATTTTAATTTAATCTATATGTAGATACAACAAAAAGTTTTAAAATGCTGCTTCGTGTTTAAATTCTTGATAGCTTTAACCAAATATCTAAACATTTCACAACTGTTTCTGAGGTTTCGCGTTCGTTCATGTTTGAAAATTAAGAATTCAATGCCAGCATAACAACATTACAATGTTCTACAAGATAACATCTAGGCCTGTACAAAAATTAAATTAGATTTGATGGTTTCCCAAAAAGGTTTATGTAAAGATTTAAATGAGATGGAAAATGTATTTAAATTGTCTGGTCTCTGATATTGGTTTTTCAATAGTTTTGAGCAAAACAGTAATAAAACTATTCATGACGTAAAAGAAACTAAAAAGTTTCCTTCATAAACTATGAGATTTTGATCTTGAAGCCTTTTCTTCTATGTACATAATGAAAATAACCCTCTAACCATAACAAGCTTTATATTGATAAGATTCATCTTACAGTTTTTCTTCTCTAGTTACAAATGTTTGTAATATCTTCAATTTTAGAACTCTTTGTTGTGTTGATAGATAAAGCTTTCACAAAATCGCTTATTCTGTCCACTCATCCGTTTACATATGTTCACAAAAAGCAAGAAATGAAAATGAATGTTTAGGTAGCCAAGTGCTATCTTTACATTTATTACACCATAAATAACAATGCAGTGAATAAGCACATTCGATAAGTTGGCAGTAAATTGACATCATTATGATACTTTTTATAAAATTTTACTCAGGAGTCAAACGTGTTGCTCTTACTCATTCATTAAATAGTTTACGAGAATAGAATGGAGTTGTAATGCTTTCAGGGAAATCTTTCAATAAGACAGCATAATTTTCTCTTTAAATATCTAATTAAAACAAACGAGAGAAAATAATGGAAGAGTCTTCACTTACCTGGAACAAATTATTGACGTTCTTCGTGCTGCACTCGGCGAAGCATAGATTCGAGAGATCTATTTCATTAAAAAGCTCACTCTGTAAAGAAAGAAGATTAACGTAAGAAAAAGGAAATTAAGTTCTTATAAAAAACGACAAAACATTTTTGTTCATATTCGAGTTCAGAAAAGAAAATCGGAAAAACTTCCGTCATCACCGTCGTTACATTGTTTCTTTTCGATAAGTTTTTTTCTGCTTTCGTATTTTTCTTATTGTAAGCTTAACGTTCTGAGTTCATTGAAATTTATTTATTTGATGTTCTTTCTTTTTCTCCTTTTGTTACATCGGCTCTAGACTTGTTTACGAAGAGTTAAACATTGGAAAAATTCAATAAAAGTAACTTTTTCATGGTTCATTCTTATAACATTTTTTGAACATAGATTTGAACATTAGTTCCAGTTTAAAGCAACAGATTTTCTATAGTTGAACATTAAGATGTCGTAAAGTTGATTTATGATTGTTTTTATTGCTTTTTATTCTTCTAGGTGGTAATCATTTCTTTAAAAATTACGCTTTTAATGACGACACATTATTTATTCGTAATAAACAATGAAAAATCTGAAAATTTTCTCCTCAAAAAGGAAAATCTGCAAAAGAAATGTATCCATTAAATGTGTCATGTTTCGGGCATGTTCATTGTTTCATTCTTAAATTTTGAACATTTATAGGCTTCGCGAATACAAAGTATGCAGACTTCACCGTTGTTGAGCTCATGTCACAAATTGTGCTTCCATTTACACAAACAAAATATGTTTTCCCGACATCAAAGCATTTCCTTTGAGATTGTAGAGAAACAAGTAATTTGCTAGTCATCAACTGAACATGCAATGATAATAACCATACAAGACAACAACTCATTTCAGTTCTGCTATTAATGAATACGTGAAATCAACTCATGGAAGTGACATGAATCACCTTAATAACGATGAAGAGAGAACATACAAAATGTCTGAATAGTTTCCCTTAAATGATTAACGACACTTGAATTACGCTTTGAAGAAGTGAAAATTCTGTTGATTCATCAAAAATATCGATGAAATTTTTATTACGTAATGGAAGGTTGCAAGCGATGAGAAAGCTTAATGTTGGCATGTAGAGTACGCTTTTCTTATGAAAGGAAGCTACGCAGTCTGCAATCAATAAAAACCAGGGAAGCCTTAGTTCTGTGTGAGATGATTCGCTTGCAAACCTTGTTGCTTTTACACACTTTATGAACGTAGCTTTACGCACCCACCTTAATAAAACGTTGTCGCAGTCTTTCTCCAAATTGTTCACCACTCCCGTGATAATTTTTTATATTTTTTTCATTAGATATGAAATATTAAGATCGTAAATAGCTATCTATATCTTAATGGAATGATCTTTTTACTGTTTGTTACTCAAAAGAACATTCAAGTAATCTTTTTCCGTCTTTTTCTTTGAGAATTTGAAATTATTTGGCTAAAAATCTCTTAAAAGCTATTTTTATGCACGTTTTATTGTTTTGAATATTAAAAAGCTTGCTTTGAGTCTCACGTTAAGAGTACTTGAGTTCAGACAAAGAAAATACAAAAATACAAGCAATCGTCGTCACAATTTCAACTTCCACAATGCAATGATGTATTCATGATTTGAAAACATTTCACTTTAAAAATAATCCAATTATCTATTGTACTTTAATATGCAAACACGTTATTCGAAATGTCTGTTTGCCTCGTGATGATTAACGAATCTTTTTCAATTATTTTATTTAAGTTTGAACAGAACCAAATATAATAAATGAAAGCTTTAATTTGTCAGAGATTACTTTCAACGCGTTGATAACTGTAATTGGAATGACAATAAGCAGTTATCATGAAATATCAAACTGAAGAAAGATAATCAACCATCGATTTAAAAAGCACTTCAATAATTTATATAGGTATCTAATAGAAAACAAAACTTTTAATGAGCTCTTTCTACAATCAAATAAATGGAAACGATTTCGTTTTAATTTAATTTATCATCCTTACAAGCTAAAATTTATTACGAAATTTATTTAACTTTCAATATGACGAGTTTGGAACATTTATTAAAGGATGTCATGAAAAAGAAAAATCTTTTACCATTTTCACTTTTTCCTGCTTCATTCGATGATTTGCCAATTTGCGAATGAACAAAAACAAAACTTTTTTAATTTTCATGATATTTTTCAAGCAATTTCGTGTTATCGAAAAATGTTGCTTAATTCTCCTGAACTTTTCTTAAACTTCTGGGTCAATTTAAGACCCATCTGTTCATCATACATAGTATCTTCTGTTTATGAAATGCTTGATGAAAAATATTTCTATCAAAAAGTCCATTTAACTTAAGAAAAACAAAATTAAATTTTAGACTAAAATTTCTATCCTTACTTTCTAATTCTTTTCTCTTTTGTTCGTCATTCAATTTCATTTCATTTATAAACATCAAAATAAACATTAACATACACACGTTTCCCTCAGCTTGAAAAGTTAAAAATATCTTTGGAAAGGTTGAATTCATCCTCCGATACGAATAAAGAATATGCTAAACGAATCTCAATAAAACTTTCTTCTATTTGAAGCTTTGAATGAGCTCAAAAAAATTACCTTCATCAAGTCCACAAAATATTGTGAAAGATGATAAAAATGAGATAGTGAAAACATATCTATACCTTTGTAAAATCACAGTTTCATTGTGCTGTGAACACCGACAGTATCCGCAGACAGCAGAAGACCAGTTGAGTGGAAAATTGAAAACGAACCTTTTTTTCCCTTCGTTGTAAACTTCCAAGTTGGGCTAAAATTGCCATGTACACAGTTTGAAGAGTGAGAATGACTTCTTCTATCAACACCGAAAAATACTTCATCTTTTGAAAATTAATTCACTCGTTTTGCAACCACTTCTTCTAAAGTTTCACGCTTAAATGCATTCCATCAAAAAGTTACTTTCTATCACACGAATGAGATTTCTTTTTCCAGTAGATAATTGATGGATATTGATCTTTATTCTATTCAAGTTCAACACCAAATGATTGAAAGTTGGAACAACTCCAACCAATTATTCCACATTCTTTGACTTGAGCTTAATTTTTATTTCTCTAATTTTCCGCTAATGCGTCTTAATCTTATAAGGAGTTGGTAAAAAGTTACACAAAAAGCTCATTAAATTAATCGAGTCACATTCCATTTTTTTTTTCTTCTTTCTCATCATCATCATCATTCGCGGCTTTATTCTTTTTCCCATGGCAAGATTGAGAAGTAGATCAAAAAGATGAAAATTAGAAATGAAAATTGGAAATGAAAATTGGGTAACTACGTCAGTTGATAAAAATTCTTCCCTCATCGATGACGTAAACGTATTCCCCTCAACTAGAACATGATGTAAATGTAAATTGAGTTCGTTCGTAAAGATTATTTATCAACCATGAAATTGAAAGGATAAAAATAAAAACGAGAGAAATTTGACATTTAACATTTTGAGGTATTTTTACCGCGAAACCATATTCGATTTTCATGCAGTATAAATTTTTGTCACAATTACTCATCGAAATGAATGCCTCTGGTGACAAAAAATTCCTCAAAGGTAGTTTAATTAACTCTTAAAGCAGAGACGAAAAATATTAATGTTGCATTCAACCTCTGATATAATAAATTTAGTGATCCATCAAACTGACGACTCGTGGTCTCGACTGAGCATTAACAAGTTAGAAGCAGAAAAGATTAACTATTAAAGAACGTGAAGATTATTTCAAACTTTGAACAGAAATGAAGCTTTTTTTATCTGGAATCGTAATATCTTGCTCCATTTTCTTTTCTTTTTTTTCGTACTCATGATAGTTCATTTACTGAATGATTGACGATACCATTAAAAGATTCCAACTTTCTTCATAAGTAATCATGTTGAAAGAATCGATAAAAAGACTTCTCAATTTCCCCAAGGTTTTGTTCGAATTCTATCGACGATTGTGTAATTATTACATTCAATTGAGCTTTAGATTAATTGTCATAGAAATTTTCTGGGATAATGATTTTAATGCTATTACAAAGTGTAATAAATATTTTCAGTATTTTCTATCTCAAAGTTTTTTAACACTTGAACTGTGAAAATATTTTTGTCTGTGTCGAAAAAAAATCTGTAACGAGTAGTTGACCTTTGACCTAATGCAATGTAGATGCATCGAATGCATCAAAAATCTTTTCAAAGCGTCATTTTTAACTTTATTCATGCATTTGGGTTACATGAACTCAACAATATGCAGTGACTTAAAAATGGAATCTTTGAAGTTATTTCACCTCGCACATTTCTAAAGTTTCCATTCTTCAATGAATTAATACGTTATTGCCTTGTGTTGAAGTTCAACGAGCTTTTTAGTTCTCGACCTTTTTCCAATATGCTGCCTTCAGTAAATGTTTATTATGAAAATTTATGAAAGTTCATTCCATAAACGAAAATTGCCAAGAATAGAATAGGAAAAGAAAAAAGGGAAGACGAAGTAAAGTTTAGAGACCGGGAAAGGGCTTCTGTCAGTAGATCTAAGAAGAAAGAAAAAGCTTAGCCATTAATCTTACAAAAAGTATCCTTAGTTGAATAAAACATATTGAAAGCTCGGAAATGGGGATGTCTGTGAGCAGTGTTTAATGCACCATGTTGAATATTCACTTTCAGGTTTCAAGTATAATGTCTTCTCATGCTCAGAAGGACACCTTATCTCTTTCACGATGCTTTCTTTCACTCTGTCTCTATATCTTAAGCTTATGAATAGCATTGTAGTAGATTATCGAAAAGTACGACACGTATAAAAAAAACTGAACTGATTTCACAAAGAAACTTCATGTAAAGTTCTTTGTTAATAAGTCTCTTATATTTTTATAACATAAAATAAAAGTTTGTCAAGCTTAGAAAATTCATTACTCTTGTCGTCATCAAGTCTAGGGATTTCAAACCACCAATCTGTTTATTAAACTTGTGACGTATTGATCGATGATAAGTAAGTTAAAGAATTCAAATTTATCTCAAAGAGAAACAGAAAGCTTCAATGCGATTTCAATGATTCTAAAAATAAAATTAAGTTGAGCATAAGCATCTAATTCACTCTTGAGGTTTCTTTTGTAAGATAAAAAAGAACATTTTTTAATAAAAATGGCATTACTTAATATAAAATTTATATTTTATCACTTAAAATATTTGCAATGAGAATTTTTTATTCTAATTTAATTAAGTACATGCTTAAGAATGATGCTCAAAGATTTTAAGCCATTATTTAGTCATGAAGAGTCGTGACTTCAATACAATAATAATGAAAAAACGTTGCGATATTAAGTGAAAAGCATTTTCATGAAGACTTAAAAAATTTTTAAGCAATTTTCAGGTACATATTCTATCTGGAATAAAAAATCTTTGGAAAAAACAATTTAATCTTATCTGTACTTAGACTCAGGAGATAAATTCATATACCGAACATCTTATCAAGTCTATTAATGAACGCAAATATTTTCTTATGATGGAAATTATGCATCAAAAATAATTTGTTTCTATCTCATTCGCTTAATGGAATAGAAATTACCTTTAAGCACTTTTCTTTTGAAAGAATGAAAGATGAATAAGATCAAGATTTGGCTTCACATTACGTCACAATTCAAATGCATAATGTTTGAATGGATTTCAAGAAGAGATTTCAAATTAAAGTTAAGTTCAACCTTATTTAAAAGAAATCTCAAGAGGAGATAATAAATAAGTGTGTGCAGGGATTTTCCGTCATGACTTCGCAAGAAGCTTGAGACGTAGATAAAAGACGCTTCATTTTTTTTCTGATGTCACGTGTAAAATAATTCAATCGAAGCTGTGACGCAAGTCTTTGTACAAACGTTAAAATAACTTCTCAACTTTCTCCTTCCCATTACAGAAAATACTTAAGCTACGTCTTATAAACTGAATTAATTACGTCGCAAGTTTACTTAAACATAAAAGGAAAGTGAAAATAGATTTGAACTTTTCTCTTCCATTAATCATTCAGATACTATTTATTCAATCTCTTCTATTTACATATTTATCTACTTCTTTCTTCATCAAACTTTCGCTATTAGATTTTTTTTCATTGACATTGAAAATACTCACAAGAGGAATTCCCAAAAGATTAAGATGAGAGAATATTTTACCTCAAAACCTCTGAAAAGCTACGAAGACAGATTGGTTCGATATTTAAATCTCTCGCTGATAAAACTTCAATGTGTTGTAGAAAAGTTTTAAACCAATTTTTCGAAATGATGAATAAATTCTTGAAATGTTTTCTAAGTTTATAAAAACTTTGCTTAAAAAGTTACGTTTTCGCTCTTTATTCTTGCACGATAATTATATTGTGAACTGGAGTATTTTAACATTGTACAGAAGCTTTAGTATTTTTTTTGAGACGGTATTCTTTGGGCCCCCACCGTAGTAGCTTAGGATTTGAATAAGCGAATGAAAAGAATTTACAATCTATAATTCAAATCAATTTTTCAGACATCATCTCGTCAAGGCCATTTAAAACGGAAAAGTTTTGAATGCTGTAGCAAATTGATAACAATGAGAAGCGCTACGTGAATAAATATTCCATGAAAAACGGAAATGAGTTTTAGGAAGTTTCAACATGTTTATTTTCGCGAAACTGAAAATGTTTAGTCTTGTTGATAATCAGATAATCAATCTAAAAATTTGAATCATTTCATGTTTTTTTCAAACGCTTTGATGTTTGATTGTATCTGATGAATTTGTAATCTTGATTTCCATAGATGTATGGTTTGAAATTTATAAATTGTTGAATTTATTAAACTCAATTTCAATCGTAAATATTTCATAAAAAAAATTTCATGTTTTCTGAATCGGTCCCCGAAATAAAAACTTTCATAATGTCGACAACATCAACATAAATGTAACGTAGTCTGCTGCATAAGTAAATTCTATGAAAATGATTCAACTTGAAATTCTTCTGATTCAGATAAGAGTAAAACATATCCTAAGGCGTAATAATTTGAAGTTGAATGTTAAAAAATCTTTTCATGTAAACAAACCGAGAGAGAGCAACACATCCCGAAGCATAAAGGCCAACTTTCCATATTTCTTGACCGAGAATGGTGACAACAGAAAAAATATACAGAAATGAAAAATTTGTGTCAGATTCCATAACGACGCACAATATTGCCTACCTCGTAACTGCTCAACATTTTCCTTTAAAATATCGTTTCAGAAAAATAAATATTTATAGCAATTATAATTAAAAGAAAATAGTTGAAAGTTTCTTAGGGGTGAGAAAAATAATAAAAATAAATTTTTCATAACAAAATGGTTGGAAAATTTTTGTTTACTCAACTAAAAGCATATCAATCATGAAATTTATGTATTTATCAAAAGTTAAATAGAGTAAAGACCGATCAGGATAATAAGGCAAGGCTTTGTAGAATTTAGATCAATAATATTCAATTTTTGAAATTCATTTGACATTCGTGAGGGCTTAAATTGACAGATATTTTAAGCATTTACAATTTAGACGATTTAATGAACAATTGAATGAATTTGACAATATTATTCAAATTTCCCTTTACTTTTATTTTGAAACATACCTAATCAAGTTAGAATAAAACTGGAATATAAAATGAAACGCTTTTTACCAATATATATTTTATTAAAGGATTTTGTATTATAAAATTCCTCTAAAAATATCAGCATAGTCATGACGTCAGTGATGAAAAATAACGATTGCTTGCAAGCAATATTTTCTTCAACATATGAACGATTCAAGGCTTTCATATTTTGTTGTTTCAACGGAGGCAGGTGCTTGTATCAACACTTGAAACGTTTTCTGCCAAATAAGTATGAGGTATGTCATCTTAGCATTGGAACAGCAGTGAGTCGAAAAGCTTATTATATTTTTGGAAATAATCGCTTCAATTTTGAGAAAAATGTGCTTCAATTGAAATATCACTTAGATACAATTTTAAGAAGAATCTGCTGAAATTTTCTTGTTGTTACGAGAGAATTTAAGTTTTTGAATTTTATTTTGAAAATTTTCTTAACTTTCTCTTTTTTAAAAAGTATTCCAAGTCCAATGGAAAGTTTATTTTCTTAACAGATAATATCCTCAGAGGATATTGGATAATCGTGCACAAACATAATATTTAATTTGTCTCCTTGATAACTTTAAGTTTAAGACGACTTCAATATTTTTTCATGTCTTGCAAATTGAATAGTTTAACTATTTTTTGTTAAGGAGATCTTTAAGTATTTATTACTTAAAATATATGAGAAGCTTAAAATGTAGAATTAATAAGACGAATGTGTAATAAAGAGCAACTGTTCGTAGAGCTTATTTTTTTACGAAACATCTGCTTATTAACATTCAACTGTATTTATAATATTCCATTATGGTGACTGTTGTTGGCTTATCGTCATCAGTGATGAAGGTATATTAATAAGAATTTATAATTTTCATCTTGTTTTACAAGATCCTTTGATAATAGTCTGAAAAAAATCTTAACGAAATTATCATAAAAAGCGTTTTTCTAAGGTTTCGTTATTTTGTTTGTTTACATGGTTGTTGTACTCTTGAAAGTTTTTACCCTTAGATTTATTGCTTTTAGCAAAGGATAAGTTTAAAAAAGATTTAGACAAGAACCACAAGAAGAAATTCTTTTCAATAAAGATAGATAAAATATTACATTTTCTTTATGCAGACGTTCTTTAAATTATAGGCGTCATCAAAGACACTGTCTAGGACTTCAGTGAAAAAATCAAATCTTTCGTGATATTCTTCATTGCCTTTGGGTTTTGAGAGGATTTTTTTTATTTCCCACAAGATTCACCGAATTTATTTCTCGCTTTGTAAAAAGCAAAACGGAAAAATCTTATCTACCTAATTCTTTAATTTATGTTTTTCTTAATACAATCTCAATTGCCGATGCTCCTGATAAGAAATAAGTGTTCAGCTATGAAGATTTCAAAAACATGCAATGAAAAAAACTAATCATGAACAAGAAAGAATGCAGTAGACAAAGCTCTTTTATAAAGACAAAGTCATNGTATTCTTTACAAATTTTAGTGAGACTTCAAAAACTGTTCATTCGTTTACTCGCTAACAATGCCAAACATACAAACTAGAATTACTTCAACCATTAAATTTCAGCTATGAAGATTTCAAAAACATGCAATGAAAAAAACTAATCATGAACAAGAAAGAATGCAGTAGACAAAGCTCTTTTATAAAGACAAAGTCATTTCCTGTGTCTCTAGCAGATGGCATCCAGAAGTATTCTTTACAAATTTTAGTGAGACTTCAAAAACTGTTCATTCGTTTACTCGCTAACAATGCCAAACATACAAACTAGAATTACTAAATAAACTTATGTAATATTCATTAACTTCCCGAGTCTAACTTATTGTTACATTTCATTCAGCTGCATTAAAAATTTATATCGTCAATTGATAATTAATGGTTGAATGAATGGACGAGCTGCATGCTCAGTTAAGTTTTTCTATTCAAGTAAGTTTAATTTATATTGGCTTTCATAATATTTGATTATATTTTGTTGAAAGAAATTTTCAGATAACTGCTTTCATATTTATTGATTGTATTTATTGGCTTGATGTTTGTTTGAGGTAAATATTTACTTTCATAGGAATTATTCTTGATCTATGCCATTGTTGAAAAGACATTGAAATATCTCATGTCAATATTTTTATTTTCATATTACATAAATGGAGACATCATGATTCATGACAAGGCATTCTGAATCATTCTTTACTTTGATTTGAAAGAAGAACTTCCTTCTTTCGTATGTTAACAAAAACCTTAAGGTTAAAACTTGTCGTTCCTTGAAACGATACGAACATTCACAAGAACATTTCCCAGGTGTATTTATAAGGTCTCAAAATATTACTACCCTTCACTTTATTGTGCGCACATTACTTAAACGACTTCAACTGCTAATGGATTTTTTTTTGAAAAGATCTTTTTACAATTTCCATTAACTTAAAGAAGTTTTCTTTTACGTGCCATTCGGAAAGTATGGATACAATTTACAATTTTTCATGGAAAACTCATCGCTAACAGCGCAGCGTACAACGAAAATTAATTTCTTTTAATGAAATGTTACGGTTTAACTGCTTTTCACACGAAACGACAAGCCGTCTGCATAATGCTTGCAAAATTTGTATATAAACGTACTCGTACCAGGGTTCTGCTCCCATTACTGCTTTTTAGTTATTTTCCGGTCTCTTTTTTCCCTTTTCCGTTTAAAAAAAATGCGAGGATGGAAAGGCGAATGAGATCCTTGAAAAAATAAAAAATAAAGATTCGCACCATTACCTCAAAAAAATATTATTTCTTGAGTTTCAAGGATTTTTAAGGAAATATTCAAATAGATATCTAATTGGCTCGGGTAAAAAGGGAATTAGAGTTATGTTTAACATTCGGAGGGTTCCCAGACTATATTGATTAAAATGGTCTTCATCATAAAAAGGTGTTCAAAATTCAGAAGAACAATGTTTGGATATAAATCTATCACTCTAATCCTCCTCATCGGTTAGCACGAACACAAAAACAAAAGAAAATTGAAAATGAAGTCACAACTTTGCTTAAAAACTCATTCAAACTTGATCTCAAATATTTACATAATGTGCTTTCAAGTGAAAGAGAAAGGTATTTTTAAAAAAATGATTGCTCAAAACTTTTCACTTTAATGTTTAAGTGTTTGACCTAAATACCTAGAAACCAATGGAAGAAAGAACCTTTCTAAGGAAAAGCAAATATCGAATGAGAAAAATATAAAGCAGTGAAAGCTAAGGTTATGAAGCATATATGGAAATTGTAAATTGAGATTTTTAGTTAAAGCTTATCTTAAAAAACAACTTTTCTCTGATTTTTGATAATAGTTCAACTGAATCATTGATTGTTTCAACTTTCTTCAGATATCAAAATAGATTTTTGGTTTAATTAAATATTTAAGTTTCGTTTTTCTTGGAAGGATGGAAGAAGCCATAAGTGGAGAATGCTTTAGTGATAAAAAGTAATACAAGATAACGTCCGAAAATGAACAAACTATTTAGTTTCAAGCTAAAAAAACAATTCGAAGATTGCTTTCGAGAAATGTTCGTGCTTCATCTCGAATTTCTGCAAACGATGCGAGTATTTCTATCAACCTAAATTCTTATCCTTTCTTTTCTATTTGTATTCGCACGTGAACATTAAAATTCTTTTTTATCCTTCATTCGTTTGGCATTTTACGCAGAAGTTTCGTCAGAAGCTCTTCAAAACCACAAAAGAATGAAAATAATTTTTTTTCAGATTTACCTGATAGCTGAAGAGCGTAAGCGTGTTATTCCAAGGAGAAAAGCTTCTTCTTTATCTTGTGAGACTTTATAAGCTTCGTCGTGCTTTCAACTAACTTCTTGGAATAATTGAGTTGTCTCTCTAATGGCAAAAGAGTTTATGCTACATATAGTTGCTGCCAAAGTCGAATAAAATATTCATGAAAATATTACGGGGGCTTCTCTGTTTCTTCGCTTTTCTTTGATAATATTTTTTTGTCTTCCCTTTTTTTGTATGAAAATATTTTAAATATATTGCTTTTGAATAAATTCTAAATATTTTCGTGTTTTTCTGTCATAACTTTCTTTTCTATGATTTTAACTTTTTTGATTGTTCAACTCTTTTATGTTAAAAATCTGTCGCAATCACTTTTATGTAATCACAGACGTAGTAAAGAACAAAACCGACAAAATTTTAATGACACGCTTGATATTGTTTTAAATATTTATGAAAATTTTTTCTTCATCTTTACATTCCTTTAATTATTCATTTAATTCATGTAGAAGCAAATTACTTAACTGACTTGTTTTACTTTCGTTTTGTTATTTTTTTATATCAAATTTCATATCAAGTTTTAAAACATTTATAAGCACAACACCAACTATTATCTATCATGAGAATGTTTTATCTAAATTTTTTGCAATTTTCACATGCAAAGGTTTGTAGTTAACTGAACGAATTCTCGAGCTGAACTAGGTAGATCATTCTGGGTGCTCTCGTTTTTATTCAACTGGCTCGTGTACATAAGAAGGGTCGTGAGAGCGAAAGAAAATAAACGACGAGAGAGAAAATGCATTTTCCGAAGTTTTACAAGGAAGCATAAATTGGAAGCAATGCCATGTGTTATTATAACAATTTGAGAGTGTCTCGTCTTTCTCTTCACAGTCGTTTTTTCTCACGATAAAAAATCTCGTAGATAGAAAGTAAGTGAATTTTCCTAAGAAGAATAAGAAAGTTTATGATGAAAATTTAAATATGTACATAAGGCATGTGAGAATCTTCTTCTTCAAAACATAATAAAGAGACTTCTCTGCTCTCCTTAACTCTCTAAGCATTTATTTATTTATTTTACTTTCATTTGTTTGAGTTTTTTGTTTTTCTCTTCTGTTTGCTTGCGGCACGAGACAAATAAAATATGATTAATTATGGGATATTTTCAAATAATAATAATTATAAAAATTATATAATACTCGTTTTACAGAAAAGATAATTTTTCATAAATTAATGTGTCAAAGTATTAATCAAATTTATCAAGCAACGTTTGTCACTTTGAAAAATTGAAAAATTGAAAAAAGGAAAAAACTTTTAATGAACATTTTCAAGAATTATATTTAATTTACATTCATTGATTCTTCCATCATTAAATAACTTTTCCTCATGTTCAAGTTAATTATTAAATTATGAGCTCTTTTGAAATTGATTCAAATATTTTTGATGACCTTTCTTTCTCTTTGACGTTCGTTGTCAATTATGATGTTACAGAAGTTTTAATTAAATATTGCTGAATTATAAATTCTTTTAAAAAGATCATGGAAAATGTCTCCAACCTGTTGAAATAAAGAAGATTGCGAAAGATTTATCAATTTTAGCTACTGCTTTAATGCAATTAAAAGTGATAAAATCATTAATTTTTAAGAATCGACATTATTTAATTGCATATCTTCCCTTCTAACACGAAAAGGTGTTGTTAGGAGATAAGTCTTTATCATCAAAACCTGCTGAATTAATTTTAACTTCAACAGCATGTTTCAAAGAAACTTTGACAAAAAGAACGAAAGCTCTCAACAACACAATAAGGAAAGAAACAACTCTCGGTGTTTTCCCTTGTTCCCTAGGCAAGCTTTTTATATTTTATTTTTATTAAAAATAATTTGATTTAAACGTGCGTTGCTAAGAAACAATTGAAAATACGTTTCCTCAATTCCGTTTCCGTTATTCTATATATTTAATATTTATATAGATTCAAGTCTAACTCTTGAATAAATTATAATAAAATGTTCTCTTACAGATATGAAATTGAAATATATTTAAGAACCCACTCTGATAGACGAGAAAACATTGTCGTACCTTCGGTTTCCGATTGAGTTTTTTTTTTCAATATCGTGGAAAGCTTAAAATTCCATGAGAAACGTAACGTAAATAATAATTTACAAATCAATGCGAAGCTGAATTGCGTAACGATTCACGAGAAGTGGATGTAACTGTAACGAAATTGCTTTTTCTTTTTTTTCGAGTAAAATTCTTGGAAATAAATACAATAATCAAGGGTAGATTAGATAATAAATAATTATGAGGGATGATAAGATATGAAACAATATTTTTTAGAATGGGCAGAAATGACGAAATAATTTCTTTTCTATATTTTCTTGTCAATTTCTTAGAAAATTTAAGTTATTTTAAGCGGTAAATAATTTTGGAAGTTTTACATAATACATCTTAATTTACGAATAATATAAAATTGAAGTGACCAGATAGATGATTCACATATTTCCATAAATTGATCACAAATATCAGCTCTGACTGACAGAAGATATTAAGAAATATATGAAAGCTCCACATACATATATGTATGATCATATTTAGTTATATGAATACTAATGAATTGATTATACCATTCAATCAATTCATGACTATCCAAATACATGACAGATTTTCATGCATCAAAAATCAGTAACATGTGGAATGAATCAAATTTATCAATTCCACTTTCAACTATAACATCCATTGTTAGAGATATTTTCTACCTTATTCCGAGTAATTTATTTTTATTCATGAGATACAGACATACGTCAAATCAATCAATTCTATTTTATCACCTGAGCGAAAACGTGCTCAGATAAATTTTTGAATAAAACCATGTTAGGTAAAATTATAATCTCCACAATATTCATTGTGCTTAACATTTAGGGGAATGATGGCATAAATTTGTAATGAATTTAGTACGAAACATATGAATTTTTAATTCAAGTTAACAAATGAACAAACTTACTTCAGGGTTTTTGGCATAGAACAGTTTGTGACCTTTCAATCTGAAATATCTTCGTCTCCAACGCTGAATGGATTTCGTTTGCTTCATGAGAAATCCTTCTTTCGTAATAGCCTGCAAGTGGAAAAATAAACATTGATGATTATTGTCGCTAGAAAAATTATCCTTATAAATTTGGATTTCCATGACCTATTTATTTTATTTCGAATAAAATAATATATTTTTATGACGACGAAACATAATGCTCATAATAAACGAAAACATAAACTCTAATTAAAATACTTGAAAGCTTTTCATTTCAGTTTATTATAATTAAAATCAAGGATGAATTGCTTCGAATAAAAATATCAGAATTACATTAAGTATTTTTACAGGTTTTTTTAATAGAAAACCTTGCAGGTAATGTTTCACCTTTGAAGAATTCATTTTTAGTTTTATTTTGAACATTTAAAAATGTGATATTATTAGATATTTTATTTTTTGATAAAGTTGATTTTTGGCTTCAAACATAACACCTTATCGATTTAAACTCACGGATATTCAAAATGTTTTCTTAAATTATAATCTGCAAAAATTGATTTCTTTCAGTCTGCAAAGTTTCAGCTTAATTCAATGTATAAACATTACTGCGTGCCATGAAAAAGAAGACAATAATCGATATTTTCTTCACTTCTTTTATAAATGGGAAATATGCAAGCAACGAGACTTTGTATGAAGCATTGTCAAGACAGAATCATGAGTACAGATAGCAATAAGTTGGATACGAAAACCGTATCCCTGACTAAACGCAATCGAACGCTTTACATCATCATCCACAAATTGAAAGATGTTTTGATCAGAGTAAAACGACTCTGAACGGAAATATTTATGAGAAAACTTTCATCGGTTCCAGATGTGTCAGTACACATCCCTATCACCATTTGTTTTTGCCACATGAATTTTGATAGAATTCCAGTGAGAAAACAGCATGTTCATGATATTTAGAAGAACGTTTCCTCTAGATATTCTTGTCTTCATGTTGCAAATGGTTCTTCTCTTGTTTTCATCATGTTCTTGTTGAGAAAATTAATTTTTCCGCGCGATAATTTCTTTCCATAATAAATTAATTCATTCTAAAAAGTCAATGTAATATGAGAGGAATTATTTTATTGATTTTTATTCTTGTCTACTTAAATTTTGTAATTCTATTCATAAATCTATTTAAATAATAATAATAATGATGGAATTGTGCAAGTAAATTTTTTTTTGACGAAAAGCGAAATTAAGAAAGCTCTCTGAAGAGCTTTTATCAATCAATTTAATGAAGGTGGAACAGACGTAGATATCTATCAGGTATCTGTTATATATCTAGAAAAAAGATTTTTCTTAGAAAAATTGTATAAATAATTAAGGTGTAGGTAAGTATCAGATTACTGATGTCTAATTAAAATATTTTAATTTATAGAAACTATATCTAGATATCTACAATTGAGAAAAGAAAAACATTTTAAAATAAATTTAACTTCATTCATGAGATGAAGAGCGAGCACATTTTAAAACCTAATGAAAAATAGTCAATGGAAAATTGAAGGATTTATTTTAATGTTATGAAAGAGATGAGCCGATTTATTGCAACAGCAACGAGTAACGTTTGATGTAATTATATAAATATGGCATGATAATGAAATATCCACAATATTTTCCTGTGGTTATTAAAATTTCCCTTGTTTCAACAACGGACACGGTTAACAATTTTTTACGTCCAACGTCTACTTTAACCCGAAACACTCAACACGACAAGTTCATGGTGATCGGTTGGAAACAATGATTGATTGTGAGAGATTTTATATAATTGAAGCATCCATCACGACAGTTCATCGTTAGTGAACGATAGAAGTTTCACACGTTTATGCTCTCGTTGAGTTGACAACGCACAAAAATGATTTTCACGTGTTCTTTTCGTCAATAGAAATATTCAATGACTCATTACGTTAGTTTATTTAAATGACACAAGCTTTCCAATTTAAAAGGATTCAAAAGCGTATTTGAATATATTCTCAACACTCGAACAGTATAAATTTTTTTAATGAATACTAAGACGAAGATTTTCTTAACAAAATAATTGCTAAACTTTCTAATAATAAATATTTGAAATTGATGTAAATAAAATCATGATCTTATCTAGAAAAAATAGCATCTCATGTTACTTCGTTATTTTTCATTCTTTAATATTAAAATCAACTTTTGATGACGTACTTTAAAAATATTTGATCATAGTTTGAAGAATTTAAGCCTATTTGTGTTATCGTGAACACAGACAACAATTTATCAGAAAATATCCTATCAAGGAATGAAGAGATAAAACTATTTTATTCAGGTCACTCATATTTAGTTTAGGTTTAAAAAATCTTTTCCTTCGAATGGCGTCATCAAAGTTTTACGAAATGAAACTACAAAAAAAGGACGTTTAATGTCGGACACAATCCCAAATGTTCGTTTTGTTTCTTTTACTTTTTTGAAAACTGTACATGCAAATAAAGAAATCATTCCGCTTGACCTAGCTTCACTACTATAGAAAACAAGCACATTAAATTCTAGTCGGATATATGTATGTAAAAGCTCATAATCTTTTAGACATAAACTTCCGACACTAGCAAATGCTTCAGGTATCATTTTTCCTTCCTTTTCTTCTCTCCAACATGTTGCTCGACTTATCTAAGTAGGTCAAACTGTAGCTTTCTAGGGTTCGTTCAATAATTTTCGTACATTTTGACAGTTAAAAAAACAGCGCATACTTAACACACTTTCGCTTTGTATCAAGCATATATTTGAAAAGAAAAAATGTGACACATAAATAACAATGATGAAAAGCATAGCGACACTTACGGAAGATTTAACGTTCGTTGATATTTTTCGGTGGAATATTTTCGCAGGTTCGATTTCATTTTCACTCTCGGATGATTCTTCATGGTGGTGTTTGGCGGTAAGACGAGTTGCCATTTTATTATAGATGACTCACTAACCAACAGGTTCAACCACCGAGCATTTCCTCCTCGCGATAAAAATGCCGTTCCCATGCATTATGATTAAATTGTCACATTAATGAATTAGCTTGACTTTAACGATTATTGTTCTCCATTTACCGCACATTAAATTTTGCATGTATAAAGCTAGTCTACAGTCAATAAAGAAGAGTTTTTTAAGCTGCCTGTGTTTTCAGTATCACTCTCTAAATATCGTACTCTGATATCATACATTGATAAAGATAATAATAATTAATTAGTTCCCTTTGTTTTGTGATTGAGAATAAATTAACTGAAGCAATATTATTGCGAAATCTTTGCACGTTCCCTTCTAAATATATATTTCACTGTAATCATTTTATTTTTTCTTTTCCAGCTAAATCCATTTATCACATTATATTACTCAATATTATTAAACTGCATAATAAATAAGATGTAATTAAATTAAAATGAGTTACATTTGTTCTTCCCACAAGTTTATTTTTCTGACAGTATCAGCAAGTTTTACACAATCACGTTCGAATTAGAAAATCCTTCCGCTTATCTATCTAGATATTTTAAAAGAAACAAATGTTATCGAAAACCACTTTAAGGTGTTTGGTTAGAATAAAAAAAAAAGACTGTTTCTTAAAAGCAATCAAAACTTCTTAATGTTTAATTTCATAGTTTGCTCAACTGATTTCATTCAAATATAATTGTATGTTGAATATTCATAAATTTATTAATAAAACTTTCATTAAATTACAAAAATGTTTTCGCTGAAAATTCGGTCTTCCGTTTCTTTCTTCTTTACTCTCTTCTTTACCGAGCTTTTTTGAGGAAAAAAAATGAAAAGAACTTTCTAAAAAACTTTTTTGCACAAATAAACGTTCACTTGAGTCTACTTTAAATCTCAGAAAACTTATTTTAATTGTTGAAATGATAACCGAGGTAGAACAATGCAACAGACTAAACTTGCTCTTCACTTTTTCTACCAGTTCCTTTTTTCAACTTATCAATGCTGCAAACACTTTTATTCAATCGCCATGTTTAAATGAGTATGATTCTCTTCAATGCTATGTATTTTATGCTACCATGAAATTGCTTGAAAAGTTTGGCAGAAAATTTTCTCTCACAAACACATTCACATTGTTCTCACTTTTTCTCCCGGTGAGTGGTGGCAAATGCATAAATGGAATAGGCATGTCGTTCAACAGAAAGCTCAGTAGGAACTTTCTATATAATTGACTAACATGAATAAAAGCTTTTCAATGCGGGAGAAATTTCTTCTTTTTTCTTTTTTTATGACAAACAGAAAAGCATTTTTGGTCATGCTACGACGGCGCTTTCCCATAAATCGGTTGTCAAACTGTGTTTGTTTAATGCTCATTGAAGTTGATCTAAAGGAGAAGAGAAGGAAGAGAAAGCGACGACCTTGATACTCGACGTGACTCTCCTAAGGAATTTTCTTCACGTGATTTATTGCTTGGCATGAATCATGAATCATCAATAAAAAATCGAATTCATCTCGTTAGCCTGCAGGAAAATGTGTGCGAACACGAAGGAAGAAAAACTATGAGTGACTCACTGCTGAATCAAAAGGAAATTAAAGTATCGAGAGAAGGATGAAAACATGAAATCTCGATTCAGACACGTTTTCAAATAGCAAAGATTGACTTCCTTTAGGTGGTAATCAATTAAATGCCATTTAAGATTGGTTGCGTGCTTGTAAGCTTTTGAAACGGAAAAGGCAATTAAGATTTCATTTTCTTTTTATTGAGCGCATTAGCAGTCAATGTGAAGCATTTTAAGTACTTATTCATTCATTCCTTTTTATACATTTCGTTGAGAACAAAAAAAAAGCAACAGGTGGAAGTCGACTGTAAAAGCTTTTTGTTGTAATTTATATAAAGAATTATTTGAAAGGTCATAAAGTCATAGTGTGAATAAAGTTCATGTAGATTTCCAGATAAAACGGCAATTGCGATTTATTTTTCTTAAATGAGATTCGACAATATAAAATAAAATTAGAATACGCTGAAAGTTTAATTCTACTTTATGTCTGTCTGTGTGATAATTTTTTATTACTTTCAAACACGTCTGTTCTACAATTCAAGCAAGTTGCACGCCTTCAAGGCTTCTACAGCGAGTTCATCTTGACTATCAATAATCCTCTCAATTTGAACCATATTAGGGCCTATTACTGCCAATTGCTGAACATAAAGTTGTATTATTTCATTTATTAGAACTCGAACCCGAGATGGAATGTCGCCGCCATTCTGTAACAAAAATAATTTTTATAAAGTTCAAAAAAATAAATTTGACAATTTTTCTTACAGTTTCAAAGTTCTTTAAACATTCATTTATGTTTTCATCGTTTTCACAACTCTGATAAGTTGAAGCAATTGCCTTGCTAATTTTGAAAATTTCATCACGACGTGTTTTAATGTTTTCTATAAATGTAGCCAATTTCTTATCCAAATAATTCCGAGTGAGTTCTTCAGCCTTTTCAATAAGCTGTTTATGCATCTTACGAGCCTCTGATACTAGACAAGAGAAGCCTTTCTGAACCAAATCTTTTATAGGTTCAAGCTTACGTTTCATTAAATTTTCCAATTCAGCGATATAAGCTTCGAATGCTTTGTTGAAAATATTATTAGCATCTTTCTTATATTTGTCAAATTCTTTAAAGCTATCTACTAGAACACTCTCTAAGCTTTTAATTGTCTTACAGAATTCCAAATCGTTATCATTGCTGCAAACACTATTGTCGATACTTAAAATTATTTCTCCGTATTCGACTCCACTTGAATAAACATTGTTAATAATTTTTTCAGCCTCAACTCGCGATTCCATCGCCAATTGTCTGAGTCCCTGACCAAGATATGAGATAGCTATAGATATAACTTTATCGATAACATTTCCAGAAACATTTCGACCATCAGCAGTTAACTAGAAAAAATAAAATGATAAGAAATTTATAGTTTAAATTTTCTGAAAACTCACGAAATAAAATGAAAGAAGTGGAAGAAAAATGAGAAACTTCATCTTTCTTTGAAGCCAAGTTACAGACTAATGACGAACCTTTATCTGTTTTGACATTTTTAGTTTATTTAAGTGTATGTTGTTTTCGTATAAAACTTAGCAGATGAATTAATTGTCATTTATATCGTCATTAAAAGTAAGTCTCAATTCTTACTCTAAGAAATGTTTTTCGATTAAATTTTATTTGTAAACGATTTGTAGAAGGAGACAAACGATTGACAATTGACTTAGGCAATGTCTTTAATTACTTTCCTTTAAGCTTAATAAACTGAGATTTAAATTCAGAAATCGAGACGCTGTTTTTATTCTTATCATCATATTCCGTCCAATCTCCATCTTCAATTTCAACATCATCGAAAGATTGTCCATTTTCGATTGATTTCACGATAAATCCAGAACGAGGATCAAAATCAGTTGGTTCAATACCACGACAATCGAATGTGATAATTGATTTGAATTTTCCAGCGTCATCTTCTTTATATGAACCTTATAAAATTTATATAAAAGTTTTTTGAAAATCTCTAATAATATATTTAATATTATTTAGGTATTACCTTGAGATCCTTCAACAACATCCAGTGAATTTTCTCGTCCACAAAGCTTACATTTAATCACAAAATTATAACCTTTAGCATTACGAGAATCTTGTTGAACTTTCTCATCTTCGCATAAATCATGCCAAATATCATCAGCCTCTCCACAATTATTACAACGAAGTTTAAGAAAGTACGAATAGTTCTGACCAGGTTTCAACTCTTCAATATTCTCCAGAATGCACGAGATTTGTAAACTTATTTTCACCATCTAAATAAATTTAGTGAAAAGGAAAAGTAGGTAATTCAATTAGGTAGTTTGATTACAGAATTTTATTTTAATCTTGCACAATTTTTCAGCTTACATTTGAGACTACAATTCAGTTTTATCTGATTGAAATATAACTTTCCGGTGAAATCTAAAGAATCGTCAACAGAAAGCTGATTTTGTTGGTGGGTACGAAGCTCAAATTATGAGAAAATAAATTTATCTCAAAGGGAAAATTAAATTTCTAGAATTATCGTGATGAATTGTTTTTTAGTATTCCAAATTCTTAGTTAATATTTTTATATTTCATCTCATTAAACACAAACAAATTATTCGATGAACAATCCAGAGTTGTGGGTTTTTGGGTATGGATCTCTTGTAAGTAAAAATCTATTTCAATTTAATTTCATATAAAATAAATAAATATTTATAAGCCTACCTAAATATGTCAACATTTCCTTGAAGGTTTGGAAGAACAATGATTTTGAATTTGAGTTAAAAAAAGCGGGTCACATTAAGGGATTTCTTCGAAGGTTTTATCAAAATTCAATTGATCATCGTGGAATTCCCGAGAGACCTGGAAGAGTCGTGACATTAGTCAAAGCAAATGATGACGAGGCAAAAGTTTTTGGCATGGGATATAAAATTGCAAATGACAGAATCGATAAAGTCCTACATCACCTTGATTATAGAGAGAAAAATGGTTACATCCGTTATGAAACATTGTTCTATCCATTTGATGAGACAGAAGCGAAATCAACAATCGTCTATGTTGCTAACGAAGAAAATCCGTCATGGAATCGTAATCATAATCTAAAAGATATTGCATGTCAGATTTATGAGGCTGTCGGGCCATCAGGGAAGAATATTGAATATGTCTACAATCTCTGTGATGCTATGCGACAATATTTTCACAATATTAAAGATGACCATCTCGATGAACTGGAAAAACTTTTAAAAAATCTCGAAAAGGGAGATTCCAAGATCCTTCGAAGATTATCACAAGAAGGCTAAATTAGTAAAATTTCCTGTGACTTTCAAATTTAACAATAAAATTTGCTTCAAACATTTTCATATTATTTAACTTTTTATTTTATTATCCTAATTTATTATTTTTTTTTACATTTTTCTCTTTTTTCCATCAAATGTTTTTAATTAATTCGCGAGCTGACAAAAGGAAGAAAGAACGTGTATGTTTGTGTATGATTTTGTATGTTTGCTGTGTTGTTGTTTATGTTGTTTGTTTGTTTAATTTAAAGGAAGGGAGAGTTGAAATCTTAAAGGTACAATGAATCTTTTTAATTGTTTTCATCTTACTCTGATATCCCGTAAAGGTACTGCAGAATTGTTAAATTATCGTATGACATCAATTAGGTTTTCAAAACTCTCGAAAGCTTCACCTTTCTTCTTTTTTTTTCTAGTTGGAGAATTAATTACAGTAATTATTTTATTAAAATTTTCTTTTTTTCATTTTAATTTGGTTTCTCTTAGAAAGTTGAGAACGAAAAACTAATAAAATAAAGTGAAAAAAGTTTTCTTTAGAGCATGAAACTTAAATGGTGGGCTGAGAACTTGCACGAGAACGATGAAGCTCCTTCAGATGACTTATCCCCGTTAGCATGAAGATTATTTTCATTTGACAGGAGGGTCTTAGTTAACTATTAAGCAATTACATCAGTTAGTCGAATACAAGGGAGATAAAATGAAGAAAAAAAGAAACAAACAAAAACTCCATCCGAAGATCACATAAAGAAATTAATTCGAGCTAGTCAATGAAGCTTTGTTCCACACAAGCTTTCACCCGCTTTTCATATTCACGACGATTCTCTTTATACAGCTGAGCTGCCATTGCGTTTGCAGGCGAATTTGGATTTGGATCGCTCAGAAGTGACTAAAAGTGAAGAGAAAGTTATTATTATAACAATATAAAATAAGTAATAATAAAATGTTAAACTCACTTGTATAGATGTTAATATGGCTGATACATCATATGTTGGACTCCACCTGTTCTGTAAAATATCCAAACAGATACCACCATCGGCATATACATTTGGATGAAACATTTTCGATACAAATCGAACTGTCGGCGGTTTGTTTGGATATTCCTCGGTGAATTCTATTGTCAGCTTAAATGTACCATCCTCGAATGGCGTGTCATGCGGTCCAAAAATCACAGCATTCCAAATCATAATATTGTTGTCGGTTGGTGCCCCAGACACTCCTGTTGGTGGATCTTCCTGGAGTCTAAGAGAAGAACGCATGTATCACAATTTAATTAATAAACAACGTTGTCATAGCAATTTAATGAAAGGTTTTTGATTATGTTCTGTTATTGATTTAACTTTAAACTTATTCGAGGTCAATCTATTCGCCGAAGAAATTTAAATTTTAAACAAAGCGGTAAATAAGAAGCTGCGTCATAGCGACACACAAAGCTCTGTGAAAATGAAAAAAAAAATGAATCATTCGTGCGAATAAATTTGCGAAAATGAAAAACCATCGTTTGTAAACAGATTGCGAAAACCAGAAGTAAAGCGACATCAAATGCCACACGTATGAGATTGTCATCAAAACAAAAACAAAAAAATGAAGGAAAAAGATTTGTAACATTCGCAACTACACCAACACAAACATCATCATCGTCGATGAAGTCATTGATTTTTAAGAAGAAAAAATCTAAAGTTTCGCGAGAAAATTCTTTTTCTTCTCGACTTTTCACTTGAACAGACTGTCGACCTTGTACACTGAGCTCAGACTCTACTTAAACTTATTAATAAAATCTTAGCATTCTATTGTGATGTTTGTGGTAGATCAGATGATATCAACTTGATTGACTTGAACTTAAAACAGAGAATCGAAATAATTATCAGATAAAAAACTTGATTGATGGAAAATTTACAAGTTATTCATAGAAAAACCAAAAATCCAATCTTTTTTAAGACTTTTGAAAAAAGAGATACAGACAAATATATCACTGAAGCATCTTGCCGTATTTAAACGAGTCGAGACGCAATTTGAACCAAATGACAATTTATTCACAAAATATCGCGAACGATTAAACATTTCTTAGAAATTGCGGGATTTCAACCTAGCTTTCAGATTCAAAGTGCGGTAAATTGATATACAATTAGGAAATCAAAATCATGACCTATTTACAAACGATGATGGGCTCTTAAATAAAATGTGATTTCTTTTTATGGCGAATTTTCGATTGTTTTTTCTTTCTAAAGAAAAAAAATTAAGAAATCTCCTATTGTCTTACCTTTTGAAGTCTCTCATTAACCGTCTTCTTGCTGGCGTTGACATGATGGTTTAATCGACAATTTTTTAAAGTTAAATTAGCGTAATATTACGAAACCCAAAATATTTTATGATTAAAAATTAGAAAATTCACACTAAGCGAATTACGGAGAAACTAGAGATTTTATCACTTTAAATTTGCTTTTTTCTTGAGTGCAGCGTATCACGTTACTGAGTAAACTTTATTAATTACGAAATTCTTAGGTGCGAGCACGTATTAATCCTTTTTCTTAAATATATTTCTGATTTTGAATAAGTTCTTCCCCACTTAATTTGTTGCCGTAAGATGTCACTTTGATCAGATATTTCGCTTCAAATTCAAACATTTTTGCTTCTTTTAATAGCCGTTAATTTTCCTTATTCATCATAGAAAAATTTTTAATTGGCAATTTAATGAAAGTTATAATTTTAAATTTTACTAAAGTAATGTTTATTGAAAGAATCACATTCATGAATTTATTAAAGTACATAAAAGTCGTTTATAAATATATTGTCGTGATCTAAGATTCAGCTATCAATAATACGTCGTTCGTTTCTGTTTCTTGCCTGAGTCGTCACATTATTGGTACAAATTAGGGTGAAGAGAGTGAGGGTTCCTAAGATAGCTGGCACACCACAAGCATAAGCAAGAACATTTCTGTAATAGGTTGGGCAGTCATCACGATTCTTACATTTACTAGAAAAGAATATTAAATGAGTTTTAAAATTTAAATGGCATGCAGTTAAATGTCTTACATTGTTTCGATTACAATGACGGCAATACCCGTTATAAGTTTATCACAGAAAGTAACGGCTGAATAAATAAAACCACCTTGATCAGCATGGGGGCCGATCATATCTGCTGTTATACATAAACTAGCAATCATTGTTATCGAACTACCAGCACCGAAAAATGCTGCAACGATATATAATTCGGCAGTAGACGAATTTGGAGATGCTGCAAGTACGACCCAAGCGCAGCCTATAAAGCTTAAAACTGATCCAATAAGATATCCTACTTTATGTCCAATAAATCTATTTGTTTGTTTGAAAACCATTGAAGCCACAAAAGAAGCTATAAATGAAGCTAGTGGAACTGTTGCTATATTCTCGATATTTGTGCCTTCATTAAAAGTTAATTCATCAGTCAAAGTGATATTGTTAGGTGGTGATGGAACATAAGATCTCTCATTCAACCAAAGTGGCATGTACACTAATGAAGTTGTCATGAAGAGTCTGGAGAAAACGTAAAGCAAAGCATTTTGATAAAGTAAAGGCGATTTGAAGAAGTTTTTTCGTTCAACTGTTACGACTTCGGCGCGATGTTCATTTGCTTTTTTATATTTGTTGTCATCATCATATGATTGAGTTTCTGTTGTGTCATCAGCAGCTTGATTTCTGATAAGTGATTCAGTTTCTGATGAATGTGTCGTCTGACTTCGTTGGTTCATAGTTAAACGTCTTCGATATTCATAATTTGATATCGAAAGAGAAAAGTGGAATAATACTGACATGGAAACACCTAAGAGAGTTAAAATTAATGCAATATCCTGAAATGAATTTTGAATTAAAATTGTGACATTTTAAGAAATCTTTTAATGATTTCTACTTACTCGGAATTTCGGCCAATCATTTGGCGTGATTTTATTCTCATAACTCGTTTGAATATGTAATACTGCCCATGTTACCATATACACAATAACATTACTACAAATTGATGCTGAATATCTTGTTGCGGTAAGATCACTCCGATCACGTTGTGTTCTAGTTACAAGAAAATTTCAATTTCCTAAACATAATTCCCATAAGAAGATGCCTACCTGCTTAATTCTGGAATCATTGCTAAATGAGTGATTTGTACAACTGGCCAACCAAATTGAAATATTAAAATAACGAACGAAAGGTACGCTAACTTCCACCATGATGGTAGTACGTCACAAAGTGGACAGATTGCGAAAATTAAGGGAAATGTTGCTGCTGTTAGGAATGTACCGAAGACGTGCCAAATACGTTTTGTACTGAACTTATCTGTCAGCATGCCAACAAAGGAGGTTGAAACTGCGTCGCCTTTTTTAGAAAAATCGTAAATAATAATTTTTAAATTTTCATTTTTGTTTCATTCTTACCAACTTGACCAAGCATGACTAAAGCTCCCGCTTGTTGACCAGGCATTCCGAGAACACCTTGCATGAACAATAACGTATAACTAAACCATATCCCAGCACACAAATCATTATAAACATGGCCTAATGAGAAGCCAACTTTTTCAAAAAACTTCAAAGTTGTTCTGTTGTCATCCATCGTCTCTGATGATTGTGATGTTCCCTGATTCGATTGAATACTTCCGTAATTTCTTGCTGGCGTATTTTCACTCACTGTTGGGTGATTTGTTATTTGAGAATCTGTTGAAGATGCTAGAAGACGAGTTCTATCTCTATCAGTCATGATTGTTGTTTTGTCTTGTAGTTTATTTTGTTACTTTTCACCAGCTTTTATGCACCTAAAGATTTATTTTCACATGAATTTCAAATAATTTCAATAAATCAGTATTATTAGTTTTCAAAGAAATTAATTGATTCCAAACAAATGCAATCAAAAGTCTGCTACATGTACGTTGTTAGTTGATAATAAAAGTTATTCTACATCACGTGTAAATATTAAAAAGAAAATACCAATAAATGCTTGCGTTGTTACATGACACGATATTTTCTCCAGTACAAATAAAAGCACCAATATTTATATTTATAATAATTTGTTATGAAAGCTTATTTCAGCTTATGTTATTTTTTACCAGAAACCTTTTAAAATATTTAGAAACTTGAGGCTTTACCAATCATGGTACACAAGAAGCTGATAAAAAGTTTGATCTGTTTCAGTGCAATTTATAATGTGAATTGTGATAAATATTTATTTACGATGAAGTGATTTACAAGCAACCCAATTCACTACTGCGAATGATGGTCACAGAGAAAATGAAATTCCTCGTTTATACGAGAGCTCGTTCAGTTTGTGCTTTTATAAGTATAAATAACTTGACTGTCAATGTGTTGCATGTTAAAAGATATCGTTAGATATATTGACGAAAATGTGTTCATGAATCATGAAGTGTCTGTCATATTCAGTGTTGATTCTAACATCACTTACTTTATGAATGTATTATTACGCACCATAAGTCATTGATAAGGAGAAATTGTGATTTATAGTTCAAAATGAGTAAAATCATGTAACATGAATTAAAATTTTTTATTTTAAAATTGAAAAATCATTCAATACTGTCAGTTGTAATCAGATTGTTTACATGAATCAGAAACGGTTTAATGCACCCGCTGTCTCTATCATAAATATGTACATAATTAAATCACATTTTTTTGTTATCAGCTTCTTTACGCATCACATACTCACCCACTGGAAAGTGACACGAACAAATTAATTAATGATTAATTACACAATTCGGACGAGTTTAAAATGTTATAAACCTTCTTTCTTGGTTCAAGAATATTTAATTGAAAAACAGTCAATAACTCTTCCTTTATCTCTTTTTTAGAGTCACTGATGATATGTTACAAATTTTATAACAATTACTCACTGAGAAACTGATTAGTAATAAACATTAAAAAAGAAACTATTCCATCAATAGTCAGCAGACTGTCATTACTATCACTTGTCAGGCTTCAAAATTCCGGTTTTGTTTGCTTTTTCAAGACTCTCCGTCCCTTTTGTAACTTTATCGTGTTGATATGATGCATTGTTCGAAAGCGTAGTGAAAATAAGAATTGAACAATTCTCATTGATTCTCAGAAATTACTGTTTATAGAAAAAAAATGAATTTATTGCTTATCTGCTTCTACAGATGTTCAATGTATGAAAAATATTATAAATTAATTATCAAACACATTCTTACTTTTCCCTTCTACGTCACTGGAAAGAACATTCTGCATAATGAAAACCTTCAAGTTCTGAATAAACTTTTAATCCATTTTACTTTACTTTCGCTACCTTCATTTATTGTTTGACTTTCACCAAGTGAGTTCAAAAATGTCTCTTACAAGTAAAACAAAAGATTCTCAGTGGCTTCAACTTGATGTGTGTCAAGACTTTCTTCAAAATACCTGTGCGTTGGGAGAATTTGGATGTCCAAATGCACATCCAAATAGAAATGTTGATATTATTGATGGTAAAGTGACAACATGTTACGATAGCTTCAAAGGAAAATGTACTCGAGGGTTTTGCAAGTATTATCATCCATCAGCTTTAGTCATCGAGAAGCTTCAGCTTAAAGGTCACGCAGTTTTGGCTCAAAGAAATGCTTTCGCTTTTCATGCTCCTGTAGTTCCGCAAATGTTCATTCCATTTCACACTGAAGTTCCGATTTTAATTCCCCAAGAACCGTCTGGATCTTCATTGGGAATGAATAAAGTGGAAATTGGTGTAAAGCGTTCGGCTGATGCAATGGATTTGAATTTAGAAAGATATTGCCCAATTATGTACTGCAAACGTGCCGCAATTCAGGTTCCACCTTTTATCCCAACTGCGCCATATCAAATGGTTTCATTTCCAGTTCCTGCTGAACGTAAGTGTCGGATTTTCTTTCAATTGAATCTTCGCTTTGTGCTAAAAAATTTTCCCTTCAATAACTAATACTTTCTGCTGCTACTTCATATTTGAAACTCGAATAGCTTCTGCAGTCATACCACTCAATGCGTCATTTGTGAATTATACTGATTCAAACGGGCAGGTACATGCATTGCAAATTAATGCCTGACTTACAATAGATTTCCTAACGTTTTGAATTTTATTTTAATGGTGATGGTCTCTTATTTTTTACTGGTTTGAAATTTGTTGTAAATAATAATTGGTAACATTTAATTAGTTTTAATTTCTACTTTCAATTCCCAATGTTTAACAATAAATTAATGATAGATAAATTTCCTTTCAGCTACTTGATAACTTACCAGTCTGCCAAGATTTCAACAGAAACATGTGTACAAGAATAAATTGCAAGTTTGTTCATTTATCAGAACGTAATTGAAAGAATTTTCCTTCTTATTTTTCTGTCAATAACTTATTAAATTTCCTTCAATTTTAAGCAAAAAAATTGGAAATTCATGAACAAAGAGTAGCAGTATGTCGTGATCATGCAAATGGAATCTGTCGACGTCAACAGTGTAAATACTATCACATTCCTATTCAACTTCCTTCAGCTGAAGAAATGGCTACGAAAATTGTGCACTCGAAAAATTAAATTTTATTCAATCAATTTAATATTTAAAAATTAAATATTTTAATAAAACAAAACGTTTTAAACTTTATTTGTATCTTTTCTGTTGTTTTAACAGCAAAACAAGAAAAGTGCCTTAAATCAAATTTCTTTTTTGTTTCATAATTTTATTTTTCACAGTGAAGGTGAAACTCTCTTCATGATCTTAACTTTACATCCTTGAATTATTCTTGCTGTTATAACTAATTCAAAGGTGATGTCTTCCACTTTCAGATCAGTCGTGACTTTGTAGTTTCGTAAAAAGTATGAAAGTGCAATCTTCATTGCTTTCATTGCATAATTCCCACCAATGCAATTTCTCGGTCCTTTTGCAAATGGTACGTAAGCATACGTCGGTACATTCCTAAATGATTCTGAGTTGAATCTTTCGGGTTTGAATTCGTCAGCATCATCACCCCAATAATCTTTGTTTCGATGGATTTTATTCACTGGAACAAGAATAATGGATTTTGCGGGGACTACATGAGAGCCTAAGGTGACAAAAATTTTAGTTTCATTTGATTTAAAAAGTCTTCGATGTCAACTTGCCAACTTCGATATCTTCAGTTACAAGTCTTGCAAAAAAAGGTGCAGTTGGCCAGAATCTCATAGTTTCTTTGATAACCAAATCAAGATACGTCAATTGAGAAATCTTCTCTTCATCAACATCTTCATCATTCGAATTGAAAACATGTTGAAGCTCTTGAAAAGCTTTCTCTTGAACATCTTGATGCATTGCAAGAATAAGAACGATAAAAGACATCGTTATAGCAATTGTATCGAAGCCCTAATTGAATTTTTTTGAGAAATTAAAATCATTTTTATTATATTCTAATCAACACTTACAGCTGCAATCACTGTCATGCATTCGTCCTTTATTTCTTCATAAGAAAATTCACTTCTTCTTTTAAAGAGTTGATCGATAAATATTTGTGGTTTTTTTGATTGCGTTTCGGACTCTTCTAAATTTTCATAACTTTTCATTTTAATTTGAAGTAATTCATCAGCCGTCTTATATAATCCATTGACAAGATATTTTTGCTCTAACTCATAAACGTCAGACATTCTTAAAATTGGCTCATATTGAAGCCAAAATCTAACCATTTTGGCAGAGAGAACATTTACAGCACTGTGAAAAAATTTTGAAATAATGTGTTGTGAATATTTATTATAAAATACTCACCAATGAGTGTTACGAAGAATGTCATTATTATCATTTAGTTGAATGTTCATTTCCATATCGCTGGATGTGCTGAATATCAAATCCAAAGACAGTGCCGACATGTATTCTAAAATATCAAAACTCGAACTATCCAAATGTTTTGCTAACAAATCGATGCATAATTTTGATTTTTTATTAAAAATCGGTAAAAAACTTTTAATGACACTTGGACTGAAGGCAGGTTCAATGAGTTTTCTGTGATTTTTCCATAAAGCTCCATTGGAAACAAGAAGACCTGTGAGGTAAATCGTTCCTTTAATTTTATATATTCACTTAGGTTATTTCAGTTACCTTTTTTCATTCCAAGACCTTCGTAAAGTGAAGGCTTATCGATACACTTTGGTGAATTAAGAACATTTTGCAGTTGCATGGGATCGTCAATTATTATCATAAACATTGGACCAAGCCAAAATGATCTTGGTGAAGGCCCGGGTGACGATGTAATTTTATTCATTTCAATATAAATCTCTGGAAGTTTAATTTCAATAATACATTCCATAAAGTTTTATTATTATTGAAAGCATTACCTTCATTGTTTTTTCCGAGAAGTAAATGTGCGAATCCGACAATTGGTAAACCTCCTTCGACTGAAGGCAATTTCGATGCATAAATGTAAAACTTTCGATAATGCCATAAATATAATAAAATAAGTGTTGAAAGCACTAATAAAATCATCTTTTATGGTTTGTTTATTTATTATTTCTTATTTTTTTCGTTACTTTTTATCTTGTCTGATATTTTATTGTCTGTTATGGTTAATTTATTAAATTTAAAAAAAAACTATAAATTTAGTAATTATTGAAACCAAATTAATCTTCTTTCTTAATTTAATTTTCTAATGCCAAGAATTTCTTAGAACTTTCAGGAATACTGAAAATATTCGTATTAAAAGCTTCACAAAACAAATTAAAAATCATTAAATTTGCATAACTTAACGTCCTTGAAATGTTTCACAATGAAAGAATTTTTTTGATAGTCAAAAAACTGATACATGTAGCATAGTTAAATTATTCACGGTATCTTTACTTGATAGACAAAGAATGACAAAGAATTGAGAAAGTGTTATGATAAAATTAATAATTCTTTAATTGAAAGAATCGCCAATCTTCATCCAATAAATCCAATAAAACTTTTTATTCAAAACTATTAGAACGTTCCTATTAATTTTAATCAATCTTTAAACAAATGTCAAAGATAAACTTTTAAAGTAAGAAATTAAATTCATGAAGATTATTTCTCCAATTTCTAATTTTAAATTAATGTTGATTTCGCAAGGAGAAAAAGATGAAACGATAAAGGACTCCTTTTAAATTAGTAATTAAGAAGATTTATTAACACTCTTCAATTATTTTATCACTTGATTTTTTTCTTGTCAATTTAATCAATTTGTATCAAATATTCTTAGGAAACTTGGGGAGGCTATTTGTAGCATCTTTTTCAAATGCTAACTGAGTATTGTTTGGTAGCATTTTATCTTTTATATTTGAAAATACTGAGACACAATAGTATTGATGATCTTTTCTATGAGCGGGAAAAAATGGATTTGGAAACACGATCAACTGGAAAAACTTCTTTACTACTAAAGAATGATTTTTTTAATGTCAAATATATGATAAATTAATTTAAATATGTTCACCACTAGTTGTTTTTATTCATCAAAGTTTTTTGAACTCCAAACAGATAAAAGAAAACACTCAAAAATTTTCTTTCATAAGTTTTGTGGGGATTTTCGATTCTATATAATGATTTGTTTATAACACATTCACCAATGAAAACAAAGAAGCTCATGATGAAACATCCTACTAAAATATGATACAAACCATAAATATCAGCTGTCTTTAACAAATTTTCTTCATTTTAAACGTATATATGTACTCGTGTTCACGATCAAATCTCATACCAATCTTTTTATCTACAAATTATTATTAATACTATCTCAAAACTGATTCAACAATCAAATCAAAATTTTCTGCAACACATGACGCATACAATATTTAACGCTATTTAATTCATTCATATTTAGATATGACAGATATTATGATTCGAATTTATTAATTGAACATCATAATTAAATTGTTTTCAATACTTCCTACTTGGCTTCTATTCGCACTGTCTTTTTGTATGAAATCACTTCTAAAATAATATTTCATCATAGTTTATAAGTAACATTTGTTAAAGCATCCTTGTATTAAAGATTTTCACTTTCAAAGTCTCTCTTCATGATCTTAACTTTACATCCTTGAATTATTCTTGCTGTTATAACTAATTCAAAGGTGATGTCTTCCACTTTCAGATCAGTCATGACNGAAATATTTTAATAAAACAAAACGTTTTAAACTTTATTTGTATCTTTTCTGTTGTTTTAACAGCAAAACAAGAAAAGTGCCTTAAATCAAATTTCTTTTTTGTTTCATAATTTTATTTTTCACAGTGAAGGTGAAACTCTCTTCATGATCTTAACTTTACATCCTTGAATTATTCTTGCTGTTATAACTAATTCAAAGGTGATGTCTTCCACTTTCAGATCAGTCATGACTTTGTAGTTTCGTAAAAAGTATGAAAGTGCAATCTTCATTGCTTTCATTGCATAATTCCCACCAATGCAATTTCTCGGTCCTTTTGCAAATGGTACGTAAGCATACGTCGGTACATTCCTAAATGATTCTGAGTTGAATCTTTCGGGTTTGAATTCGTCAGCATCATCACCCCAATAATCTTTGTTTCGATGGATTTTATTCACTGGAACAAGAATAATGGATTTTGCGGGGACTACATGAGAGCCTAAGGTGACAAAAATTTTAGTTTCATTTGATTTAAAAAGTCTTCGATGTCAACTTGCCAACTTCGATATCTTCAGTTACAAGTCTTGCAAAAAAAGGTGCAGTTGGCCAGAATCTCATAGTTTCTTTGATAACCAAATCAAGATACGTCAATTGAGAAATCTTCTCTTCATCAACATCTTCATCATTCGAATTGAAAACATGTTGAAGCTCTTGAAAAGCTTTCTCTTGAACATCTTGATGCATTGCAAGAATAAGAACGATAAAAGACATCGTTATAGCAATTGTATCGAAGCCCTAAATAATTGGAAAATGTTTTAGCTTCAAAATCATTGAAATGATTTCTCATTAAAACTTACAGCTGCAATCACTGTCATGAACTCATCTTTTATTTCTTCATAAGTAAATTCATCTCTTTTCTTGAATAGTTGATCGATAAATATTTGTGGTTTCTTCTTTTTCATCTTTTCAGAGTCATCTTGATTTTTATTTTGCATTTGCATGAGAATAATTTTGTCAACTGTCTTATATAATCCATTGACAAGATGCTTTTGTTCTAATTCATAAATGTCGGTCATTCTTAAAATTGGCTCATATTGAAGCCAAAATCTAACTATCTTAGCAGAAAGAATGTTCGCAGCACTGTTAAAATATTATTATCGTAAAACAATTATTAACTTAATTAACTCACACATGACTGCTTCTAAGGATGTCATTATTTTCTCCTAATTGAATGTTCATTTCCATATCGCTGGATGTGCTGAATATCAAATCCAAAGACAGTGCCGACATGTATTCTAAAATATCAAAACTCGAACTATCCAAATGTTTTGCTAACAAATCGATGCATAATTTTGATTTTTTATTAAAAATCGGTAAAAAACTTTTAATGACACTTGGACTGAAGGCAGGTTCAATGAGTTTTCTGTGATTTTTCCATAAAGCTCCATTGGAAACAAGAAGACCTGTGAAGTTCATCATTTCTTTTATTTAAAATCTTGCTTTGCCTTGAAAATGATGTAGGAAATTCACCTTTTTTCATTCCAAGACCTTCGTAAAGTGAAGGCTTGTCGATGCACTTTGGAGAATTAAGAACATTTTGCAGTTGCATGGGATCGTCAATAATTATCATAAACATTGGACCAAACCAAAACTTTCTTGGTGAAGGCCCGGGTGTCGAGGTAATTTCTTTAATTTGATTATAAAGTTCTGGAAATTTCACAAAATCAGTTTATACTTCTTTTTAATTTGATTGATTATTGCATGCAAAACCTTGATTGTTTTTTCGCAGAAACAAATGTGCAAATCCAACAATTGGTAAACCTCCTTTGACTGAAGGCAATTTTGATGCATAAATGTAAAACTTTCGATAATACCATAAATATAATAAAATAAGTGTTGAAAGCACTAATAAAATCATCTTTTATGGTTTGTTTATTTATTATTTCTTATTTTTTTCGTTACTTTTTATCTTGTCTGATATTTTATTGTCTGTTATGGTTAATTTATTAAATTTAAAAAAAAAACTATAAATTTAGTAATTATTGAAACCANCATGGTTTCTTTGATAACCAAATCAAGATACGTTAATTGAGAAATCTTCTCTTCATCAACATCTTCATCATTCGAATTGAAAACATGTTGAAGCTCTTGAAAAGCTTTCTCTTGAACATCTTGATGCATTGCAAGAATAAGAACGATAAAAGACATCGTTATAGCAATTGTATCGAAGCCCTAAATAATTGGAAAATGTTTTAGCTTCAAAATCATTGAAATGATTTCTCATTAAAACTTACAGCTGCAATCACTGTCATGAACTCATCTTTTATTTCTTCATAAGTAAATTCATCTCTTTTCTTGAATAGTTGATCGATAAATATTTGTGGTTTCTTCTTTTTCATCTTTTCAGAGTCATCTTGATTTTTATTTTGCATTTGCATGAGAATAATTTTGTCAACTGTCTTATATAATCCATTGACAAGATGCTTTTGTTCTAATTCATAAATGTCGGTCATTCTTAAAATTGGCTCATATTGAAGCCAAAATCTAACTATCTTAGCAGAAAGAATGTTCGCAGCACTGTTAAAATATTATTATCGTAAAACAATTATTAACTTAATTAACTCACACATGACTGCTTCTAAGGATGTCATTATTTTCTCCTAATTGAATGTTCATTTCCATATCGCTGGATGTGCTGAATATCAAATCCAAAGACAGTGCCGACATGTATTCTAAAATATCAAAACTCGAACTATCCAAATGTTTTGCTAACAAATCGATGCATAATTTTGATTTTTTATTAAAAATCGGTAAAAAACTTTTAATGACACTTGGACTGAAGGCAGGTTCAATGAGTTTTCTGTGATTTTTCCATAAAGCTCCATTGGAAACAAGAAGACCTGTGAGGTAAATCGTTCCTTTAATTTTATATATTCACTTAGGTTATTTCAGTTACCTTTTTTCATTCCAAGACCTTCGTAAAGTGAAGGCTTATCGATACACTTTGGTGAATTAAGAACATTTTGCAGTTGCATGGGATCGTCAATTATTATCATAAACATTGGACCAAGCCAAAATGATCTTGGTGAAGGCCCGGGTGACGATGTAATTTTATTCATTTCAATATAAATCTCTGGAAGTTTAATTTCAATAACACATTCCATAAAGTTTTATTATTATTGAAAGCATTACCTTCATTGTTTTTTCCGAGAAGTAAATGTGCGAATCCGACAATTGGTAAACCTCCTTCGACTGAAGGCAATTTCGATGCATAAATGTAAAACTTTCGATAATGCCATAAATATAATAAAATAAGTGTTGAAAGCACTAATAAAATCATCTTTTATGGTTTGTTTTTATTTATTATTTCTTATCACTAAATTAGGTCTTTTTATTTTAATTTTTTTTTTGATAAAATCTAACGAAATTTAGTTGAGAAAAGTAATGCTTAGCATGTCTCTTAAATGTAGACTGTACGCTAGTCGTAGGCCTTTTTAACTTTTATATTTGAAAATTCTCGGAGTGTGTGAATTGTGCAGCATGTGTAAAACAATAACATGTTATTAAAATAGTTTTTCAAATGAAGATATGCTAATTGTCAATAATTTCAGGTCAACTCAGGTGCAAATTGAAAATGATAGAACGATTGAAAAGAATTCAGATAATATGTAAGTTATAATTCAGTGTCAGAAAAATATCGCTGTGATACAAATCTTATAAGACTTGTGTAGGATTATTCTCAACCAATGGTTATTTAAAAGTAGTTAAGTATGTTTTACAATGTTAAAAAATTATATAAAATGCATCAGATTCAATTAAAGTTGATGAGAACTCAACAAGAATTTTTAACAAATATTTTTTATTCTCTTTTTGTTAAACGTGATCATTTAAAAATTGTATAAATCAAACAGTTTATAAAGAAACGTACAAAAAGTAGGTATCACTTGTAAAAAATTCATCTATCTAAAATTTAAAAAAAATATTAAAGATTTTTTTATTTGCAATAATGGAAAGAAATAGAAATCTGTGTCTTTGTCAGATATTAAAAACATTGTTTATTTTAATGGAATGTCTTGTTTTAGAAGCAGTCTCATCCTGGAAATGTATGTGAGAGTGTTTTCCTTGCTTAATTTCAATCATTTAAAAGCATTCAGCCGTTGCTAGGCAGATACTTAGTGTAATTAAATACATATCGGAATCAAATAAGATTGTAATTTATAAATATTTGTATTTTAAATTATTCGTTTAGTGTATCATAAAATAGATTGAAATTGAGATTGAATTATCAAATTTAGTCTGATTATTAAACTAAAAGAAGTTCACATGTTGATATATTTTCTTTTTTCTCAACTTTCTTCAATTAATTTACTTGACTTGACTTTGACGAAGGTTCTTGACGTGATCTTACAAAAAACCATGTCACAGCACGAACTTTTGTCACAGCGCGGACTTATGCTCAACCTTTAAAAAAAAATTACTCGGTAGTCCAATTTCCAATGTGGTTGACACAACCTATCATTCGTAGAAACTCGGCAAATACAAAAAAACTTCTTCCTAGAAGTTGGGTGAAAATTAAAATTATATTTACACAAAAGAACAAAACAATGGAGTCTGCTGAAAATCAAGATGATTTAATAATCAAGCAACAGCGTGAGATTGAAAAGGAGGTAAAAAAAATTCTGAAATCTTCCAAAACCAAAACATCGGCAAAACTTTTTTTTCGCTTGTAGATTTCTGATTCGTTTGCATTAATTTCTGAAGAACTTCCTGTTGAAACTCTCAACAATGAATATGCAGACGATCCTATTTACACTCGTAAGGTTCAGGATATTGAGAAGAAATATAAATACATCAGAAAAGTCCGACCGGATGGAAATTGTTTTTTCAGAGCATTTGCATTTGCAATTCTCGAGCATCTCATCAAGCATCAAGATGAATTCATAAAATTCAAGAAGATTGCTGAAGAGTCAAAGTCAAAATTACTACAATTAAATTTTCCTCAGTTCACAATTGAGGATTTCTACGACACATTCATCGAAGTGATTCACAAAGTTGAGCCTAAGGACAATCAAGCACAAGTGCTTGAAGAGCTGTACAAAGTGTTCAATGAGCAAGGTTCCAGTGACTATGTTGTTGTTTATTTACGACTGATTACCTCAGGAAAACTTCAAGAGGAATCTGATTTCTACCAAAATTTCATCGATGGAAGTTACGGAAGTGTCGCAGAGTTTTGTCACAAGGTTCGTTAAATTAACAGGCCCTCAAAAACATTTCTTTTAATTTCCTTCGTAGGAAGTCGAGGCGATGTACAAGGAAAGCGATCACATCCACATTATTGCAATTTGCGCTGCTCTCGGCGCATCAGTTCGGGTTGAATACATGGATCGAGGATCGGAAGACGCTGTCGTTGCTCATGACTTTCCAGATGATGGTCAACCGACAGTGTATCTGTTATATCGGCCAAGTCATTACGATATTCTCTATCCCAAGTAAATTTGAATGAATCAAATCGTTCAGTGACTGAAAACAAAAAAAGATTCCTCTCAACTACGAGAATTTCCATGTTTGTCTCTCGTTTTGGCTCATGAATTGAATTTAGAAATTTTCTGATTATAAAACAAAAAAAAAATGTGTAATCGTGTTGTAAGCAGTAATTAGGGCAGAAAGATTAAAGAAACTGTTAGACTTTCTTGTTCCAAAAATGTATCCAAGAAATTGCTTTGTTTTGAAACATTTAACAAAAATCTCAATAAGCTCTAAACAATTTACTAAATATTTTAGATAACGATGGAAACGCATGAATTTGAATTGAAGATGAAGAGACAACTTTTTTCCATAAAGATAATTAATATTTTATGTTTAGGGACAAACGCACAAAACTTAATTAACCTTCTCTTCGCTTTGTTAAGTGATTTTTTATTTTTTTTAAGGAATTTCACCATTGAACAATTTTTAAGCTTTAACTTTCTTCTATAAAGTTTTCAAATGTTTTTAATTAAATATTGTCATTGACGAAAGTACAACACTGGATTAAATTTCGTTTTAAGATTTTTGTCTGATCATTAAAGGTGAGAAGTGAAGTTTAGATTTAGAATGTTTGCAATTTCTGAATATAAAAGAATGTAAAGAAAAATATAAAGTTACGCTCTTTGTCCCTGCACCTAACTAATATTTATTAACAATAATTTCAACAAATCCATTTTTAATCTATTTTCTCTTTTATTTAACTCAGCATCAGATTGCTCTTACATTTCAATCCAATATTAACAATGAATGAAGAAAAAATAAATATATTCTTGTATTCCTTACTCTTTTTTTAGATTTGACGTAAATAGAAATTCTCTTAAAAATGAAAGAAATAAGAAAAACAAAATAATTAAATTAGTAATAAAAGAAAGACTTTTGAAATGATAAGCGAGGAAAAATTAATTTGCGTTCATTCTTCTCTGCTCTCTACTCAAGGTCAATAAAAAAAAGCTTTACGTCATCATTAGGAAATTATTACATAATTCTTCTTGAATGAAAGCTTTTGTTTGTTTGTTTAAAAGATTTTCCCGTAAAAAAAGTTATGACGAGGAGTAAGTAAATTGAGGTTTCATTAGGTTTCACATTTGTTGGTTCTTTTGGCAATTGATTAATGTAATTAAATATTCATGAAGGTTTCATGTTTCAAATGCTTTAATGGGACTGTGAAAATGCAATTTTAGAGAACACTTTTTTTTCTTTTGAAATGCGCATGTGGGAAATGGGAAAGAAAATCAAAATTCGTAAACAAATAATAAGCAAAATTAATCAACTAAAATAAAAGTGAAACTTCCAACTGAAAAAACTTTTCCTTATCATAACTTTGAGTCATTTAGTCAATCTGCATTACAGACTTGCATTGCTTCATCTTTTTCTTCCAGCAATTCCTTTGTGGTGATTTCCAACTTGCTACGTGCAAAGTCATCAAGTTTCAATCCTTGTACCTTGAAAATAAATAATGTCAATATTTTATTGATTAAAAGTTTAACTCTTTTACTATTTTCCATTTCTTGTCTTTAATCTCAACTGGGAACGAGAAGACAATGTCTTTTGGGATGTTGTAGCTTCCATCAGAAACGACACCCATTGAAACAAATGTTCCAGCTGCAGTTCCTTGCCACCAGTCACGAACATGATCAGCAGCAGCTTTTGCTGCACTCATAGCTGAGCTCATCTTGCGAGCAGCAATAACAGAAGCTCCACGCTTTTGGACAGTTGTGACGAAGTCACTTTGTAAGTACGATGCTTCAACGAGATCAGTTACTGGCTTGCCGTTTGCCGTACCACTTGCAACATCAGGGAATTGAGTAGCTTTATAAGAAGATTAAAATTAGGTGATAATTGAAGAGTTAATGAAATTAATAAATTCTTGCCTGAATGATTTCCCCAAATGATAAGATTTTTCACATTTGAAATGTCAGTTCCAAGACGCAATGCAATTTGAGCACGAGCACGATTTTGATCAAGACGTGTCATTGCAGTGAAGTTTTCTCGTGGAATTGAAGGTGCGTAGTGAGAACATATAAGCGCATTTGTATTAGCTGGATTTCCAACGACTAAAACCTTGACGTCTTTTTTCGCATGTGCGTTAAGTGCTTCGCCTTGTACCTTGAAGATCTTCACGTTAGCTGACAATAAATCTTTACGTTCCATTCCTTCACGTCGTGGCATTGCACCAACTAAGAAAGCTGCAGAAACGTCTTTGAAAGCAACAGCTGGGTCGGCGGTTGGAATCACTTGACTCAACAAAGGAAAAGCACAATCGTACAATTCCATAAGAACACCTTCAAGAACTCCCATCATTGGTGGGATGTCAAGAAGTGTCAACACAAGTTTCTGGTCTTTTCCGAAAACTTCTCCATTTGCAATCATGTAAAGAAGTGAATATGCGATCTGACCAGCAGCACCAGTTACAACAACACGAATTGGTTCAGACTGTTAAAGTGACAAGAGAAAGATTTATTAGTTAAATTATTTTCGTGAATGTTTGAGTGTAAGTTAAACATTTTAATTGTCTTCTTTTTTCTATGTTCTCAGATGTGACAATATTTTATTTATTTTTAAATGTAACAAATATCTCACATGGATATCATTTCTCTGTGTTAGTGAATGGAAAAAGGTCAACTCAATGATAACAAATGAAAATTTTCTCGATTAGAAAACCACTTCAGATGAAGTTAATAGCTTTGCTAATGAACTCAACATTCAATCAAATTGATTGACTGAAAACCTTAAACAAATTTTTCTCTTTTTTTCATCTTTTCTCATTTCATGAGAAGAAACTGCATGGATTAATTATTTTGTTAGAAAAAAATATTACATAATATTCAATCAACTAAATCATAAGTTGTTGCCAAACGAACTAAACTTTAATGAATAAAATGCATCAATAAAGTCAAACTTACCATTTTTGAATTTTTTTGTTAAATAATTGAAGAAAGGGAAAATTTTTCACAATTTGTACTTGACAAGTTAAGGCGAATAAAACGAATGAAATAGATTCCAAAGCTTAAATAAAAATGTTTTAGATAATGTACCGGTCCGGTAAGTCTGAACAAAATAATTACTTCAAAATGCTTGCGATAAGAATGAAATCTCTATGAATTGTGAGCAGAGAAAAGCGGGAATGATTTCGGCTTTCAACGACGTCACTGTGGTGAAACAAATGTAAATGACAATATGGAAAAGTTGAAAAAGTATTTGAATCAGCGAACGTTAAATCAAAATTGAGATTTACAAGTACTCGATGCGAAATAAAATTTGATATCTTTATATCAATCAAATGCGTGTGTTTAAAATAAAAATCATATCAAGGATGATTAAAATAGATATCAGAAAATCATTACAGATTTTCGTTTCAATTAAAAACGTATTTTCTTCACAGAACTTTTCATTTCCAGTTCAGTTTATTTTCTCTTCTCACCCGGTGAAGAAGTCTTTTGGAAACTATTTTGCAGCACATTATTTTTGTGGGAAGCTCATTGGAAAATCATTTCAAGAAGAATCTTTTCTAGTGATTCATTTCATCTGAATTAGGTCAAAATTTAAAGCGATTTTAAGTTTTTTTATTTAAATAATTTAGCAAACGAATTTTAAAAAGAAAAATCGAGATGGAAAATGTTAATATTATTACGGACGAAAACTCCCCAACAACGAAAACCGATGACATCGCAAATATGAAGATCGTTGCAGATAATTCAAGTGACGAAAGATCGGAGAAAACAGATGCTGAAAAACCAAAAATGGAAGACGATGAATCAACAAAGCTTAATGGTGATTCAGAACCGTCTGATGAAAATCACACCGAATCGAACGGGAAAGTGGAAGAAAATCAGCCAATTTCTGATCAGTCAGAAAATATTCCAAATAGTGACGAAGCTATAAAAATTCCCGAAGAAATTAAAATTGAATCGAATGACACTCCCATTGAAACTGAAACAAAGGACGTAAAGGAAGAAGTTTCAAACGTTGCAGAGGGTGAACAGCAAGAAGACAAATCTGAAAAGGAAGTCGAGGTTGAAAAGGAAGTTGAAGCACCCCAACCGCAAATTGAAGATGTGAAAGTGAGTGAAGAAATTCCACCAGTTAAGGAAGAAGATTTAAAAGTGGTGGAAGAAGTTGCTGAACCTCAAGTAGAATTTCAAAATTCTGAGGTTGCTGATGAACAACCCAAAACTGAAAATTTAAATTCCGAGACTGAAACACCAAAAGTTTCAGAAGAAGTTCAACAAGTGGTTGAAGATAATTCTACACCTCAATTGGCAGATGTAGCTTCTGAATCAACAGAAACCAAGGTAGAAGACTCTGAAACTAAACAAGAAGATGCAACTGTTGAAGATGCCACGAAAGCTGAAGAAGAATCGCCGGTTGAAGTTGAAGTTCCACAAGAAGAGATTGTGGAAGAATCTAAGAAAGAAGACATTCAAGAAGTTCAGCAATCGGAAGAGAATATTCCTCAATCAAATGAAGTTGGTGACGTTGAACCAGTGATTGAACGTGTGGAAGCTTTGCAATCTGAAAGTGAAGTTGCGAAAACACCAGAAAGTCCTGTTGACGTTCAGGAAATTGTTCAACAACCTGAAGACAAACTAGAATCGGATGAAAGTATTTTACGTGATGTCGAAGAAGACATTATACAGTCAGTAAATGTTACACCAAGAGCTGCTGCTGTTGCTGCCCCTAAAGCTAATTTATGTCCAAACGATAAGAAAGATGAAAAGCTTTTCAGTTTTGGTTTGGGTAAGTTTAAATTCCTTTCATGTCAAAATATTTTCTCACTAAATATATAATTTTCTGCCTAAAACGCACATGTCATAATCTTAAACACTCACACCCAGTGCAATTATCATTCAACATTAGATTATCAAAGACAGTCATAAAGATTCTTTCATTGAGAAAACGTTTAATTATTGATTTATTGCATTCGATTAAAAAACTTTTCGATTGTCTAATTTTGATAAGATTTTTCGCATTATGTCATCAAAATGTTGTTTTAGAATGAATTAAATATGATGTGAGTTTATACTTAATAATCAATTTCTTTTTTTAAAAACAGATGTATGGTTCAAACCAGATCGTTTACATCCAAGAGGTGAGTTGAGAATTTGAGATTATGTCATTTTCTTATGTTTAACATCAACTTCTTTGCCGCTTCAAATAATCAATCGCAATAAAGACAATTGATAATATCACAGTAAAGATAAGATATCTAAAATTAAAAGTAATGTAATTATGCATTAAACATTTTTATTGATATTGATGATTCCGCATACCAAAATAGTGATCCAATCGATGATTTAAGTTTAGCGGTTTATGATCTGATATTGAATTCTCCAATGCAATCAGAATTTATTTCTCGTTCTCTGTTTAACAGTCAGAATTACAGTTTCTTGAAAATGTTTAGAAGGAAACGTGGAATTAAGAGAAAAGTTTTAGATATTTATTGAAGTTGAACGCATGCTTCTTTTTTTTAATCCAATATTTATGCAAATTAATGAAAAGAATGGTTCTGGAGAATATCATCATCGTATAACTAATATTTCTCAATACTTTTTTGTCGTTTCCTTCCTATCCATTCCAAATTATCTTTTTCTTTCACGTTTTACTTGTTATAAAGGTGTTTGTTTTCGTTTCTGCGTTCTTTTTACCATCCGCTAAGGTACATGTATTGCGATATACTTTCGTGGCGATGAAGTGTAAGGCAAGAAAAAAAAACCAAAGAGAAAGAACTTTTTCCGTAAATTTAGTTTACTTTATTCACTTGTAAGACGTTGTAATAAAAAGAAAAAAAAAGTTTCTGATTCAGTACGATCATTCATCTTGGACAAACTGAACATAGTTTTATTTATGTATCGTCTTTAAGTGGAAACAAGAAAATTAACCACAAAATTTCAATTTCTCCCAACGCGAAGCAATATTAATTAAAGAAACGCGAAAGGTATATTCTTAAATTTTAACATATTTCGAGTAGATTTTCTTATAAAAAATTAATTTAAAAGAAAGAAATGGGTCGGAGGTCTACAGGAAGATATCAGAATAGCAATGGATACTCGTATCAAAATGATTTACCGGAAAGGGGACCAGGTTGGAATAAAATTAATTTCTCATTTCATTTGACTGAATGTTCTTATTGTTCGATATAATTTTCATTGTTTGAAAAACAAGTTTCATTGATGATTTCACTTTTAAATATTTACAATATGATGATGTGTCAAATATTTATCTCATTTTTATTTTTTTTTCTTTTAGTTGAATCGTTGATTTACTGGCGCGATGTTAAAAAATCCGCAGCTGTTTTCGTGCCTGTCTTGGCGATCCTTGTGGCTATGTCGATGTTCTCGCTAATCAGTGTTATCGCATACATGTCACTTGCAGTTCTGGCTGGGACGATATCATTTAGAGTCTATAAAGCTGTTGTTTCAGCAGTTCAAAAGACATCTGAAGGGAATCCATTCCAGTGAGTTTCTTCACCTTCATTCAATGAAATAATTTAATTTTTATTCTTACAGAAATATTCGACATCGACTTATCATTGTCGTCTGAAAAAATTCAACAATCATCCGGCGTGTTCGCAACTCATGTTAATGCTTACATTGGAGAATTACGTCGGTTATTCTGTGTTGAGGATATTATTGATTCAGTGAAGTTTGGATTACTTTTATGGGTTCTTACTTATATTGGTGCCATGTTTAACGGCATGACAGTGATCATTCTAAGTAATTAAAATAGTTTTAAATATCAAATAAATTCCTAAGTATAATGCTTTCAATTTATTTTCTCATTAAACAGCATTTGTTGCAATATTCACCATCCCAAAAATCTATGAAGCGAACAAGCAAAAAATTGATCAAGGATTGGACATAGTTAAAGAAAAATATGTTGAATTATCCGAAAGGTAAGCATTTAATGGATATCACTAAATATTTCTTAATTAAAATTTCTTTCTTTCACTATTAACATCTAGAATTAAAGCTTCCATTCCTGCTGCATCAGCTAAAAAGGAGGAATCAGATAAGGATAAATAAATATCATTATTTGCTTCATAAACAATCACAGGATACTCTCTTAAAAGGAGAAAACAATTTTTAATATTTTTATTAATTTTAATTCCTTTCGAGCTTGAACAAAGTGTTCCAAAAAAGCCAACATTTATTACAAATTGTAATTAAAGTTTATATGTTTCGAGAAGAGATCAAATCTCTTTTATTTTCTAACTAAAGATAACATTTAAACATCACGATTATTATCATGATTTTGTTTTAGAAATTTTGAAATTTTTGAGAATATTTCTTATCAAATCGATTGTACAAGTTTCACATTCTCTCTCATACGATCAAAAATAAGTTAAATCATTTTTTCGTCTCCATAAATGCCCTTTCTTACCATCACTTATATGCACTGTTGGCTTTTACTTGTACACAAGTTTTTCTTCTCTCCCTTTCACATCCCCTTAATTTCTAAAAAAATTCGTATAAAATTCGAAAGTGAAAGAAAAGATTCGGTCGAAACTTAATTATCATTTTTTTATTTGAAATCTTTGTTTATCAAATAAAATGAATAGTATAGTGAATGAACGTCGCTTACAGAATGTTTTCGGTACAAAAATTACTAATATTTTAAGTGATAATTTATTATTTTTGTGTTTTATGATTTACAAGTTTAAATTTTAAATTCTGAGGTTAACTAAAAATTCACAATTTTAATAATTTTCATATTTTGAATGTCTCTATTCAGATGCAATCGATGTCGGCAACAATAAAAAAGCATTGCAAGAAGTTGAAAAAGTTTTAAAAAAAACCTCGAAGCTAAGAACAGCACTTGCATTGAAAGCTCTTGCGCTTATAAGATTAGGTCGTGAGAAGGAAAGTCAAATGCTAATCGAAGATTTAGAGAGGACCGAACCAGATGATGATTCAACCCTACAAGTTCTAACATACTGTTATCGAGAATTGGATCAATGTAAGAAGTAATTGTGAAATAAGTTAGAAAACATTAATTAACCTTTTATTATTTTAGTGAATAAAATATGTTTAATTTATCATAATGCTGCTAAGAAGCTACCAAACAACGAAGAAATCCTTAGCCAGCTGTTTATGGCTCATGTCAGAGTCAATGATTATAAATCGCAACAAATTGTCGCCCTTCAACTCTTCAAAGCAAAACCTAAAAATCCGTACTACTTCTGGGCAGTTATGAGCATAATTCTGCAAGCCCTCCGGGGACCTGAATCGTCTGAAAAGGAGAAATCAAAAATCTTACTTCTTCTTGCACAACGAATGGTGAATAAAGTTATAAATGAGAAAAGAATCGAAGCAGAGCAAGAAGTTCAACTTTACTTGAATATTTATTCTTGAGCATCAGGAAAGTTTTGAAGAAATGTTAACGTTCCTCACATCAGAAGTCTGCAGTGAGCATTTTCCTGGTGTGCCAATTTCAATAAAAATCGAATTACTCAAAAAACTCAAAAATTGGATGGAGCTGAAAAAAATTGTTGAGGAATTGCTGATTGAGGAGTGAGTTTGATAAAAATAATTAATTAAATGAAGTTTTAATTTGTGATTTTTCAGTCCTGATCGATGGGATTACTACAAGGATTATATTTTTGCTTGCTTTGAATTAATAAAATCGGGTGATTCCAATACGTCGCCTGAATCATGCTTCAATTTTATGTCGAAGGTAAATTAACATGAAATTCTTAGCAAATTAAATGTTTTTCATCTTTTCCTTTATCCAGTTAAAAAAGAGTCGTCAAAGAATAAAATTCGTGGTCCATTTCTTGGTTTAATGGAAATACACAAAGAGATGCGTTTATGTAATTTTAATGCCGACAATCTTCTTGGCGAATATGAGGAGCTTTTAATCAATTACTTTCATTTATTCGGCAATAAAAAATGCTGTGCAAATGATCTTAAAGTGTTCTTGGAGCATTTGGAACCGTCAAAGAGACCGCAGTTTGCTAAGAAGTTGATACAAGAAACTGGAATAAGTTCGACGACGTTACCACAAGATGCAAGTCAACTTTTCTATTTTTCTCAAAAACATTTAATTAATTATTAATATACATATATTTTCATAGAAAGATCAACTTCAACGTCACATTTGCTCACTTCAAATCTCAAGGTTGTGTGGATCTCATTCATCATTATCAGTGGAACATTTACAAGCACTTTATTCAGCTTTGAGTTTACATTACGAGCATAGTTTCAGTGCTTTCGATAAGAATTTATTACCAACTGACATTGGCTTATCAGATCAGTATGCGCTTCTAGCTGGTGAGTTGAATTGAAAATTTCTTGATTAGAACATTTAAATTTATTGTTTATTCTTCCAGCACATGTCATGTTTGATCTTGCAGCGAAAGAAAATTCAATTGAACGTCTTATTGAAGCTGCACATCTTCTGAATTATCTGCTTCAAAATAGTCCGAGTAACTTTCATGCGAAACTTCTTTGTCTTCAAATTTATCATATTTTGGGATGTTCCTTGGGTGCTCATTCAATTTATTCATCATTAGATGTCAAACACGTTCAACTAGATTCTTTGGGTTATCTTCATTGCACTCATCTACCATTAACAGGCATTGTATCATTGGCAAAGCCAATTTACGATCAAACATTGAAATTCTTCACAGCATCATACAAAGAAAGTTTGGAATATCTCGCAATGTCATATAAGTTCGGCTCGTTTTCAAAGCTTCAAGAATTTATGGATTTTCGTGACAGATTATCGAATAGTCTTCACTACTCGATGGTGTCTGTTGAAGCTTTAATTCAGGAAATTGTTTGCTTCAATGGATCGTCGCAACAGAATTTTCTTCATTTTCAAAATATGAAAATTGAACCGAAGGAAGATCGGATCAAGTATGATGAGTTGATGGACAATCGAGACCTCGATGTGATGGTTCGTTGGGACCCAGTGTTCAAATATACTTCAGAAAATGGTGAAGTTTTAGCCGAACCAATTTCACTCGAAACAAGCTTTAAAAAACGTGAACAGGAAAGTTTCGTTCATGAAACTGAGCTGCTGAAAATTCGCTCAAGTCTATTGCGACTTGTTGCAGCGTCTGTAGATCTGATTCACTCACCAATGAAAAGTAAAGACGATGAAACCAAAGATCAGAATGATCAAACTTCAACTTGTTGTCCTGAAGAGACTTACAAAACCTTAATGAACAGTTGGGAAGATCTTTTTACATTCGCAAAGATGCTCAACAGTCATCCGTTGTCACCTGAATATCTAGTCAATTTATTGCCATCGAGAATTCATTTCATGACACAATTGCCTTACGAGAAAGTTTTCAGATCGTTAGCGCAGTTTGTTTATCATTTATGGATTGGAACTGAGAAGACAAAAGATTCAACAACCGATCTTATTTCTTCTCTTGGAGATGTTAAAAATGAAATTGAGAAGCTTGAAAAGGTTACAGGATCTGGGCCGATTTTTAGCTACAGGAACTTGCTTGGGAAGTTCGTCGGATGTGTTGAGGTGAGACAATCAGTGAACGTTTCCAGTCACATTAGATAAAATTTATTCCTTCATTAGATTCTCTCGTTGTGTTCTTTTGTAATGTCAAATTGTTACGAAAAATGCCACCAAAATCTTTCTCAGACGAGTAAAAAGAAAAGACAACAAAATAATGGAAAATATTCGACAAATCTTTCGGGTGATGAAAAAGTTTCATTAACGGTGGAAGTTATGCGGGAATTACGAAATATTTTAAGCTTAAGTGAAAGCTCTTTGGGTGAGTTGATTCTATTTTTATTCGAATTTTTCATTAAAACATGTTTTCTCATCAGATAAATTGAAACCTGTAAAAGTTGAAAAGACTCTCGACGAATATCTCGCGACGTTGTCGATTAACAGAAAGCCAACGTCACATAAAACTGAAAGTCCCGCAACTTGTGTCATCACAATGATTGACATTGACGTTCATACAGTGTTTGAAGACAGTTACCAGCAAACTGCAAAAGAACTTTCAACGCTTATTAAAGATAAATTAAAAATGATTTACGTGAAGTAGTTAGTGAAAATTTTAAAATGTTTTTCAATCAAAAAAGGAAAAATCGCTTCTCTAATTTTCTTTGTTTTATTCTAAAATAAAAAGAAATCGACATCGCATGACGTTAATATCAGAAATGAATATTGCTTGAAGTAATAAAAAAAAAGAATGAAAATCTTGTTTAAATTTAAATTTTTTTAGAATTCTCTTTTAGATATTTTCACCATGTATCCTTGAACAAGTTTTATAAAAACGGTGTATTCAAATGTAAGATTCTCTTCTTTAACATTAGTTGACGATTTGTAGTTTCTGAAGAAATGTGAAAGTGCAATTTTTATTGACTTGATAGCATATTTGTTTCCAATACAGATCCTTGGACCTCGACCAAATGGCATGAAAGCTTTACGTTGAGTGTCAGTTAATCTTTCAGATGAAAATCTTTCTGGGATGAATTTATCGGCATCTTCACCCCAAATTTCTTTGTTGCTATGAAGCAGAATGATTGGAACACAAATAATTGATCCTGAAGGGACTATTTTCGAACCAATTTCAATATCTGTCGATAAAGATCTTGCGATATAAGGAAGTGTTGTCCAATATCTCGCTGATTCGTTGACTACTTGATCCAAATAAGATAATTCTTGAAGCTTTCTATCTGTCACTTCTTCATCTACTGAATTGAAAACTGTTTTGAGTTCTTCAAAAATCTTCTCTTGAACGTCTGGATATAAAGCAGCAAGCAACACAACTGTTGAACTTAAGGTCGCAATAGTTTCAAAACCGGCAAGAATAATAGTATTAATCTCATCTGCCATTTCATCGAATGAGAATTCATTTCGTTTCTTAAACAACTGATCAATGAAAATTTGCGGCTTTTCACTTTTATATTTAACGTCATTGTTGTTACGAATATTTTCTTCCTTTTCTTGTATCAAGTCATGAGCCATTTTAAACATTCCATTTAAAATATGTTTTTGTTCCAATTCGTACAAGTTTGACATTCTCATGATTGGTTTTAATTGCAACCAAAATTTGACGATTTTTGATGCAAAAATGTTCACACCTCTGAGAAATAAAATAGAGGGAATTAATTAAATTAATTTCATTAATGATACTCACATGGTGCAGTCATTAACATATTTGTTATTTTTTTCTTCCATAATTTTTTTGTCAACACCTGTAGACGTTCTTAAAATGTTGTCCAAACCAAATGATATAAAATAGGAAAATATATTGAATTCTTCCGCATCTAATTCATCCTCCAACTTTTTGATTAATAACTTTGATTTTTCATTGAAAATCGGATTAAACGAACTCAATACCTTCGCATTGAAAGAAGGATCCAACAATTTTCTGTGAGCTTTCCATAAAGCGCCATTCGATACGAATAAACCTATAAAATTAAATAGCCGCAAATTAGTTAAATTTTATTTTATTTGAAAACTTCTACCTTTATCCAACCCCAGTACTGAATAAATTTTCGGCTTATCAATGCCATAAGGAGAATTCAAGTATTGGTTTACTTGATCGGGATCATCAACAAACACGAACATTAATGGCCCTAACCATGCTTTGCGTGGAGATGGTCCAGGACAAATCGTTTCTTTCAGAACTTGAAATAGTTCTACAAATATTTGTATTTTATTTCTCCTTATACTTATTTGAACCTTTTTAAAGTTTTAACCTTCTTGATTAGCCCCAATTAGACTTTTAATACGTCTAATGAAACCAGCTGGAACTGTTGGTATCTTTGAAGCATGTTGAAAAAATGTGCGATGCTTCGATCGATAAATCAAATAACAAAATAATGTTAAAGAAAAGATTCCAAGAAGAATAACTTTATACATCTTGAAATAACGACAGATGTAAAAGAACTAAAAATGTTTCTCAAGAAGCTGAGCGAATTTATATAGAAAAAATGTTTTGAACATTTTTAATATCTAATTTAATTCTCATTCTGAATCTTTAATGCTCACAGTTTATAATCAAAATATTTAAAAAGAGACACAATTCGAATTAATACTTATAAGATGATTGTAAATTTTTAAAGACTACTTTAGAGGAAACGAGTTTTATGGTGAATCGTCTAGGAAATAATGTCAGGTTTCTGCATCTAATATTTCGATAACATAGACAAAAAAGATTGGAGCATATGAATATATCAAAGAATCACGTGAATATATCATCTTCTTCTCTCAATTTTTTTTAAAATTAAATTCCTGATTAAAAGTTACTAATTAAAGTTATAAATCAAAATAACGAAGCAGAGAACAACGAGAATAACTAGAATAACTAGAATAACAAACTTTTTATACGATATATTTATATTTAAACTTTGATGATGTTGAGGAAATTTACTAGGGTAATGATTATAATTGAAATTGTAGCCGTATAGAAAGCAATGGCATAACAACCACTCTTTAAAGAATTTACCCACACAAAAGGTGACCACCAAAGGCAAAAACAAAGGACGAAGGCTATCAGACAAAATATTAATTGAAAGGCACAGAGGACATCTTCTGTTAGACATTGGGTAGACACATAACGAGCGGTTGTAGCAGTTTTGCTGTTATCAACCATAATGCCTAATGGAAAGTCTCTCATAGGAAGAAACTCGTCCTAGACCTGATGATGATGATGAGGTGACCACCACGTATTCAACCAAACCATAATTGATTTTTATTTAATAATTTTTGATCAATTAATTTGTGGAATTGCTTTGATAACATTCACTTTTAAAATCCTTTTCATGGCTTCTTCTTTGAATTTTGATAATCTATTCTTATGTATTGGAAGAAATCAACATCGCTTAACGTAAATATCATAAAAGGAAGAAAAAAGTGATTGAAGAAATGAAAAAAGAAGGAAAATGTTGTCTAAATTTTATTTGTTTTTGTTAGAATTCTCTTTTGGATATTTTGATCATGTAGCCTTGAACGATTCTTGCAAAAATGACATACTCAAATTTTATGTCTTTCTCCTTAAGATTTGTTTTTGATTTATAGTGTCTGAAGAAATGTGAAAGTGCAATTTTGATTGACTTGACAGCATATTTGTTTCCAATACAAATTCTCGGACCTCGACCGAATGGCATGAAAGCTTGTCGTTGAACGGCGTTAAATTTTTCAGGCGAGAATCTTTCTGGGATGAATTTGTATGCATTTTTACCCCAAATTTCTTTACTGCTATGAAGTAAAATTATTGGAATGGCGACAATTGATCTAGCTGGAATTATTTTCGAACCAATTTCAATATCTGTTGGTAAAGATCTTGCGATATAAGGCACTGGAGTCCAATATCTCGTTGATTCATTGATAACTTGTTCCAAGTAAGTCAACTCTTGAAGCTTCTCATCTGTGACTTCTTCATCCACTGAAGTGAAGACACTTTTTAGTTCATCAACAATTTTCTCTTGAACACGTGGATATAAAGCAGCAAGCAACACAACTGTTGAACTCATGCTTGAAATTGTTTCAAATCCTGCCACTACGATGCTATTAATCTCATCTGCCATTTCATCGAATGAGAATTCATTTCGTTTCTTAAACAATTGATCGATGAAAATTTGCGGCTTTTCACTTTTATATTTATCGTCATTATTGTTACGAATATTTTCTTCCTTTTCTTGTATCAAGTCATGAGCCATTTTAAACATTCCATTTAAAATATGTTTTTGTTCCAATTCGTACAAGTTTGACATTCTCATGATTGGTTTTAATTGCAACCAAAATTTGACGATTTTTAATGCAAAAATGTTCACACCTCTGAGAAATAAAATAGAGGAAATTAATTAAATTAATTTCATTAATGATACTCACATGATGCAGTCATTAAGATATTTATTATTCTTATCTTCTTGAATTCTTTTGTCAACACCTGTAGACGTTCTTAAAATATTGTCCAATCCTAATGGTGAAAAATATGAATTGATGTCGAAATCTTCTCCATCCAACTCGTCTTTTAATTTCTTAATAAATAACTTTGATTTCTCGTTGAAAATAGGATTGAAAGAGCTTAAAATTTTGGTATTGAAAGCAGGTTCTAGCAACTTTCTGTGAGTTTTCCATAAAGCGCCATTCGATGCGAGTAAACCTTGAGATAGAAATATTCGTTCAACACTCAACACTCAATTTTCAAATTTGTGAATCGTCACCTTTATCCATGTCCAGTCCTGAATAAATGTTCGGCTTATCAATGCCATTGGTAGAATTCAAGTATTGATGCACCTGATCGGGATCATCAAGAAGTACAAACAGCAAAGGTCCCACCCATACTTTACGTGGAGAAGGTCCAGGATAGACTGCCCTTTTAATAACTTGAAATAAATCTGAGAATATGAAAATTCTTTTTTTTTAAATTTTTTAATTGAAATTCATTAAATTTCTGAACCTTCACTATTAACTCCAATTAAATTGTGAATATGTCCAATAAACGGTAGTCCGCCTGGAACTGTTGGTATTTTTGAAGCATGTTGAAAGAATTTTCGATATTTCCATCGATAACTTAAATAGCAAAGCACTGTCACTGAAAAGATTCCGAGAAGTATAAACGAAAACATCTTAAATTTATGAGAAATGTAAAATAACTAAAAAGTTCCTTACGAAACTGAGTTCTTTTATAGGGAAAAATATTTACCAAATTTCTTAAAATTTAATTCTCATTCTCAATCCGGTTTTCACTCCACAAAGTATTTAATCAAAATTAACGTTCATGCTTGACCCTCCTAAATATATAAAATTCACAGTTTCAATGAAAACAAAGTTTTGATTGTAAATGTTTACTACTCAACTTTCTGAAACATTATTATTATTATTTATTTTATAAATAATAAGTGGTGGGATAAAAAGGTACTAAAAAAATGGTGAACCCAGTGCTAGACCTTAAAGGGATCAACCAGTGAATATTTCAACTTTGACAAAGTTGTACGGCGGTTGTAGTAGATAGTTTGATTTTTGCTTGTTTCTTTGTTGGAGCAGAAATTTTAATTTCAATTTTTTGTTCCTTTCACTTAAGAGCAGAGATGTATGAAGCGATGTAGAGAACATGTGCAATAATAAAATTAAATTTAAATTATAATAAAACTTCACTGGTCATTTTATTGTTGCCAATGGATAAAGATTTGATGATTAATCATGTAATTTATTTTACAAATTAAGATTCGCTACGCATACTTACGCATCTAATTAATCTGTGTTGATAATAAATATCTGATCAAGAATTCTTCACTATCTAATTAAAAAATTATAAATTAAAACAACGAAACAGAAAAATATTCTTTTAAATGTTTATTCGCTAATTATTCTTTTTTTCTATTTTACATAAGATACAAAAATTTGTAATTATTGGACGGAATGTGCAATTCTTTTTTGATAAAAAATTTGTAAATTAAACATAATTTTAAAAATATAAATTCTACAAGCAAATATGCTTGACTAAGCTTAATTTTGAAATGTCTCTTGTCTAATTAAATAAAATTCGGAAATGATTTTAGCAGATCTTTTAGAAAATTTCCATTAATGTCATGTTAAGAAGTGATTGGACGGAATTCTAAATTGAAACTTAAGGCACTATTTGTATGTAAATTAAACACTGTCTGTATTTTTCGAAATAGCATTCGACGGTGTTGTTTTGATTACTTATTACATTAATTTATTAGAAGCTCAATATTCGGATTCTGTTCTATTTCAAAGACTTGATATTGAGAAAAGACGACTATGAATAAGTAAACCTGGAAAAGAAAGAAATAAACATGAAAGTGTTTTCAAAATTGGAAAGATTTTCTTACATGATATCCCATCCAGAGCCAGTTAACTAAGCAGTAATAAGTTTGAATCAACTGAAAATAAATTTTTCTTTAAAGTTCCATCTTAAAACAGATTTCAGTAAAACTTACATAAATGTAATATCCGTAAAGCTGCCAGATACCCCACAAGAGTTGAAAAGTGATGACAATTACCATCAGAGTTAGCCAAGGTAGAAGAAATCCACGAACACAAACTCGTAAGGCTCTCCACATTAAACCAGCCGAAGCGATGAACAGAAGAAGGAAAAAAATGTACATTAATCCCCAAGATATCATTGAACCATCATCGAGGCTCGTTTCGAAAAGTGGTGAATAGAGCTGAGTCGATTCGCCTCTCAACAGGCAATAAATAATCTGAAGAGATTCAATAAGGTCATAATTAATTAAACTTTGAAGATGTTTAGAATCTTACCAAGGTAATAATTAGGGTGGACATTGCCATCGTATAAAAAGCGATAGCATAGCAGCCACTCTTCAAAGAATTCGACCAAATGAAAGGTGACCAGCATGTGTTAACCCAAACCATGATCGGTTCTTATTTAAGAATTTTTGATTAATTAAATTGCGGAATTGCTTTTGTTTACATCAACTTTTACACTCCTTTTTATTCCCTTTCTTTGATTTCTAAGAGAATTTTTTTTTCTTTTTGAATATTCGTATGTTTGAATATTGAATTATAATATTAATTATACAAAAATGTCAATGAAATTAATGAGAAATAATGGAATTAATAAACCGCTCCAAATAGGTGTGTCAAGAGAAACTTTATAAATAACAAGAGTGGTCATGTTCTTATCATACAAAATGAAAATATTTGAATGAAACCAAATCTTATTTAGCTAGTAGCTAAGGTTGATATTTGTTTGTACATTCCATTACTCATCAAAAGCTAACAAACTGCACTCTTGCGGAAAACATTGAAATTAATTTCTCACACTTATTTTTAAACAAATTGTTTTTCGATAAAGTTTGACAATAAATCCTTTTTAAAGGGTCACAAAGATATAATTGTCCATTAGAGGATCTTCATTTGTTACATTTTTCTTAATAAAAACTTCAGATTATTCCTTTTGTTACTATCCGGTACAGGTAAGTTATGAATGCCGCAATGTTTCTCAATAACTTATAACAATTTCATAGTTCTGAAGAAATGGCAGCACCTACAACACAACAAGCTACATTGACGACTAATACTGTCACAACTCAATCCCAACAATCAACAACCCCTGGTATCAATTTTTATAATCTTGAGGAAAATATCAATAAATGGACGCTTGAGTTGGAGGAACAAGAAAAGATTTTTACCAATCAAGCAACACAAGTCAATGCTTGGGACAGTATTTTATTGAAAAATGGAGAAAAGATAGTTGAACTTAACAAAGCTGTTGAGAAAGTAAAAACAGATCAGTCAGCGATGGAGAAAGAACTTGAATTTATAGCGGCACAACATACAGAACTGGAAGAGTCAATTATTCCTCTTGAACAAGAACTCTCAAAAATGCCACAACAAATTGATGTCGAGCGTTCTCAAACATACCAAATGGCTGAAACACTTGATTCGCAACTGAAACAAATGTCTGAGGATCTCAAAGAAGTCATCGAACATCTCAATGAAGTCAATAAATTTGCCGATCCAAGCGATCCAATGGTACAAATTGGGAAAATCCTCAACGCTCATTTTACATCATTGCAGTGGATTGAGGATAAAACAAGTGTCATTAACAATCGTTTAGATGAAATCGGTAAAATGAGTACTGCTTTAAAGCAGAATCAAACTTCATATCGTTACGATTAAAAATCTTTTGTAGCTTTTTATTTTCAATCTTAAAATTGGTAGATATAACATGTAAAAAATTAAATAAACTATCGCGAAAGCAAATGTTTGTCATTTAAAACGTTTGTTATCATTTGTTTATCTTTAAGTGCCGAATAAACTTCGTCTTCATCCCATTGCAATTGAACTTGATGAAATCTTGGCTCTTTTTTCTTCGTCAATCTTACAATACCATGAGTTTCAACAAGAAGACATAAGTTAAGAAATTCTGACAGATCAATTGAATTAATATTACGATTTTTGCACACTTTCTTATAAACGTCGTGAAGACGACCGACCGTGATGTTCTTGTTTTTATCATGTTTGATGATCAGCAACAATGTACAAATGAGAAGCTTCTGAAGCAATGGAAATGAATCGTCGACATCGTAAGAAAGAGTTTGAGCATTTCCATAAACTGTGTTAAGAACTGTTACGACTTCTTTCAATTGAACTTTTGGTTCTTCAACTGGCGGTTTCTCATCTACTTCAATTAATGTTTCTAATTTTGATAAATCAATTTTCGTACATTTTTTCTTCTTCTCGAGCTCAGCAAGTTCAATGACACGTTTTCCAATGCTAAGTGCTCGACGAATGTCTCCAGAAACTGCACTAACTTTAGCAGCGAGTAATTGAATGGCAGCTGGTGGGAACAAATCACTTACGCCACTCTCTTCGAAGCGATTTTTAAATATTTCAACGATTTGAGCTTTTGTGTAAGCAGAGAAATGCATAACTTTTGGTTTAAGTTCACATTTAGATTGGAGACGAACTAGAAGCCGGTCTGTGAGATCAAGAGCGTTAGCAATGCCGACAAGTATAAGTTTAGATTTTGGAATAGCTGGAAGTTCAAAGATATGATACAAGATATCTTGCTTCTTTCCTGTCGAGCATAATTGATCCATTTCGTCTAATATGATTAAAGTCATCTTATGTTTTGATGACAGATAATGTTCAAGAGCTGCCAAACAATCCTTTTCACTGCTTCCACTCTTAAGCTTGAGATTCAATTCATTGCATATTCTTTTATAGATTGATCCAATTGTGCTTATGCTTGTGCAGTTTCTAGATAAATAAAAGATTAATTTCTTCAAGATTATTGATAATCACTTGTAACAACTTACACATAGCCGATACTCAATTTTGTCATGAATTTTTCCATGCTGATGATTTTTAAAAGTGTTGCTGTTTTTCCTGTTCCTGGTGCGCCACTTATATACAAGCTTCCGTAAGCTTCACGACTTATAATATCATTTAAATATTCAGATAATTCCTCAAATTCTTTTTCTCGTCCCGGCAAATTAAAATCAGAGTTGTCAGCAAGTGCGCGACGTGCTGACCGAAATTTATTGCATTCAGGAGTATCCAACATGAGCTTAGAAGCAAATTGATCTCTGAATGGTGAAAGAGAATTCGAACAAGCTGATTTTGGTGATGATGAATTTTCTGAATTTGATTTTTCTGGACTCTTTCGTTTTTTTGGCGTTAATTTTTTAGGCTCAGCCAGATTTTCTTTCGTATCAGTCTTTGTTTTGCAGCTTCTTGTAACACGAGGCATGTTGATAATAATAGTTTTACTGTTTCTATCTGCTAATTATTATTAATTTTAAGATTTCTATTTATAATATTTTGAAATCTTTTGTCAAGTTTTATGTTTACACACACAGCCAATTTAGGCGGCAATTTAAACATTTGTAAGGTTTTACATCCCCTCGGTGTATAGCTCTCACGTGATTGACGTCGGACTACCCGGCACTTTGACTTGCGTGGATTTGACCTTAACCAGTTTTCATCTAGCATCGAGAAATTCGTCCGGGTGGGTGAGAAAAGTTGTCCGGGTGAGAAAATTTAACAAGAGCTTTAGAAAGCTTCAAATCCATTTGAAGCTTTCTAAAGCTCTTGTTAAATTTTCAAAGCTCTTGATGCAGATAGTTGCTTGGGTAGTTGATTAAAATGATAATGATATTGATTCCTTGTTTAAACATAATAATTTTATTTAATCATAATTAAAAAATTGTAGATACAAAAGTAAAAATTAAAACTAATGGAAATTTAACTATTTATTATTGTCTCTGATTGAAGCATTTGATTTTCTTCTTCCGGAACCCCGAACTTCGTTCACAACGGCAAGAGAAGAAGTTGTTGGGCACCATGTTATTTTTCCCTGAGTAGAGAGTTGTTGTTGAGTGGGTGATGTTGCTACTGTTGTAGAATTTGTCCAATTCCCTGGAGCTGAATCAATATTTGCTGGTCTTACAATAAATCTTTGCTTTAATGCTGGTTTTAAAGGTTCCTTTAAAGGTTCTGGTGATGAAGTGTATGATGGGGGTGGCATCCGATTGAAAGGATTTGAATCGCCCAAAATTCTAGCACGATGCTCTTCAGTATTTTGTGGTGATGTAATCGAACTGTGTAATCTACAAGGCTTAGTTGTAGATAATTGAGGAGTGCTTTGTCTTCGCATATTTGTTGGAATATTTTTCTTCTTTGGCGATTTTATTGAAAAAAGTGATTCACGAAGTGACAATATTTTAGTGGCTTTCTTTAATGTCTCCTGCATTTGTTCAGCTTCTACTGTGGCAGTGTGAACCTTTTCCAAAGCTCGAATTAAATCAGCAATGCTTGTTGTTTCCAACATGTTTTGTTCTTCTTTCGCACTTTGAGGTGTAAAATTATTTGGTCGGTAAAATCTCAAATCAGTAGTTGATTTATTACTCTGACTTGTTTGGCTTGTTTCACTGTTATGACGTTTTAATTTTGGAAATTTAAAATTTGTATCCAATCTTGGACTAGCAGTTGATGCAATTGAAGTTCGCTTTTGTGCATTCTTCTTCCGGAACGGATTTAATCTTGAAATTGTCGAATTATTTGAACCTGTGTCACTTCCTTTATCTTGCGAAATATCTGCAGTCATCGTTTCTGAATAATGCCGCATTTTTGCTGCAAAGGATGATTTATAAAGATTTTCTTTAGGCTTCGTGAATCGAGTTCTTGTTGTGTCTGCTTTGAATGGAATTGTGTTGTTTCCTGACCAAGTCCAACCAGACGGCGTCTATTTGAGTAATACGATTTAATAAAATTATTGAGAAACAAAGTAAATACGAAAGAAATTATTTAAATGTACCATGTGTGGTTCGTGATTTTGGAAATTAACTCCAGATGTCGTTAAGTAATGTTGACCTCTTAAAATTGGTGGCGTAATGCATCCCTTTTCAGAGCCACTAAAAGACAAATTTGAAGTGAAAGTTTGCTCACTTGGGAACAATTGTAAATCATCAAGTGAATTAATTCCATTGAATGTGCTGTATAAACTTGACGGTTCTTCTTTATCAGATCGGTAATCACTTAAAGATACGATAAGTTTTGTCAAGAAATCCCCTGCTTGATTTGACTGTTGACTATTTTCTCGAGAGAAAGTTTTTGCTTTATCAATCAACCTTAAACTTGAATCTGATTGCACTCGATGTAACGTCGTTATGCTGTTACTTATGGAATTCTTATTAGCTAATTTTTCACATTCGGAATATGCTCGTTTTCTGCGTCTTTTCATCATTTCATTTTCATCGTTATAATTGATTCTAAACAAATCGGGACAAGAATGTGATCGATGTTCAAAGAACTTTTTCGATACTTCATTTTTGTCAATATAAATTGGCTGTAAAAAATGAATTAAAATTGAAAGAGATTCTTAACTAAAATCAATTGCTTACTTTTATCTTTAAAAGATGAACTTCATTCAGAATTTTGCGAATATATCCAACATCTTTTGAAACTCCATGCCAAATTTTATTTCTTGTTTCTTTTATATTCATAGCAAGTTGATGTTCAATCCTTTTAATTTGTTTGCTTCTTAATCCCCTTTAAGAAAGAAAATTTCTTTATTTGATTGTCTAATAGGTAATATAATGAATAATATTTACTTAATTATAAATCCAATAACCATGATAAGATAGCCAAGCCCTATAAAATATAACAACAACATTATTTGAAATGTATTATGTTCATTTACAACAAATATTCTTTAATAATGATTATGAAGTGGAAAGTTTTAAATCATTTTGATAAAATAAAATGTGTCATTACCTAAGAAAAACCAAGCAAACATAAATGTTTGATAAAAAATATACCAATTGCCAAATGTGCTTGGCTGATGTGGTTGAAATGTTGCAACAAAATCTCCAAATCCTTAATCAACAACATTAACAAAACCATAAAAAGATTTCAGTAAACACATAATAAAGCAATGTTAAATAAAAAAGATTAGTTACCGATAGTCGTAAGTGTTATGAATGAATAATAAACTGAAATTGAGTAATCCCATCCCTCGAAATAAGAGAAAACAAAAGCAGGTAGAAAAATAAAGAAAATTATAGCAGGAATCACGTAAAGTATAATTTGAACAATCAAACTAAACTGTGGTGGGACCCAATTGTCATTTGATGAAAGTTTAAATTTCTTATAGCGTTCGTAAAGACGTAGAAACTAAAAATGAATTATAAAACTTCAATTTATATTGTTATTAACTTAATCTTTACCATTCGACCCCAAAACTCTCCCAAATAAGCGAATAAAATCGCGTGGACTGGAATACCTATAAATCAATTTAATTTTGATTTTATAGTAAATAAATAATAAACAAACCTACTTACCGATAAGTGCATAGAAAATTGTAAACATCCTTCCAAAAGTGTTATTTGGTGATAAGTTCCCATAACCTATTTAGATTAAAATCTTCTAAGTTTTGAATTCATAAACAACTTAAACTTTAAGTTAATCTCACCAATTGTCGAGGATACAGTAAAAGTAAAGAAGAATGTATGATAAAATGACCAAACGTAAGGCGCCACAAAATCATCTTGAGATGGATGTGTCAACGGTTGCTCACAATAATCAGACACTTGAAGCAATAATAAAATTAAATCACACAGTCAATGAACAGACGATAAAGATCATAAAATCATAAGTTGTATTATTTACCTCGCTCTAATAGCAATTGCTGCAATTCAGTGTTGTTTGGTGATAAGTATTTAATCATTAAAGCTGAAATGACACGTCGAGAGTGAATCGATAAGGAAAATGTAGTAAATTTTGATTCATTTACGTCGAATGACGTAAAATATTTTAAACTCAAAATCAAAACAGTTAACAACTTCTTAAGCGTTTAATTGACAAGTTATAAATGTTCAAATCACTTCTACCACTGATATGATAAAATCTACTGTAATTGGGAAAAATTACTGATAACGCGGCAATAAACCACCATGATAAATGTTTATTAATCAGTTGTTTTACACATTTCAAAGATTGCATTTAATCTATTATTGGATTTTAACACCACTTTGAAAGGAACTTTGATAAAAGAATAAGAGGACAAAGACTCTTAAAAAAGAGTAAAATTTAAAATACAAAAATATTTACCATTCACTTCTAAACGATCAACATAAGCAGCATTGCGTCTCAAAGTCTCAAGTCTTCGTTCTTGATAGTAGAAAACGCAGGTGCCAAATAGAAGATAACAAATGTAAAACAAAAGTAATGAAAGCCATTGTAGTGGACTCATATTTGATTAAGAATTAATTTTTTTTATAACTCAGTCGATTCTTTTCAAAATTCTCTCTTTTGTTCCTTTCGCTTATTCTAGCATTTCAATCATTCGTTTGATGTTTCACCTTCTAATCTTTTCCACTCTTATTTTAACTTATACTTCATTGAATTATTTAAAAACAAATAATAGTATGTGGCAGCTTTTTAATCACTTTTCAAACTAATTATTAATATTTTTATAATTGTTAAAATTCTAATGGTAAATCCAATTGAAGTAATAGCAGAAGTAGAAGTTCGAAGAAACTGTGAATTGGCTCGAACTTTATCAACTGACTCTCCATAGTTTTAACATTTTTTAATAGAATTTATTTTTAAAACTGTTTTTAATCGATCGAGAATCGAAGTATTACATGGTTTAAACTCTGATTAAAGTGTAATGATCCAAAAATTAAGTGTTTTGTATATATGTGTACGAAATTATTTTCAAGATGTCCTACACCTTTCGGTTTGAAATTTAAAACTAAACTGAACGCAAAAGTCCGTCTGGTGCTAGTTAAAAAGCACACCTCCTTCTTATCACCTACTTCATTTATGACGTTCAAGAGCTCAAATCAGCTTTGCCTTACTTACTTCTATCAAGATATCGCCAATTCTTCACAATAAATATTTTGATTACATGACAATACAAAGCATTTAAGATATTTTTAAAAGTTGTGTGTTTAATGATAATAGCGTTTAGTTTATTTGAAAAGGAACATTATCAATACATCGGCTATTGCAGTTTGCTTGTACTATTTATAAACGTCGTGATATTGTAATCAACAAGTGTCGAAATATTATTAAAGAGTCAATGTGCATGCGGTAAAGATATTTTGTAATAATTTTTAAGTACTTATATTTGAAAGTTTGAAGGCTTTTAAACGTCATCATCAGGTTCATATGCCAGGAAGTAGGGAATCCTTCAATCGATTGTAAAAGCAGTTGGATGACCATGGTCATACGTGACAAATGATAATGATAACACTTTCCAACCGTAAGGGAAGTTGTGTTGCCCTTACTACTCACCCCCGATCGTTTTCAGTCGTAAATCTTCCAAAACAGATTTTCTAAAATGAATAAAAGATTAACTTTTCAGTCAAACATTATTAAAGTTAGATTGCTAAGAGATTAGCAACATTTAATACCCAGTTGCAACGGTTAAATTTTCAAATTTAAAATAGTAAAAACATTACGTTTTGAAGAGTTTTTCTTTAATATCTCTCGAGTCATAATCTTCTTTGTAATGAGAATACAAACTGGACTTAGTTTCATAACAAAAGTGATTATTTATCAACAGAATCTGTTCTAATCACGAGCGAGAGCAAAAGTTTCATTTCTTAAATTTTATTATAGACTGCTCATGTTAAGGACAACATTTTATTTTTGTTCCAAGTTTTTATCCTCCCATTAAAGTATACTCTTTAAACTAGTGCTTTTTTCGCGAAAGATTTTTGTGATTTTCTTGCTTTAATTAATGATTTAAGAGATTTGATAAGTGTTAAGACTTCCTCATGACCACAGAAAATTTAGTCACAGTTGATTTCGATTCTGAGATAGCGAATAACAATAATGAGATTGATTTGAATACGAAAAGTTATAATAATTGCAATTACCAAAGTCAGGAAATTGATTTTATCCCAGACGTTTCCTTCAGCGACCAACAAATCAGTCTGGAGGAGACGGATAGGATTCTCAGCGAGTCACAGCCTTTGTTGGGTTCTGATCATCATGACCATATAACATACAATCAGTTTCCAGGTGAGATTCTTTAGAGATTAAATGCGCAAAATATAATGACTTATTCTGTGCCAAATCAGAGATGATTTGTCACTCAATATTCCGTTGTCATTCGGATATTGAGTCTCAAAATCATAGTAATCAGAGTAAAATTCCATTCGTAAGCATATATGTTCTTATCAAACTTAAAAAGTTAAACATTCGAAAGTACTGAGAAGATGTCAAATTATTATCTCTACGACCTCGAACTCGACGATCTTCATTGCGTTCCTCCTACAAAACTCTTCCCTCATGAATCATAGTGATAAGAATTGAGAATAAAATGATATTTTCCAACGAAATTACTATTCTATTTACGAGCTGTGACGTCATTTTTTTCTGGAACTAAACATATGTTTTTTATTATTGACACGATAAAAGAAGAACAAATGATTTTTACTTGTTATGCTTCGTGCTTCGTCTCGTGTAGCATCATTAAAATATGACAAAGATGACATTTTACTTTCTGTTCAGATAATTGAGTTGCTTGTAAGGAAACAAGTTTTAAAGTTAAAAATACATGATTAATATGAACAAACAACGCAGCATGGATGTCTCTAAACTTTTGACTCAAATTTAAGTAGATACCGCATTTATCTTAAGTTTTATTCACCTTTTAAAAATCGAGTTAGGCTAGAAAGAAGAAATTTTCTTACAATTTTAATTTAAAAAATCAGCAGCATATGAATTTTTTTTAATATGAACTTTGACATCAAAAAATTTAATTTTGAATATTTTTATAGATATCTAATTGAATATTTTTGCGATGAAGACCAATGAATTTTCTTTGATCTCTTAATTGAATGGAAAATACAAGAATTTAACGACATGAAATTGGAGCTTTGAATTCATATTTCAATCAAACATAAATAGATACGCAAATGAGAGACTTTGCTCTGTGAAGTTTGAAGCAACTGCTTTAGTAGAAATGGAACGAAAACTTTCAACCTGCATTGATTTTAAGCAGCGTTCATAAATAACAATGTTTGATATTTTTACTATATTTGAATTATCTGAACAACAAAGCAGAATTTTACAATTAATCTACTTATCTGCTCCCAATTTATTTTTTTTTCCTAAAGTTTAAAATGATTTTGTCACGGAATTTCAATGGTCGCTTTCATATGTCGATTGCTCATTTCCATGACATTATTTTCGCTTACGAAACGACTGCATTTATTACTAACCCCTCGATGAATAAATTTTGCAAAAACAAGAAAGAGAAGTCCTGCAAAAACAGTTGTAGCGCGCTAGTTGTAACGTTCACATTGAGTATCGACAAGCGTTTTATTATAATTTATCAACGGAGTACAAAGAAACAAAAAGAAGTAAAATAAATTTAATTACATTAATGGACAAGTTGATTGAAGATTTAAACTTGACAGCGTTTAAGGAGAATGGAGAGAAATTAGACAGAATTTCCCTTTCACCTGAACAATCTCCATGTCCAGTTAATCATGAGATTCATGACGACTTTTTCTGCATTGATGGAAAGTTGAATCACCATTTGCCAGAAGGTGAATAATTATAAAAATTTGCATACGTATCATACGTTTTTATACATAAATTGAATGTTTTAAAGTTTGATAAGAAAAGTTGCTTTAGCTAGGAAAATGTTGATGATTCATCGACATGTTGTTGTTCTACATACAAAAAGTTCATTTTAAATAAACATTTCGAACATTGACATTACTTTATTACTTTTAGATGATCCACATTTCAGTGATTTAGTGTATCAAGCCGAAATAGCCATCGATGCCGGTATCTATCCAGATAGGATCTATCAAGGAAGTAGTGGGTCGTATTTTGTGAAAAATCCTGCAAATGTAAGCTTTATTGATTCCTTCAACATTTTTTGTCGGCTCTTACACGTTTACCTTAGGAATATTTTCATTCTGAATTTATTATCGATCCGACATTAAAAGAAAAAAGTTGGAATTTCTCATAAATTCCTGCGCAGACTTCTTGAATTGTCTTTAAATTGTTTGTATGATTGCAGAAAGCGATAGCAGTTTTCAAACCCAAAGATGAAGAACCGTATGGGCGGTTGAACCCAAAATGGACGAAATTGTTTCATAAACTTTGTTGTCCTTGTTGTTTTGGACGAGCTTGTTTGATACCAAATCAAGGCTATTTGTCAGAGGCTGGGGCGAGCTTAGTTGACACTAAACTCAATCTCCAAATTGTACCTAAGACAAGAGTCGTTCGACTGGTATCAGAAACATTCAACTATCCACGCATCGATCGACAAAAAGCGAAAATCAAAAGAACAATTAAAGAAAGAATGCCAGCTGCAAGATTTAAACGAATGACACTGCCGCCAAAAGTTGGATCGTTTCAACTTTTTGTTGATGGTTATAAAGACGCGGATCATTGGCTTAGGAGATTCGAACAAGAACCACTTTCAACTCACATGGCTCAAAAATTTCAACTTCAATTTGAGAAGCTTGTCGTACTTGATTACATCATCAGAAACACCGATCGTGGCAATGACAACTGGCTGATAAAATTTGAACAACCTTCAGTTTCAACTTCTCTTAATGGCAGTGCAAATTCTATTAATAATAATTTTATAAATCTTGCAACAACAAATGGCAAAAATCACAATAGAAATCCACCATCGATCTCACGACATGAAACTGATGACTGGAACATGATTGAACTACCTGAAATTCAAATTGCGGCAATTGACAACGGACTTGCTTTTCCTTTTAAACATCCCGACTCATGGCGTGCTTATCCTTATCACTGGGCTTGGCTACCACATGCGAAAGTTCCATTCAGTCAAGATATTAAGAATCTTGTTCTTCCTTCACTCTCTGATTTGAATTTTGTTGAGGATTTGTGCAACGATCTATTGGAGTTGTTTAAGCAAGATAAAGGATTCGATCGTGGATTGTTTGAAAAGCAAATGTCTGTGATGCGTGGACAAATCTTAAATCTTACACAAGCTCTCAAAGATGGCAAAAGTCCAGTTCAGCTTGTGCAAATGCCTGCGGTTATTGTAGAACGGTAAGAAATTCTTTTTCCTTTAAAATTGTTCATTAATTTTCTTTTAAATCCATTTAAGATCAAAAATAAGTCAAGGATCAACACGATTTGGATCTTTTCGTCAACAATTTCAAAACAAAAGTCCGATTTTCTCGTGGTGTTAGTATCTGACGAGTCATTCATTCATTCATCATCATAATCATATCTTCTTATTCATCGGCCTTAATAATATCATCTGCAAGTTTATTGTCATAAGTGTCAACAGTTTATAAAATTTCTTTGGGATTCGGAATGTCTTCATCAGTCCCTGAACTGATCAGATTATAAATTTTATTTTAATAATGGAAAATTGTTAGAGAAAAGTTTAAAATTCTCGAGAAAGAAATTCCAATCCATAATTCTTAGATAGTTTCAAGATTTATTTAAAGGAAAAGAATAAAAGTGAAAGAGAAAGATAGAGCGAGAGCGAGAGAGAAAGATTATTAAAATATTTATTGATCATACACACACACACACAAATATTTATGTAACTAAAAAAATTGATTAAATATAATGTGAAGCATTCCAATTGACGGCTGTTATTGCCTGATAAGATTTCACCTTTTTCTTTATTTTAAACTTTCTCATAAGATTAAAGTTTCTTGTTTTCCGCTTGTAATTAAACTGCTAAACGCCTTGCGGAATTTCTTTGCTTTTCCTTCATGTTTTGTAAAAATATTTCGCTTTCCAAATATTTTCTTTATTTATTCGAGTTTATTTAACAATTTTTAACATCATTATTGGTCGTGAAAATTTCAATCAATAAATGATATCACAAAGTCATAAAAGTTTCATGCTTGATCAAATAAATTCAAGTGATAAAATTGAATTTAAAGCTCTTACGTAGTTAGATAATTAAAAATATAATCGAGGATTTCTGACATCAAATTAAAGCTGAGACATTTCTCTACTTTTGTTTTGACATTTTTAATTTTAATTTATTAAATTATGAAAAATAAAGAATGAAATTATGCAAAAAAATCAACAAGAAGCTTTTGGATATTCTTCGCATGGCATTTCACAGCAAATTTTGTTTTCATCAATGAAACAGCCAGGCGGTTGATAAGAAAGTTTAGCAACAGTGTCACGAGCAAATTTCACTTCAGGTGGACAATAACGCGCTTTACGAGCCCAAGGATAATCTTCTTTAGGTGGAGGACAAACAGGTTGAAAACTAAGCTTTTGTGTTGTCTCGCATTCCATTGGCACTGTTAAAAAATAAAAGTTGAAAAAATTTAATTAATTTATACAAAGATCTTCCTCACGTTCTGGTTGTTTGTAGTGAATGATTGGCTTGCATGACTGAGTTCTTGTGAAGACGCAAGGATGTTGGAAGGATAATTTCTGGACAGTTCCATTCTCCATTCGACCACAGCAATTTCCAATGTTATTTCTAGGTACTGACATAGGTTGTTTACATTGAAATTTCGGCACAAAGTCATGCTTTTGAGTTGTAAGTTTTTGTAATTCTCCACATCCGAAAGTGAAGCTTGTTTTTGGATTAAATGGTCGAACACGTTCTGGTTGACATGCTTGTTGAAATGACATCTTCAAATGATGATAAATAAAGTTTAATGAAGTTATTTACAGGATGAAATATTTACCCTCGTGATTGTATCTTTTGCAAAACCTCCACATGGTAATTGAAGTTGACCGTTTGGTACGTAAGGTGGTGGTCGACAACAAGCAGTAATTTGTGAGTCAACACATTCAAATGATTTTCTGTAAACTGTGTCAGTCGTCATAGGAATTAATGGACGTTGATATTTGCTGACAGGTTTAAAGCTTTCTCGTCTTGGTGGTTGACGATAACCACGATTGTATGGTGAACAGAGGGGACCATTGCAATCAAGTGGTGGACATGGCCTTCTTGGTTCACAGCAATAGTCTAATGGCATTTGAGTTGGGGAAAGTGGCTCCCC